TGTAAGCACTCTATTCTTTATCGAAAATAGTTGTGTTCATCTGTAGCCTCGGTCGGATCTCAAGCATAGAAAAATATCGAATCTGTAATGCGATTTTTGGTCGAGTAGTTGTTTTCTTCTCCTATCTAAAATCCATTTATTTCCTTTTATCGAATCCCATCGGGAATTGATTTCTATTTCTATTCCGAATCGAATCCCATCGGAGAATCGAATCGGGATCAGAATAGGTTTATTTCCTTTTATCGAATCCCATCGAAAATCCGAATCGTAATCGGAATCGATATTATCTAGATTTTCATTCGATGGTCGAATAGAGTAGATTTATTTCGTGATCGAATCCCATCCGGAATTCGGATCAGAAGTGGTAGAGATTAGATTTATTCTTTTATTTGTTTCTCGTGAATCCCATCGAGAAGTCCGGAATTCGAATCAGAATCGAAGTTTTTATCATCGAGTCAGGGTGTCCCCATCGAGAATCGGAATCGATTAGGTTTATTTGATTTTGATTTTCGAGAATCCCAATGGGAATCCGAATCGAATCATCCTAGATATATTTATTCCTTCATCGAAATCCATCGAGGAATTCGGGGAGTAATCGGAAGCAAATAAATTGATGGTGATTGGCGCGCGCTAATCACCACCTTCGAAGATTCGGAATCCGAATAGATTTTATCCCTTTAGTTTTTCCCATCGAATCAGGGTGGAACCTGATCGAGAATCAGAGGTGGATTTTAGATAATTTCATTTGTTTGCTTTCGAATCCCGAGCGAATCCAGATTCTGATCGGGAATCAGGATAGAAGATAGAAATAGAATCGATTTTATAGATTTTAGATTATCTGAATCGCGGTTAAAAATCCGGATGCACCGGTCGAATCGGTCTACCCCATTGATTGTGTAGTCCCATCGTGATTCGGATTGATTTCGTATGGTTTTGGAATAGAAGTAGACATTTTTTCATCTATCGAAGTGCCCTTTTTCAGTGGGTGAAGCTCGGTTTCCCAGGATTTGCACCAGAAATCCCGCGAACGCGAGCCCCCACGACGAGAAACCACGGATCGAATCAATAAACAGGATTTATTTCCAGAAAATAATTATCGATTTTTTCTGTTTTTGGTTTTGATTTTTCTGATTTATAGTTGATTTGTGATGCAAGAAATAGTCGATTAGATTGCAAATCCGGCGTCGAAATCGATAAAGAATTTTCACAGTTTTCGAATAGTTTTTTGCACTTCCGGAATAGATCGATTCGATTTTTATTCTGGTTGAAGTGTCATTGAAATCATATAAATCCCATCCTATTTTTATGAAATTACATGGAAGAAAAATTTGAAAGAATTTGAATTCGAGAATTCAGATGAAATTATAATGTCAAGATATGACATGCAAAATATTTGTTTCCAGAAAGAAGAAATTTGATGAAAATTATTCCCAAAATCAGGAAATTGATATTTCAGATGATCACCGAATGACAGAAAAAAAACTTCTTGTTTTCCCCCCCCCCCCAAATCTGAATTCATCGATAGATTATTTCTCCTACCGAATTCTCGATGACCATTTTTTCCAGAAAAATTTTTTTTTCTACCCATCGAGATGATATTTCATCCCATTATCGATTCTTTTTTTCCTCATTTTTTTTTTCTTCGATTTCTTCATCCATATCAGGAAATCATTGGGAAATCATTGAATTCATATCCCTCCAATAATAACAGAAAATCCAAATTTGTCTTGGGGAAAAATCAAAATTCTGGAGCATGAAAGATCCAAGATAGATCCATCGAGAGAGAATGAAATATAACAATTTTGAATCAGATTCAGACGATGAAGAAAATAAAATTCGAATCAATATCAGATGGCAATATCATTCGTGAATCCCAATCTTCGAATATTCAGTTGTTCTTCTTGATATGTCGGAATTGTATTGCGTATCAATGTGCAAACTTCGAATAGTGTTCAGCGTAGAAGTGCAAGCCATCCGCGATGCCATCCAATGGACCTGGACGAGCTTCCCATAAGCCCATCTGTCGCTTCGACAGTCTTTCTGTATCGCTATCGGGGTAAACGTTTGCGTGAATGATATAAAGGTGTCTCAAGTTGTTTGACGTCCGAGTGCCGTTGTCATGTTGGTGTCATGAGCCTTGCAGCTATCGTTTGCTATTAGCGGCCTGCGTCAGACACTCGAGTAGTTGCGACTTAGTGTAGTCCCAAGATTCTAGCCCAGGAACTTGGGTTTTAATATTTTGGTGCGACTTATTTAGTAGTAGTAGTAAGTGAGTAACAGTTGTAACAGTAGTCAATTTGCGATTATTTAGATTTTTAGTTGCGACATTGATTTGAAACAGGAGTTGGGGTAGCAGGATAAGGTATTTCTAGTGTTACTGAGTGCAGTCGTAAAATAGTGAGCCAACAGATCGAAACGTCGTCGAAACAAATGCATTTTTTCATGGTTTATTGCAACTTCGGCGCGAAGTTTGGTTCGAAAAAATTTTGCGAAAAATTTCTGATTCTGATTCTTTTCGAGGTAAAAGTATTTCGTCAGACAGCACGATCTTTCACATCAACTCGGTCTGTCTTCTCCTCGTCCACCACGCGACGACACTTATTCCTCCGCCGGCGGCATGGCGATTTTTTCCTGCACGAACATTGTGGCGATTCCCCAGGGGCACTCGAGCGGGGCGATGTGCAGCGGCTCCCACAGCGTGATGTCCGGCGCGGCCCGGGTTAGGGTTACCAGCAGACTCCCCACCTGCGCGTTCTTCGCGGCCTCACACAGACCCGTCAGCGTTTCTTCCGAGTAGCACGGGGACAGCGCGGCGAGGAGGACCTGGTTGTCCGGAGTGCAAAACGCCGCGGCCTCGTCGATAAAGTTGCCCTTCACACAGCTCACGTCCGCCGCCTTCGTGATGCTCTCGTCCGGAAGCTCCTCGAGGCCGGTGTACTTCGCGACGGCCTGCTGCGCCATGCTGTCGTAGGCCTCGAGCAGCTCGATACCGACGATTTTGGCGAATTTGGGCTCCAACACCGCCGCGCCCAGCACCTGCTTGCCCAGCCCGCTGCCACAGTCCACGAAGGTGCAGGTCTCGGGGAAGACGCGCCCCACGGTCTTGTATGCAATGTAAATTTCCTGTACATGTACAATAAAATGCATGACAAATTGCGCTACCTTGCAGAGTCCAACTTGTCATGCTGGACTAGGATTGAAGGCAAGTTTTGTCATGCAGAGACTGCATTTGCACGTGTACGGGAAATTTACTGTGGATATCTTGCAGCAGTTGAGCACCTCGCACAGGTTTTTCAGCCCCAGCTCGCCGTACACCAGGTTGGACTCCGCGACCGGCAGCCCGTCTCCCCCCTCGCTCTCCGCGTCCTTTGCCGCCTTTTTCTCCACGCCGGCGCGAAACTTGGCCTCGGCAGTGCTCAGCTCGGTGAACAGGGACGAGTGAAACTCCTCGCGGACAGGGAGCGCGTCCTCGGCCAGCGGGGCAGCCGGCACGGGCACCTCCACTTGCTCCTCTTCGGCCATGTTTGTGGATTTTTGGGAGGTCTTGCTGGTCAGAAAAAAAAACTAAAAGGCGTTTGGGATTTAATATTACAATGGAGTCGTCCACCTAAGCGTTTATTTGTAAACAACAATACTGTCGTGTTCTCACTGGGAGTTTGACCTTGACGAGTTGTAGACCTGCATCAGTTTTTTTGCCCGGAAAAGACTCTTGAAGATACGGCTTTCTTGTTTAGGCTCTATCTCTATGTCTACTGAGATGAACGATGAATTGCTAAAAACTTCGACGCCCTGCTCTCCTGTTGTACGATGTTGCGCTTTCGTCTGCTTTGTCTGCTCAGTTTCCTGCACGTTGATACAACTAATGAATTGCACGACTAGTCGAGTGTTAACCCAAAAGAACCATACGAGCTTCCTTTCGTTTCGGAAAAGTATGCTTACTTTAGTGACTTTCTTTTTCCTTTTATTTCCCCACCGAGCAGGAGTCGTAGTGTAGCGCTGGCACTAGTGCTGAAATGCAAATGCGACTTTTTCTTTATGGGTTTTATACTTGGATACACAGCAGCGAGTGCGCGGACGACATTCGTGACCGATGTTGAAGGCTGCCATTACAGGAGCAAAAACTTCTTTCTTAGCTCCAGTCTATTCTACGATAAGAACAACAAACTCGTGGCTTTTTGAATTTGATCTCACATTGAACGCATGCGCTTGCGTCTTTTTTTGAAGATGCTTTCCTTAACGCTGTATCAAAGTCAGTGTGGAAAGCACACGTCAGGCGTCGTGCACAAAAAGACCACCGGTACGCGCTGCGACAATTTTCCAAAAAACCAAAAATCATCGAGTCATCGGTCTATCCGATTAACGCACGTCTAATATGATATGTCTGCAACACAAGGAAGAGCCGGAAAAGTAGGTCCTCGTCAGAAAGCGAATGCGAACTCGGACAACATCATGAACTCTTTCTCTTTTGAGAAAGTAGAAAAGATCACTTTTTTTCTCTATCCTTCCCGAGGATCATGTGCTCCTCGTCTTGTAACTGTAGTCTTCGCTTGTCTACTGCGCGTGAACCACCAGCTGTCTGCTCTTCGCCCTTGACGCATTTTTCGATCAATTTCTCCATCTCTTCGTCTAAAAACTGAAGCCGCAGATCCGAAAACCGCTCCCGGTGCACGATGTAGAGAAATTGCAGCTTTTTGTGCTCTTCCGGAATCGTCGCGAACTCCTTTATCTTCCGCAATTGCTCCGCCTGTTTGAAAGCCGGAATATGGACTGCAAAAGTATCGCACTCGTATAAATGCATGACAAATTCCCTCAGCATGAGAATTAAAATTTGTAATGCGGATTTACCTTGAGAAAAAAATTTGTAATGCAAGACTTGCATTTATACGAATACGATACTTTTGCACAGGATACGTCAACAGATTCATCAATTCCGTCCAGGGTTCGCCCGCGGATTCCAAATCGTGCATCTGCCGTTTCACGTTTTCCACATACCCAGGGTCAACGAGGTGGTAGCAACCGGAACCGTCAGGCGAAAATGCAACGGCGTTCGTTGGACTGCTGGTTCTTGCGCTACCTTTAATATCCGAAGTGGAGGGTGAAGAAGGGGCCAGATGCTCCGCGCTTACAAGTTCTCGTGCAGCAGGAGTACTAGTAGACGAGCTGCTTTTCTTCGCATCTTCAACGGTTTGAATTTGAAAGGAAACCGAGCGGCCCTTCGTTCTCCCACTCGGGAGAACAAGCCCCGTCGTGGTCGTTTCTGACGAGCTGGTTTCTTTCCCTGAGTAGTTTTTATGCAGTCGATTACTACGAGTAGAATCATCTCTGGACAGCAAAGCCAACGACCGTACGTCGGTAGAACAAGACGGTGCTGTTGGAGAAACTGCTGCTACTGGAGGTTTCTTCGATGAAAGAGAAGAAGTAGAAAGCGCCGACGTATGTGGACCAACAGAAGTTGTGTGTTTTTCCATGATTTCCGCCCGTGCTTCTTCTTGTGTAAGCGAAAAGTGAAGACGAGCTGGCGGAGAAAAAGTTGTATGATCTTCAACAGCACGAGAATTTCTATCTTGCTCGACCATTTCTGAGTCTTCTACCTCCTTGTGTTGCTCTTCCTCTTTGCAGCTGCGTGCACTTGCTACAACTTCTACACCATCATTTCTATCCTTAGTCCCCTTAATATTCGACAACAATTCTCCCATCACCGCTTTCCGCGCGTTTAATTTCTGCTTCAATTCCGAAGACGCTTCCTCCCCGAGTACCACCTTGGCACTGGGCCGGTCACCCTGCACGATCTCGTCTTTGTCGTACAGTTTTGCGAGACAGTTGTGCGTCCCCGTTTGGGGTCCTAGAGTTCTTGCCCGGTCCAGCTGTTTTTGTAAACGGAGTTGTAGTTCCGGCGTGATTTCGTCTTGGTGCGGGTAGTTCTGGAGGCGGAGCTGACGATGGTGTGCTTCGTCGTCGCCGGATGCAGTTGGCGTAGCTAGGAGTTGTACATCAGATGGGGACGAGCAAAAGTAGGAGGTCTTCTTGTTACAGGAGGAAAATGCTGTTGAAGATTCATCGACAGCTGCGCCGTCCGTTGTGCTATCTCCTGGTCGTCGTGTGCCAGTAGTTACAGGACACTCTACTTCCGGGTTTGTCGAATCCGCCCTGACCCTGCGTCTGAGCAGTGCTTGACGCAGCTCCCCGGAAACTTCGCCGAATAATTCCTCGTTTTTGTGCTGCTGTTGATCAAGGGGGGCGCTAGTACCAGTGTGGCTTTTATCGTCTTCACGCCCTGCAGCCTTTCTTGCGGCTTGTGAGTGCTCGCGCGCTTGGTCCTCTTCGAGCCACGGGTCTTGCCCTTGTTGCGCTTCGTAGTCTACTTCTTCATCTCCTGTGACGTCCATCGACCGCACATCTGCCCCTCGGTACGCAGCGACGGCATTGAGACCTCCTGCACCTGGTTCAAATATTTCGTGCGGCGGTAAGAAGTGTCGGGGTGTCAACCACAGCCACACGCTTGTTGCAGCGCGCAAAGTTTGTTCTTTATTTCGCATCATGTCGCAGTAAAGCAGTGGCTCTTGAGCCTGATGCTGATGCCGAAGTCTTCCAGAAGATAAACACCTTCTGTGAGACGGTATCAAGTCCTCGGAAAAGTGAATAAAGTACTTACTTGAATGCACTTTGTTAGGTAGGTACCGGAACCAGAAAAGGCAGAACCGAAAAAAGCACAAACAGCACCAGGAAAGGAAACAGAAACACCGCGATCGAGCGAACCTTTCGATCAGGATCTCGTGCTGCGCCGCAGCAAAACAATTCATCCACAGCTTTTTCTACTTTTTGGTGATCATGCTTTAAAAAAGAGATCCAGAACCGCGAGATTTTTTGCTTTGTGACTTGAGAACAGGGCAACGAAATGAGGCAGCCGCTGCTTCGACGATGCTACTCCGTGGTCCTCGTACACGAGTACTAGAACGATTCTACAGTACCCGCAACTTCTACATCTGTTCGCGGCAGCGGTCATCTTTATCTTTCATTTTGTTGAGTTGTTCTTGAGAATGGATGTCAATCCTACAGTTCCATAGCAAGTGGAAAAACAAGAAACACAAGCATAGTGTGTTTGATTTTGAAACAAGTTCAATAGACGAGTGTTGCCAGCAGTTCTTGGAAACTACAAAGTTCTTGCAGCTCTATTTTCACTCTTCCAGCGTTTCCACGCTCGAGCCTTGCGACCCTTCTTGGCCAAACGCCGCGCTTCTTGGCCCCTGTTCTGCAGCGGGTGCGCTGGCCTTACTGTAGTTGCCACCGCCACCAGCCCCTAGAAGTGGGGGTTCTGTCAAAACTCCTTGTGCACCTACTGACGCAGCAGTTGCGGCCTCGTTCCTGTTCCTGTTTTTAGCAGAACTGCCTGCGGCTGTACTACTTGCGGCCGCGAACCCCTGCAATCTGCCAGCCAGTTCTTTGTTACCACCAACCTTGTTGTTGGGACGACTCGATGACGGCGAAGGAGGCGAAGTCTTAGGCTTAGCCAAAGCCACGCCCTTCGAGTTACTTTTCTTCACACCGACATCACCGCCTCCAACGCGGAGATACTGGTGTTCGTCACTGTCGATGTGCTGATCCAAGTGCACGACTTCCGGGTGATCCTCGCGGTTTTTGTTCGTTGCAGCACGACGAAGAACGCGCAAGTGACCATGCTCGTCGCTATCGATATGACTGTCCAGATGGACCTCCTGCTCTTCCGGGTCGCTATTCAGGTGATGGTCCAGGTGAATAATCTTCTCCCTCGTGGCTTCGTTTCCAGAAGATTCCGAGTGCAAAAGCTGCTCGTGGTGGTCCTCGTGAAGGTGAGTCGTGGTCCCTTGCTGCTGCTGCTGTTGCTGCTGCTGCACATTGCTCCTGTTCGGCGCAGCTCGACCTCCTGGAGCTGCTTTTGGTGGCAGTGGCACTTCCACTCCGGGGAAATTTTTCCTACCGACGTTGTTCTTTTCCGACTTCAAAACTCCGTGATTCACCAGGTCGATAGGCAAGGGCCGGTGATCTTGTCGCGGTTTATTTGTAGTACTTCTCTCGGATGTAATTGGGGATGCTTGTACTAGAGATGAACCTTCCTGCTCGTGCGGAATCTCTTGTTCTGGTGCAGGTGAAACATGATTCGTTTCCTCTGCAGTCATCATGTTCTTGGTTCGTGGTGTATCGCTGGTTGAAAGAACGCCCCCATCTGCAGTCTGTCGCGGTGTGGTGCTGGTTGAGAAAGGTGGTCGTGGCGTCGTCATCGCAGAGACAGAGGACACTGTCGCAGTCCGCTGGTAGTAGAGGTAGGAACTGCTGCTAGTATTTTCATTTTTTTTACCGGACGTCGAGTTTTTGCTGCTAGAAGTGTTCTTTTCGCTCTTCGCACCTGTAGCATTGCCCTGCGCTTGCGGAGTCTGGTGCAGACGATCACCGCTACTGCCTTGGTATCAAATGTGAAAATGTCTGGGTCTGGGAGAATGCATGTTTGTCATGCTTGTCTGGCATGACTCTTAAATTTGTCATGCACGTTACCCAAGAGCTCCATTTTTCTGTGATGCAGAAACGCAGTTTGTCATGCAGAATAGGCAACACCGGGACGCGCAGAAACTTGTGATGCTGAGCCAGCATTTGTCGCCTCATCATGAGACGCCACCCAGCATCACAAGTTTCCAGACCCAGACATTTTTACATTTGATACTTGGTCAGGATCTTGCTCCTCTTCGTCGGCTCTTGCGAGCGCTGCATCAGCTTCAACACCTGGCACGACTTTATTCTTCGTCAGAAGTTTCTCTTTTTGGTTTGCCGCTGCTGGTGATGAAGTTTTCTTTACCTTTATTTCCCCTCCCTTTTCTTTCCGTTGCTGAGATGAAGCAGCTCGATAAAAGTCCGCTGCTCTGGCCTGTGCAGACAACTTCGCTGCGGAATCCGAAGTAGCGCCGTCAAGAACTTTTTCCTTCCCGGCAGCAAGAGAGGGAGCTTTCGCTTTTGCTTTAGCAGCAGCACTACTAGAAGAAGTATTCGGCGGGTCCTCGTCATTGCTCCTGTCAGTGTTACCTCCCGTCGTTGCACCTCCACCTGCTGGCGCGGCTGGCGCCTCAGTTCCACGCGTCGCAAATAGTCGCGTCCCTCTCCCCTGCCTCCCTTTGGGCGGTGGTCTACTTGAGCTTGCAGAAGATAAACCGGCAGCTCCAAGGGTCTTTGTGAACCAGTCCACAAGCGCCCCGCCGCTCGGCGGGGAACCACTTCCACCAGCCTTCGCCAGAGACGACAACCGCGAAGTCGTGCGCTTCTCGTTCAATTCGGCAAGTTTCAAATCCATAGCGTCACTGTTTTCGCCCCCTCCGGAGGAAATACTCATTCGCTCCAAGTCGTCGATTGCCTCGTCATACGTCTGCGCTCCCAGCAATCCCGCATTATCGACGATGTTGTTTCTCCTCGCGAGATCGTTTTCGTTGTCTTCTCCGGCTTCGACCACATTCCCCACGACCACCCGCTGATCGTTGAAATACCCCCCGATGGCCACCGCCTCTCGCCCCGTGGTTATCATGTCTTCCTTCCGCCTGCAGGGGTAACACGGACAGAAATCCTCGTGCTCCTGACCGATGTGGTACTTGCGCGACTGCATGTACCCCCGTTGATGGTACTGGTCAAACAGGTACTCCTTGCCGCGCTGGAAGTAACAGGGAACGTCACTGTAGCGCTTGAAGGAAATGTGGGACTTGTAAAACTCCGTGTTCCGGTTGTCGCAAAATTGCAATTCCTCCTCCAGCAAGCCAAACCAGGCTTTCAAGCAGTGTCCCGGATTGGCGTTCAGGTAGTTGTAGGACACGTGTCGCTCAACATCGTTGTGCGTAGCGCGATGTCTCTTTCCGTGCGGAAGATTTTTGTTGGGCCCTCGTCCCGCAAAAATGGTGGTATGGGTGAAGTTTTTCACCTTGGCAAGCGTGGAAGTGATGGCATTGCTAGCGCTTTGGTCCACCCGTGAAGGAGAGGATGAGGATCCTTCTGCTGTGCCGATTATCGGGCGTTTCTTGCTGTTTATCATTTTCCGATTGGTCTGTTTCGAATCTTCGTTTCTCCCCCCGTCGCTGTTGTTCTCAAAATCGGTCGCTTCATCGTTGTCGTCGATCACTTCAACATCTGTTTCATCGCCGTCGAGCAAGTACTCTGGAATCCAGGAATGCCGAGTGTGAGGCTTAGTGACATTCTTGTCTCTTATGATCCTGCTACCTGCACTGGAGGCCGAGGGGTCGTCCCCTGCAGCTCGCTGTTCATTGATCTCTTGCACATCTTCCACCTCGTTGTTTTCCGACTCTCGTGGGTCGTAGCCACTTTCCACCATTCCGAAAAATGGACCCGCCTCGCCCTCCGCACTAGCTCGGCCCGGCGACGGCAATGGGAATGGTGTGCTAACCGTATTTTCTTTACTACTTTTTTTCGCCTATCCCAAGTAAAAACGTCCCCACCCCATACTTGTCATGCAGATTTGCAGTTACAGGAAGATTTGTATATGCGTATCTCCATGAGAGTCATTTCCAATGGCGTTTTGGACTTTGTAATACTGTAAACAGGATGAGTAGATGTATTTGTGTTGCGGCTGTACTTGCTAAACTGCACTACGATACGGAGACGAACTTGTCATGCTTGACTCCCAAAACTTTTCGATTTGTGTTGCGAGATCCCCATCTTGACTATGGGGTGGGGACGTTTTTACACAGGATATTGCCGTGAGGTTCTTTTGAAGTTTCAACACCGTTACGTTGCTGGGAGATGAAGAAGCTTTATTTCTAGTACTCGCCGTCTGCCGACGAGAAATAAAGGTGTTCTTGTTGTTCGTAGTTATCGTTTCATCTTCCCCAGAATCAATGTCGAGTTGCTCCTCCATAATCTCGGCCGAGATTTTTTCCACCAACTTCCGTTGACCCCAGTTGCGGAGAATTTTTTGCTGCAAATAAGTCCACGAGAACACAAACAACGCCACGCACAGAGCCGACCCGGCAACATACAGCCACACCTGGTCCCAGAACGCGTTTCCCGCGTCGTTGCAGTAGCTGTTGTCCCTGCTCCCGTGCTCGGTATCAATTTTGGCGTCGTAGCACAACCTATGAAATGCAAAAGCATCGCACTAGTATATAACTAGCCATGCTCCGGCTGCCGCCGGAGCGCAAGGCTGTTGGGCCGGGGCAAGACTGTTTGCCGATCGGACCACAACCCCGCGGGCCTATGCACAACGAAACATATTGCGCCTCGCCAACCCGCAGGACCACTTGCGCGCTTCCCGCGCCTGTGGGCGCTCTGCGCAGGGAGCAGCTGCAAAGAACACCGGGGGCGAACAGAAGCCGCCCGGCGGGAGAGGGTAGCGCGAGAGGGTGGCGCGAGAGGGTGCGCGAGAGGGTGGCGCAAGAGGGTGGCGCGAGAGGGTGCGCGAGAGGATGGCGCGGAAAGGCGCCGAACAAAACAGCTCCGCGAAGGAATGGCCTGCAGTGCCAAATATGGGCAGTGCCATGCGGATTCGCGCCCGCTTCTTTGTGTTTTACCCTCTCGCAGACCTCTCGCAGACCCTCTTTTTGACCTCTTTTGGGGGTCCCCGCTAATAGTCCGGCTATACTCGCGGGTAGAGGTCGACAGAGGTGGCCGAGAGGTGGCCAAGAGGGTCCGCGAGAGGTCGCCCCCTATTCGCGCCACCTCTCGCCACCTCTGTCGACCTCTCGCGCCCCCTCTTTTTGACCTCTCTGCACCCTCTGTGCCACTTAGGCGGCGCCTAAGGGTGGGCCCTTACTGCGGGCCTTATTCGCGCGCCCTCTCGCGGACCCTCTCGAACGGGGTCCCGCGCCACCTCTCCACCTCTGTCGACCTCTTTTCTACCTCTGTCGACCTCTTTTTTACCTCTCGGCCACCTCTCTGGGACCCTCTGTCTACCTCTTTTTTCGCATTAATATAATGTATAAGTAATCGCATGACAAGTTTCCTCGGCGTGGTGAGAAATGCGATTTGTAATGCGGATTTGACTTGAGAGAGAAATTCGTAATGCATGACTGCGATTGCTACGAGTACGATACTTTTGCACAGGATACAACCGGGACCGGCCGTTCCGCCGCAGCTTCTGGGCCCACCGCCCGAGCACTGCGCCTAAGATGATGGACACCCAGACGCCGAGATTAAACTGCGCCGCGGAGTCCACACTGGAGGAAGCGATGGGCAAGGGCATCGCCATCCGCAGATAGCAGTAGCGCTGGGAAACGAGCTCCCACAAAGCATACATCGCGATAAAGATCAGTACCGTGTACGAGTTCGCGCCCGCCATAAACAGCTGGAGAAAGACACAAACGAGGAAGAACGTGTTCTGTGCGTAGTCCTGCGGGATGCTGCACTCGGTCGGCTCGATATAACAGTGCATTACTCCCCCTCCTCCTCATTTGTATAGCATGAACAGCAATACAAATACCACCACGCGTGGAGTCTATGAATGACAAATTTGTGTGTCTAGTGCAGTACTGTTCGGGCTTCCAAAATTTGTCATGCAAACAGTGCCACAAGGAAGCGACTGGCTTTGGGCTTCTGCATGCCAAATGAGCGGGAGGGGGAGTTGTGCACGGTCATAGTCGAAGAACGCCTCCACGTCGCGGACCGACCAGGTTTTCGTGCTGAACAGGCGGGTCACGAACCTGCCGATATCCTGAGTAAAAACGTCCCCACACCAGAGTTGTAATGCAGATTTGCAAAGACAGGAAGACTTGTAATGCGCATCCCTATGAGAGCCATCTCCAGTCGTGTTTTGGAATTTGTGATGCTGTGAACAGGATGAGCAGATGAATCTGTGATGCGGCTGCACTTGCTAACCTGCACTACACTGCAGAACGCAACTTGTCATGCGTGACTCACAAAACTCCTAGGTTTGTGTTGCAAAATCCCCATCCTGACTCTGGTGTGGGTACGTTTTTACTCAGGATAGCCGAGGTAGAAAACGCAGTCGTAGGAGCCGACAGGAATCACGGCGAGAACCACGAACTGGGAGAAGGTGATTTCGTAGATCAACCGGACCATTTCCATGTCGTAACTCTGCTATGACAGTGCATAATTCCACCCCCCCTCATTTGTCATGCAAGTTGCCGAATCCAGTCGCTGCCTTGTGCTGGCACTGTTTGCATGACAAAGTCCGGAAGCCCAGCAAACAGCACTACATTAGAACCATAAGTAGATTTGTCATGCATAGACTTCATGCGCGCTAGCGTTTGTATTGCTGCTCATGCCATACAAATGAGGGGGAGGGGGAGCTGTGCACTCTCATATCTGCCACCACTCGTGCAGAAAGCTCAACGGGGCCATGTGGTCGACCAGCCAGGGTTATCAAATGCAAATATGTCTGGGTCTGGAAAGTTGGAACTTGTAATGCTGGTCTTGCATTCCTGTGAAATCTGTGTTGCATGACCAACAAAAGTGGCAGCCTCGCGCGTGGTTATACAAAAACGCAATTTCTGATGCGGAGTTCGTATGACAAAGCGCTGTGCAGACTTGTCATGCTTTCCTGCATGAGGAAGTGTTTTCATCGTGCGCAATTTAGCATCACAAATTTCCAGACCCAGACATATTTGTACTTGATAAGGGTGTGGGTGTCAGTTCCGTGCCGACAACGGAAACGGGTAGCGTAAAGTAGTACTGGAGCAACACCGTGAAAACCAGCGCAAAAACGTTGAAAAAAATCTCGAACTCGATCCGTTTCCCTTCTCGCGTGAACCGCATCATGCGGGAAATAATCGTGGACATGGCCTGGACCAGGATCAACATGCCCCCGTAAGTATCGAGTGTAAATGTGTCTGGGTCTCGAAGGATGCAAGGTTTGTCAGGCACATTTTGCATGACTCGTGATGTCAGTGATGCACGCCCTAGCATCACAGATTTTGCGAGGGCTTCCTGATGCCTATACCGCATGAGAAATGCCCTCTCGCCGTGGCAAAAGCTGGACCCTTGTTTTGCTGTCCATGGAATACAAATTTTTGTAGTATGCAAATGCAGCATGACAAGTTACATCTTTCCAGACCCAGACAACATATTTGCAATGCATAGTAAGCCACCGACATGATGTACCCCGGGAAGGTGGACAGCGTCTGCAGGGAAATACCCGCCTCAAAAATGCCCGGCTCCGCGCCGATGCCCTGAGGATTTTTTGCAATTTTTGTCAATTCAAATCTTCAAAGATTTTTCTGGCACGATGTGACTCTCAATTGTACACTGTGTATTCATCCTTGGGTCAACAGAAAACAACCTTTCAGTACACTCCAGCAGCAGGAGCAGAAGCAGAACTGCTGCCTTCAGTATCAGCTCTTCTCAAGCAAACGAAATAAATGCTCTGTATTTTTGGTATTGTCAAAGAGCTCATAGTACTTACCTTGATGTACCCGGTGACGTAGTGGATGTAGGGCATGAATACGCCATACACGTACACGAGAATCGACGCCGTTAAAATCGCAACGGTATCGAATGCAAATAAGTACTTATGTCTGGGTCTGGAAACTTGTAATGCTCAGCTGTGAATAGTGAGTGCTCTGTAATGCACAGCCAAGCATGAGAAATATTTGCGCAGCTTCGTGTTGCGCTTTCCGCATGACAGACTGCGTTTCTTGCATGACAAGCAAAAGGCTCTCTTCTTAGACACGCATTACAAACTCTTCAATCATGCCAGACAGGCATGACAAACCTTGCATCCTTCCAGATCCCGACCCAGACATATTTCATTTGCAATGCATAAACCCAGACGAAGAACGACTCCATGAACCCTCTCCACGTGGCGCCGTAGGCAAACCAGCCCACAACCGGCGGCAAGTCCGCGTTCGTCCCAGGATGGGCCCGGATTTTTAGCTTTTGCACGAGTTTGCCGCCGACGTAGCGGTTCCAGCGGAGCGGGATCATCTGGCCAGAAGGATGGCCCCCGCCGGTTTCTACTTGTTCTCCTGAAGCTTTCTTGCCCTTCTCCGTCGAAGATTTCAGGCTGTGCCGCATCATGGCCTGCACCAGTTTCCACCGGTCCTTTTCACTGTGGCAAACCACGAACACCGTGCCCGAATTTTCCAGCTTTTTCACAAACTCGCGCGCCTGGAAGACCTCGGGGTGGCGCGGGTTGTGGCGTTCGTTCTCATCGGCGAAGAGATAAATCAGTTGCTCGGGCGGAACCTCGGAGTCCTCCGTCTCGTACGTATGCATTGCAAATATGTCTGGGTCTGGAAACCGAAACTTGTCATGCAAGTCAGTGAACAATAAGTGGACTGTAATGCGCAGCCAAGCACGACAAGTTTTTTCGCGCTTCTGTGCTGCGTATTTCGCATGAGAAACTGCGGCTTTGCATGAAAGGCGAGAGAAGCTGTTTGTGGCCACGCAATACAGAGTGCAGGGTCATGCCGGAGTAGCATGACAGATCTTCCAGACCCAGACATATTTGCACTTGATAGTACGTACTGGTAAACAAGTTTGTTCCTCGTAGCGGTCTGCGCTTACCACTGGCTGCGGTCGTTCCCTATCCTGAGCAAAAACGTCCCCACCCCAGAGCTGTCATGCAAATCTGCATGCTCAAATGTTTCTCATGCGAAGCCCCATGGGAAGCGTTTCTAGTCGTGTCGTGAAATTTGCGATGCTAGAATCAGCATGATGCGCTAGGTCTGTGATGCTTCTGAACTACCTAAACAGGATCACACTACGAGGAGAATAAACTTGTCATGCGAAACAGCCAAAGCTGGCTGATTTGTCTAGCAGACTTCCCATCTTGACTCTGGTGTCGAGACTTTTTTACCCAGGATATTCCCTGTCGGTCGTTTATCTCAATTTTCGCGGTGATCGATCCGTAGCTGGCCTCACTCGCGAAAGTCCCCAAACTACTGTTGTTCATCCTGGCAGCACCGGTGGTCTGGGTCTGCCTCTCGTCGTCGATAGTACTCGCTCGCGTTTGGTCTTTTCTATCGATCACCATGTCCGGGTGAAGATGGGGAGGCGAGCCATGAGTTCCTTCGCCCTCCGGTCCTCTTCTCCGTTGTCCCCGGTTCAGTTGCGTTTTATGTTTGCTGTCCCGGCGCAATAGAGGTGCGGTAATGCGCGAGTACATGCCGGTCGGTTGCCACCAGGGCGTGTCGTCGGCGCTGTCTTCGTCCGGGATGTAGTCCCCGTTCTGATCGAACCGCGGCGGCTTTCCCTTTTTCCCGTAGGCCTCGGACAGCGGGAAGCTGCCGTATTCGCTGTCTTTGATCAGCACAAAGCGGTCCAGCAGCGTCTTGGTGTAATCCGACCCGTACAAGACGTGTGAATCGGCCGCGAAAAAATCGTACGCGATAGAACAGTACAGAATTTTGGTCCGGTGGTCGTTGTGGGGATCCTTGCTTTGCTTCGAAGCGGTCGACAGCGCGCTCGCCACCGTGGCTCGGCTGTTCATGAGATTGTCTGCTTCTTCGTGGCGGAAGTGCTCGTAGTGGTCTTCAAACTCCAAAATATCCTCTTGCAGCCTATGAACCGCTCAAACGTTACTATCTCAAACGTTTTACAATAGAATATGGAAATCTGTCATGCAAGAGTGCATGATCTAGCCTACTCCCACAGGATTGCGCATGACAAGTTCTCGAGTCCCAAACCGCGCTAGAATCATCTGCCGAAATTTGTATTGCAGAAAGTGGAACGCTCTGCGAGTCTGTCATGTTCGTCATGCGAGGAAAATTCCAGATTCTATTGCAACGTTTGAGATTGTAACATCTGAGCAGGTCATACAGCCACTTCTGGATCTCACTCGGGTCCGTGATTTCCGGCGTAAATCCGGTCTATCAAATGCAAACATGTCTGGGTCTGGGAGAATGCAGGAGTTTGTCATGCAGATTTTGCGTGACCCGTGAGGTCTGTGATGAATGCCCTAGCATCAGAGATTCTGCGGGGGCTTTCTGATGCTCATGCCGCATGAGAAATGCCCTCTCCGCGTAGCACAAACTGCGCTTCTTTTGCTGTTCGCGCAATACAGATTTTTATGTAGAGTCCAGAGGTAGCATCACAAACTGCATTGTTCCAGACCCAGACATATTTGCCATGCATACGGTCATTCGGATCGCGAAGCGGTCCATGGTCACATTTTCCGGAGACTCTTGGTGCTTCATGGCCTTGCCCCGCTGGTACACTTCCAGCAGCAAAATCGCGACTAGTGTGTAGACAAACAGGATGCAAACGCCGAGCCACGCTCTGAAATTGTGGGTGTGGATCATCTGCAGTGTGTCTTTGAAGAACTCCGGGACCAGGCTGTCGTCTACTTCGTCGTTCACACGGACAGACACCAGTTCGGCGAACTTCTGAAGAACGGAGGAAACAATTTCTGAACTCGTCTTCGAGGGAGGTTTGTTTTCAGCGGTGCCGTCTACACCAGGGGGAGCTCCACCATGTTGGGCGGCTGTCTGCTGCTGCTGCTCATGGGACTCTTTACTATTTTGGTAGCTGGGCGGCAATGTGCTGGAGGTGGGAAAGAACAGTAGAGGATTGCCTCCGGGCGCGAGCGTTTGCGCGACGATGGGGGGCGCAGATCCCGGTCGTCCCGTCGCTCCTACTGCAGCGGCGAACTCCGGACTGCCCGGCAGCACCGTGCACATATCCTTCATTCGCTGCGGCGACAGCGAGAGCTCCAGCATGTTCCCCAGGGAGAACATGGTCGAGAAGTCCGCACTGCCGAAAAACAAGTACAGCATCAGGGCGGCGCCTACAGCGTACAGGAGAAGCCAGACCAGGTTGGTGAAGTACAAGTTGAACCCCACGCCCGCAATCTCCTCCGTCCGCACGGCCGTGCCGCAGTAGCTGTAGTACTCGTTGGGATACCCCTGCGGCCGGTGGAAGCACCGGCCCCGATGCTGCAGAGCGAGCGCATAGTGTCTGTCGTAGTTTTCGTTCGTGGGCTTGCGACAGTAGGAAAAAATCAAGGTCGCAATCGCCAGGACCAACAACCCCGAGAAGAAAATCGTGTACTCGATATTTTTGTGCCACGCGTACCAGCAGACGCCCCAGTTCAACTGAAAATCTTCGGAACATTCCTCGCAACTGTGCCGATCTTTCTGGCACTTCACGCACCCCTTCACCTCGCACGAGTCGCACTTCAGCTCCGTCGAGTTGTACGCGCGCCTGTTCGGGTGCCGCGCGAACAGGTTGGACGGCGGCCCGGCCCAGTGGGTCTTCTTGGAGGTGGTGGTTTCTTGCTTGTTACCTTGCCGCGGTACCCGTACTTCCTCTTTCGGCTTTTTCTTGGTGCCATTATCTTTGTGAGGCGTTCCTCCACCTGTAGTGGTTGTTATTGCTTCATCAGGGAGATTTTTCTGTGCTGCGGTTCCACCTTCCGTGAGATTTTTTCCACTGAGTGCTGGAGTTTTAGCCCGTTCCTCTTGCTGCAGCTGCTCCTCCTGATGATCGGAAAAATCGTCGTCCCGGTTCTTTCGCTGACTCCGACGTGTGCTCGTCGTGCCCATCCTGTTGTTGATCTCGTGCCCCAGCAAATTCTCGTGCGCCTCGTCCGCGTTTGCCATCAATTTGTTCCAGGGGTGTTCCGCTGCCCCCGCCGGTGCGTGGTCGGACAACGAGGAAGTACGAGGTCCTGGAAGCGACTCAGGAGGTTGAAGCTGATCGTTCTCCTCAGTGCTTCCGCTGGGTGCAGCTGCTGCTGTTCCACGTTGTTCCCCGCCCCCCATATCACCAAGAGGATTGTCATCGTCATCTGCGTCGGGATCGAAGTCATCATCCGGTGCGGCAGAGCGTTTTCTTGTCATCGCGCCGGCGGAATGATCTTCCGACTCCGCCGTTTGGAGTAGAGAACCGGAACTCGAAAGGGAAACTTCTACATCAACTTCAACATGGCGGCCGAACAACCTGTTCCAAACACCCCCGGTGATTTTTCCAATACCAGTCCAGGATGAACTCCGCAAAATGTTCTCTTGTACGAAAGAAGAAAAAGAAGTAGAAGTAGTTGGCGCCGCCCTACTGCTCGTGCTAGTACTAGTGCTCGGTGGACCCTTTTTATCTACATTCTTATGCTCGCCGAGCACATCCGCTTCCGCCGCCGACGACAAATTGTAGTTGTAGATATCCTGGTACATTTCGTAGCGGCACCATTTTCTGGTCACGCAGCTGAGCAAGCAGGGGTAGATCCCGTCCTGCTGTAGGTAGGGGCAGGCCTCGGGGCAGATGTCCGTCCCGCGCTGGATCTCCGAAAAGGACACGTTCACGCGGAAAAACACCCCGCAGAACGCGAAGGGGTCGGTCTCGGTTCGGTTGCGCCAGTCCTCGAGTGTGGTGACCTGGTACTTCCCCCACTTCCGCATCAGTTCCTGCTGTTTGTGTTCCAATTTCTCCTGCTCCTTCATTTTCGTCGCATCATCGTTTGGAGTGGCGCTGTCGTGGTGAGATAAATTATCCGCATCGTCATCATCGTTCTCGTCTTCGCGGAGATCATCACTGGAAAACCGGCCGTTTTCGTTCACGCCGATAATCCGAGTCGGGATAATGATCCTTTCCTCTTTCATCTCCGACTTTTGTACGACCATATTGTTGTAGTACGCGCCGCCCGCTTTCGCTTTGGCAGTGGAGGGTGTGTGTTTATTCGGGGCCGCGCGTGGTCCACTGTCGCCCTGCGGCCAGTTGAAGTTTGCCGGCCGGTGGTTAGGACTGCTGCGCTGCTGCTTACTTGTTCCCCGTAAGAACAACGTGCCATCTGGTCCAGCTTTGGCGGAAGGCTTTCCCTTCGGATCAGGGGCAATAATATCTTGTTGTTCAGCCCCTGGTTTATTATTTTCTGGAATGGCATTCGACGCGCCATCCGCTAAAAAGGAGCTGGAACTTTCCTCCTCATCTGCGAACTCAGTTTGTTTCACGAAGCAGTTCGCGCTCGTGGGATCGCTCAAACACTTGCTGTGCTGGTGTACGTGTTGTTCGGTCGTAGTTCTGGCGCCTGCGGCTTGATGCGTGTGCGTCGTCCTGGTAGTACTATCCAGCGGGATGATTGGAACACCACCGCTATTTCTGTTTCGTCCACCACCCGCGTCCACCACGGCGTTTTCGTCTGTTTGGTCCTGCGTGAAGCCAAGCTGCTCCTGGTGCTTGTCCTGGTTTAACTGCGGGTCGTGGGAGGTGCTGTGTTGTCCCGGGAGTACAGAATGCGGCGGTGTGATCGAGGAGGTCAGTGGGGTGATTGTGACCAAAACCAAAAGGACACCAGCAGCGAAGGTGAAAACATTTTTAAGCACCCGGGGTGATCGAGTTGCACGCCCGATAGTGCGCATGGTGAAACAGGACATTTTAGTCTTGGAATTCAACATTTGTTCATTTGTTGATTTTTGTCATTGTCTACTTCATTGCCAGATATTAAACAAGTTCACGCTCGCCTCTGATTTTGAGTCAATATACAAGACGTTTACATGTTTTAGTTTTTCGAGTTCGATCACGACTTTTACATGAATTTACGACCTCCACGACTGTTCGAACCTAAAGCTCCTTCTGTGCGCGCTGTGCCACTGCTCTACCTCTCAGCGACGAAGTCTGTAACATGCTACTTTGCTGACACTCAACGAGATGCGGTAGCTCTCGTCCTCCATCCAAATAAAAGACGACCAACCACACAACTTTGCCTACAACTGGAACGACGGCGACCAATGACAGACCCAACGAGAGTGTATTACGAAAGACGAAGATGACGTGGACTACACGACCGGGTACTGAAATACAAATAGCCAGCCGCGCTACATCATAAGCGGTAGTTGTCGACTTGCAGCTGCAAGAACTCCGGCTCGCGTGGCTGGCGGATTCGTTTAAGTGCCTTCTTCGTGTTCGTGTTCGATCAACATTGGGCCAAACAACTTGCGACATTTTTACTGTACAAAACTGTGCAGAGGTCAAATTTCAAGCTGACACGCGCTTCGCAGCCACAGCGGATCAGCAACAGTCGTCCAGATAAACGACCTGAGCATCTTCAACAACCGATTCGCTATGGCCCACTTGGCACGATGCAACAGAAACTCCACATAATCTGTCGTCCTTCACCGCGGGGGTCGCGGTCGCTCGCTGCTAAAGCAGTTCCTCTACCTCTCTGCGCGCAAAAATCAAGTAAGAGTGAACGTAACAAATCGATCTGAAAGTATTTCGCTAAGAGTCGTCAATATTCACATACGCTTCTGCTGATTTTCTGTATTCTTAGTTACACAAGTCCTATTAATATTCACATACGCTTCTGCAACATTCATGCATCAATATGGATGCACATACGCTTAAATGTCTTAGTTTTGTCTTAGTTGTCCTGCAAGCATCGAGCGATAATTGCAGTGTCTGTTTGATTTTTCTGAAAAGTAAAGTGACAAGAGATGAGAACAAGTTCTACAAGAACTTCGGTGGCAATGAAATTTGCCTTTAATTTGTATTTGCTTAAGGTTAAGATGGTTTCATACTTGCATAAGGGTACATTTGAAATTTTTTGGAAAGACAACCACGCCGAAGCCCAGCGTCGATCCTAGTCCACGACTAGCACCACATCTTCACCCCTCACTGCGCAGCCAGTGCCGCGAGCGCCTTTTCCCTGCGGTCCTTTTCGTCCGTGATGACATGGTCGAATTCCCTGACCGCGTGCCACTCCTCGGGCCACGTGTACTGTGTGCGGGAAAGGGGGCCGAGGAACTCCTGCAGTTGCAATTGTCGCAGCGAAAGTTGCTGGACCCTCCTGTTGGTCAGCACACGGTCGACGGACTGCTTTATGGAACCGGCCGTGTAGCCGACGGAAACCTGATAGAGTTTTTCGTTTTGTTTATTTTTTCGGACGAACGCAGCTATTGCTTATCGTCATCTCCCGTAAATAAAGCTAGAGGGAAATATGCCTCGCACTAGACTACACAGCAAGAGAAAGAGAACGGGTTTTCTGCATGACGAAAACACGATCATCGCGACGACTATCTAAGAAAATCATACCTTCGCCAAGTTGCTCAAATTGAATTTGATCGGATCGACTGTGACTCCCTTCCTCTCGATGAAGTGCCTCCACAGCCTCAGGGATGACCCGTAGTCGGGGAAGGAGAGGTAGACGAACTCGTCAAAGATGTCCTTCAAACCCTTGAGATCCACGCCCTCGCCGTGCGGTTTGGAGGTGCAGCCCACGAAGAGCACACGGTCTCCGTTCGTGGAATCGGCTCCGGTTTTGATCTGATAAGAGTTTGGCCGTGATATGCGAGAGAAGGCGTCACAAGTTTGGGCTGTGGCGAAAAGAAGCATGACAAAAAAAATTTCATACGCTTAGGCTGAACCTCAAAAAAACTACGTACTACACAGTCACAGTTCACTCGCTCCTAGTAATTCCACATAAAGATCTGCAGCTAGGTTAGTACCTGTTTTATTGCCGACACCAAGTCTTTCTTTATCCTGTCTGGCGCATCCGGGTCTCCACCTTTCTTTTTCTTCTTCGCTTGAAATATCTGGTCAATTTGGTCGATGTAGATGACCGAGGGCGCGCAGTCTTGGGCGACGAGGAAAACCTTGTAGATGAGCAGCGCTGCTCCGGTCTTGGCCATGGTGTACTTCCCTTCTATCACCGACGGCGAGATGTCAAAGAAGGTTGCGCCGATCTCGGACGCGATGGCGCGGGCGAACTGGAAAGTGAGTTCGATTCGGGTGTTGATTCGCTGCAACACTTCCCCAACTTGAACTTGATGAACGAAAATTTCTGCATAATAAATCCAAAAACAAAAACAAATGAAACATTTTTCTGATGCAGAAATAGAACGCGCCAGTCTGTCTGAGCTGTACCATGGTCTTCCCGCTTCCCTTTGGGCCGTAGAAGAGTATTGATCTGGCTGCGTAGGGGATCTTCTGTCGTATGGAAAGGGAGGACAAGGGTAAGATGCAGTGCTCCACTACTAACGACTTCACCATCTGTATTGATGGCGGCGGACAGTAGGTCTCCTGTGTCCTCTGGTACGCGCCCAGGTAGTGGAAGTCCCCGACTATGTCGTCTAGTCTGCACGGCTCGATCTTCTTGATCATTTCTGTTTTGATTTAAAAATGTTTTGGACTCGTGCAACGGGCCGAGTAGAAGATGTTCGCAATGGGATGCAATTGCAAACGCATTCGTGGTGGTGCGTAACTAACCGCAGAAATAGATCTACTTAAATACTTCTTTATACCTTGCTCCACTAGATCGGGAAAGCAGTCCTGCACGTTTGAGATCATTCCGACCGCGACGCACCACTTCTTTGCTTTTTTTCCCTTGTCCTTTTTTCCCTTTTTCCCCTTTTTTTTTTTCTCTTTTTTCTTTTTTGCCTTATCGTACATCGACTTCAAATTCATCAGCTCCTCCTGCATTTGCGCGTCGACCTGCTCTCGCAACCTCGCTTCCACCATGGGGAACACCAGTTTTCGCGTGAGCTCCGCGTCGTGCTTCTGGTCGAAGTTGTGGGACTCTTCTCGGTCTTCCCACACTTCCGAGTAATCGTTGATCAAATCGACGAAAGACTGGACTATCGCGGTAGGACCGGCCTGGTGCTCCTCGGCTGTTTTAGGTGAATTGAAATCGGATGATGTTCGACTACATGTGGCAACCAACACAACATGAAGCATTCTCAGCTAATACCCGGTCATATGCAAACGACCACGACGAAATATCCATAAAGAACTACGTGTCTACTATACTCTCTTCCGGTTCTGCCTTATCGCCCTTCTTTTTCTTGTCCTTTTTGTCGTCCTTTTTCTTATCGTCTTTTTTCTTGTCGTCTTTTTTCCCCTTTCCGTCGTCCGCTGGTGCGGCGGCGTCGTCCTTCTCTAACGCGTCGAACCGCTTGTAAAATTCGTCTATGGAGGCGGGAAAAGTGCCCTTCTTCTTTCGGGCTTCCACTAGGAATTGCCGTCTCTCCTCTAACAAGTCGGCGCGAATGTCGGGCCCCTGTGGTGTCGTGTTGCATGGAATGTAGTTGTAGTTCATATTATGCTTGAAAACAGCCACCTATGACTTTCTTTTCATGCACGCCTACTAGCATTCTTAAAAATGTACAAGCAAGTTCCATACCTTCTTTTTCTTCACCCACTCCAGTTCGTCCAGCAGCGCATTATCGTAATCGCTATCCGCATCAACTTGTCTTCTTTTTCTCTTCTGCCTAACTTCCTCTGCGATAGCTCGGTGGTCGACTCCGGTGGTCTGACTAGCGTCGGTCGGGAGGACCATACCTGATAACATTATTTGTGACGGTTTTAGTCAACATGCGAAAAAGTCACGCAGAAGCGAAGCGCTTTTGATGCCATGCCCAGGCGTCCATGAGAATCGAAGAACTGAAAGATTTTCATTTACCAAGGAAGACGAATTCCTCTTGCTTCATGCGCTGGAATTTTCGCTGGACCAGTTTTCTCCTCCAATGCGCCGCGATTAAACTTGCGCACATGGCTTGCTTCTCGAGGAGGACCTGGGATAGGGATTGTTGGTTTTCAAGGTTTCTCTTTTCCAAGCAACACAAGAAAAAAATACAGCCACACGAGATGGTGCTGCACGAAGCGTATATCTTCCATCGCGGCAACCAAAAATCCGATTACAGCGCCTATGTACTATCATGTACCTTTTCACTCATTTCCTCTTGCCCGGGCCCCTTTTTTTCCTTTTTCATCGATTCTTTCCTAAAGTTCGCGATCATCATCGCGCGCTGGATTCCTATTCTCCCGCGCTCGTTTTTCTGCAGCAGCCGAATCGCGTGCTCGACGGTCAGGTCGACCTGAAAGGGATCCTTCTTGTCGCACAGATCCTCCGCTATGGTGGACATACCGAACGCTTTCAGCCAGTGGTCCAGACGCTCGGATTTAACCTGTGGATGGGAAATTTTTTGCATTCACACAACATATTCGCAGAGCGTAACCGCATTTCAAAGTAGTGTTGCAGCCCTCGAATCCGGAGCTGTAGTTGTTGCTACAATAAAACATTATACGTTATACTTACCTCAATTTCGTCTGCCCGATCCCGGTCATCCCGCATATACCTTGGTATGTGCCAGTCCACTATTTCCGGGTTCAGTTTGAAGTTCGTGAGCGCTTCGTCGAGCGCGACAAACCGGTTCTGCGGCCGCGGGTTGAAGTGCACTAATTGCTGCTTCACCTCGAGTAGCCTCACGATGACCGTCTCCAAAACCTCCTTGATACTCCGCCTCTTCTGCGGGTGGATGATTTGGTCGTAGCAGTCCTCGAGCTTCTTGTAGATCTGGAGGTACTTTATGTACAAGAGGGCGAAGTGCTTGAAGTCGACCTGTAGAAGTGTTTGAGTTTTGCTTTTGTGCTTGATACATGACAAAGGGAAAGGAATGGGAAACATCACATCACAAACAACCGCTGCCTTGCGTGTACTGACATGACAAAGTCAAATATACCTGAAAATCTGCTGACTCGACGGGCAGGTACTCTATCTGCACTTGCTCCATGAGCTCCTGCATGGCCTCCGCCCATTTTCGCTGGTAGCTTTGATGCGACATCTTGAGTGGCTGTAGTGGAGGTTTATCACTTCTGTCGTTTCGCTGGTTCCACCGGAACCGGAAGAGTCGCCTTGTTACTTATCCTTGGAGTGCGTGTTTCTCAGCCTAGCCACAGACAAGAACAGCGCCCGCACTCACAGCGCCGCCTCCTCGGGCTGATATAATTTTCTAGTCCTTTTGGTTTCCTACTTTGTCCTCGATGTCAGCGCCTATTTTTCTGTCGCTAGAGAGGTTCTCGATTTGCAAAATAAACCTTTAATTATGCGGCAAACAAGACGAATAAGCTCGACCTCAACTGAGACTCAAGAAAGCGAACGTAAACGAGTTTTTACGCAGCTCATTTACGACGACACCTCCCATTTCACTGACACGAGCGTGCTCGTCCCTCGATCGCGACAATATCCTCATCCGCATTCAAAAGAACTACACTTTTTCACTCTCAAAATTTCAATGACGTCGACGACGACAAATAGAATGGAGGTGAGGTGCCCCTTAGAGTTAGACGAAGGCACCTTCATCTTGGATACACGATTCTACTGAAGTTACGGTTACCTTGCCTTCGGTGATTTTTTCATCTTTCTGTACAAATAGAAATATTTGAAATTATTTGAGCATATACATACGTTCCTTCTCGTTGCTCCGGTGGGTACAAAAGTTAAAATAAGCGACTCAGCGGCTCTCGGTACTTACAGGTGTCTGCTCTTTGAAAATATACATTGACAGTCATATCAAGCAGTTAACGCCTATCCGTTGCACTCTTTTGCGCGTTTTGATGAAAATTCCTGGTTGTTACATACATTTCTTCGGGTGCTCGCATAGGATAAACATAGATTTTTACTCTTCTTCTTAAAAATTGTTGTATTGATTCACGAGTGCTCAGAGGCTGTATTCATATTCCATATGTTTATCAAAGTGAAACATTGATTGAGACGAAACAAAATGAGTTGGTATTCATAGTCTGTTGCTCTGCCTTGTGTTTGTGATTCATTTCTTGCGTACAATTTACTGCACCTCTCAACCCCATTCTACAACACCCACTGCGCACCACCTCCGGTACACACCGACAATGCTGTTTGCTCCTCACAATGACTTCTGCGCCGTCTCCGCAGAAACTGGCTCACTGGCCTGCACCGCGTTGAACGACGCCGGCTTCCCCGTGGTCGCGATGGAATCACCAGCTTCGAAGGCAGCCACTTCATCGCCCCCGATCTCCAGCAAATCTTCCGACACACCAGCGTCGGTCCCATCCGCGGTGATCGTCGTACTGCGAGTCGAGGCACCTTGGCGATTCAGAATTGATGGTTGAAAAGAGGTGAACTTTCTCTTTGAATAAAGTAAGTATCTAAACAAATAAATATCACAGAAAAAAAAAACGTAATCTAGAAGTACCCGCCACTTCAGCGCCAACAGTAACGATGGAGTCGCCGAAAGCGTGCGAGTCGCGGCCATGGGAGAAGGCAGTCTGCTGGATCGCGGTCTTGGACGCGGCGGCATGACTGTTTGATTCCGGCTGCCGCGGTGCGAGGATGTTGAGGAAGCTGTTCCCACGTTTGTTCCAGTGTTTCAGGGAAACGATCTCGGATTCAAGCGGAATGATTGGGCTCGCCATAAACTGCTTTGGGAAAACACGAGGATTGTACGTCCACGTAAAGTTGTCGGGGAGCCGTAGTTGATGATTCAACTCCGACATCGCGCGCTCATTCTGGTCTTGGTTCTTGAAGATTCGCAAGTTCAGAATGTAGGTCAGCTCTACGCACATTTGCATTTTCATGTTGAGCATACTTGGAGATATCCAGACCCTTGCACCCTCTCGATCGCTTCGTTCAATTCCGTGTCGAAATCCCGCTGGGCGCCGACTGGAGCCGCCAAGATTCTGGAGCCGCCGAAGATTCTGGAGCCTGATGAAAAAGCTGGTGTTGATGCCGAAGAGTCTGGGTGCTGAAGATATTCGGCTGAAAAGCGCGCGGTCACCGAAAGTGCCAAATCTTTATTAGGTTGCACTTGCAGTGTTTCCAAATAGAAACGCTTTGCTTAGCAGTAGTCCTCTCAGAGAAGCGGACTACGACGCGTCCTTTTTCTCCCTCCGGAATATTATAGGCACGCAAAGTAATCTTTCTATGAGAAGTGCGTCTCTTGATGATGGTACGTTAGTTGTTTTGCACTAGATCTCCTGCCCCGAAAATTTGTATTGGTATATGCAGGAGTCTCAGTAGGGGAGTTCTGCAACACAAACATTCAATCTTTATTTCACTTTTGCGGTGGTACGCTTTTCCGAATCATAGTGAACGCACAGCCCTGTTCATGATTGAACTCGCAGCATTCCCGACCCGATTGAATACTTGCGACCACGGCTGGACAAACGTGGACGCCTCCTTCTCGCTGACACCGGGGCCGGTCGTCGTCACGTCTGTCGCTTCCGGTGGCTGCAAAAACGCCAACTCGTGCTGTTCGACCACGTCGACGTCGGTAAGTTTTTCACCACCCGCATCTTCACTGCTCAGCGACTCCACGCCTGTGCTGCCCTGGTTGCTTGCTTGCTTGTAGTTGTAAGCGTCGTCGTACCCGATTGTTGTTGTAACTCCGTCCTGGTTCCCTTCTTCTTCCGCGCGATCGGCGAGCGCAGGGGCTGTGTTCTTCGTAAGAACCTTGTTCGTCCCACCAGCAACCGTGACGATGCCGGACGATCCGGCAAGGCAGTAGAACAGCAACAATGACTTCGTGGCCGCTGTTACTATTCGCGTAAATCTCCAGCACATGTTCGATGCGTCAGGACCACTACTTCCTCCTGTCGCCAACATCTTTTCTCGGTGTCTCGTTGGTGTCTTTGATCAAAAAACTTCCCCTTGGTGAGGTGTCGTTTTTGTTCGAAAAAAAATCGAAAGCCGCTGAAGGTGAATCGATTGCGGTTTTCGAGGAACAGAGAGTAACAGTATGTAGATACGAAACGATAGATAGTACGTAGAATACTGTTCTTGCTGCCCACGACACATACAATTTTTACGATCTGTACAAGATAAACATCTGTGCGTGCCACGATCATAGAAGCCGAAGGGAATGGTTCCGAGAGGAGCATCGGGCTTTTCATCAAGCAGCCAACGTAGGTACGACGACTCAAGGGAGTGCAAAGTGAGAAAGTTATCTCTTGATCCACGACGGATACAAGTTGTTCCACGAACTATTCACTCATACAACGTCGATTTCTTGCACTTTGGCTTGCTAAGTATGTTATCAAGAACCAGTCATTCGGCACGACAGTCACTACTTTCACGAAATTTTTATCTGTAAGATTTTTGTCAAAGCTAGGCACGATGAAGAGTTGTGACAGCGGTTTTTGGACTCACACAGACGACCCCTCGTCCACCGGGACGACGTGAACATCAAGCAAATCGAGTCGCGGAAACAATCTCTTCTGGTTTTACCCTTGTAATTGCATTTCCGTCCTGCCACGGTCGCTTTTTTCACAACGAGGCCCACGTCCTCTGAATTTGATGAGTTCTGGAAGAAAATCTGAAATGAGAACTGAGCATGAGAGGCTGCTTATTTCTTATTCTTTGCAATAAAACCGGAAATCCATATCGAAGAGCAACGAAAGAGCTCTTGCTTTTGTCTTGAACCGAAACAACCTGAAAAGTGAAAACGCGTTCCATTTCTGACTTTGCTATTGCATATCATTCATCGATTGGTGTTGAACCTAAATGCTCAGACCTTAGAATAAGTATGTATTGGACTTGGTTACTAGTGAAGCACTTTTCCTTTTCTTGTACTTGAGAATTACTATATCGATTGAGGTGTCAAGGCACAAGACTGTAAAAGCCACGCAAAAATACGCGCCATCGATCCTGATTGAAAAAAAGCTTTTTACACACGCCTGCCCGCCAGCTGGATGTACAAGTGAGCAGGCCCTCGAAGTCGAACAGTGTCAGTGAAGCACGTATAGCAAATCTTCACTGTTTCATCCTGCAGAGCCTGGCGAATTCCCGGCCGGCCGTCTCTTTTGAATGTTCGTACTGCGAAACCAAATTCTGCAGAAACTTCGCTTTTTCCGAGTTTACCACGGTGGAGCTGGTCAGCATTATTACAGTGAAAAATGCCCCCACCCCGAAAGTCGCAAAAACTTGTGATGCGACGTTTCCAAATGCAAACTTTTTGTCATGCATGAAAGAAGTATGAATCTTTCTGATGCAGAGTCTAGGCGTGTATCGCATCGCTTGCATGACAAGCGCTACTCTTGCTGGGGTCTTTTGCAATACAAATTTTTGCTATTCACGATTGGAAATCTGTGATGCTGATAGATGCAAGAGGGCGAATGTTTCATTTGGAAAAGTTTGCAATACAAATGCTCCCAAGTTCGGGGGCGTGGGCATTTTTCACCTTGATAAGCGTTGCCGTCGTTTCGGTTTGCCACACGTGGAGGATGCCGTGGTGTCTAGCGTACAAAAAGACCAGATTCACCGCGTCTTCCAGCAGATTCTGATCGATCGCCGCGTCCAGCAAGTTTTTGATCTGCGATTGCTTTACCGCGTAAATGACAAGCTCGGAAAACAGCTGGGAGTCGGTCGTGCGCGTTGTCGTGACAGAATCGGTAGTGGAAGAGGTGTAGGCACGTACTTCCTGTTTTTTTTTTTGTGAGAATACGTCGTTGAGTTGCACAAGGAAACAGCATCGCAAGCACTGATTGACAAAACAGATTTTCTCTATGCGCAGCACGCCCTTAGCAGCGCTCTATCATAGTGAATTACCTTGACAAAGTTCTGCTGCAGCACCGCGTGAAACAGCCCGGGTCTCAGCGCCCCTGGCGGGAGTCCGGATAAGCACAGTGGTAGCAAAACCGGATACTTCTTCACCACAAAGTCGTCTAGCAGAGAATTCGCTTGGGGTGTGCAGTAAGCGAGCTCCAAGGTCAACAGAAAAATCCGTTCCGCGGCGGCTATTATCGTGTTCTGACCAGCACTAGTGCCAGTAGTACTTGATATAGTCGTGCTCGCGCTCGCAACCATGCCGAAGGTTGTGGTCCTCGCATTGGTTGTCATGTGTCCCGTTGAAGTTCCACCACTGCCGATGTAATTGCCCGAAGCATCGAGCTCCTTCCCAAAGTTCGCGTGCTTTGACAGTAATTGTCTCCCGACCACCGAGGCGTTCAGCAGTGATTCCAGTATCTGCCTCGCGGCTTCCAGAATCTTCAGGTGCGTCACGTAGGGGGATCTTTTCAGCAGCTGCGGGACGAGCTTGAGCCAGTCGATGGCGTGGTTGAGTTGGTCCAAGTCGATCTTGTTTAACCCTTGCTGCACGAGTTGACACGAGTGATCCAGCAAGATCTTTTGAAACGCCGTCCCCAGCTCGTTATCTAGCGGCATTTCCAACAGAAACCCAGAGTTGTGCATGTGGAGCAGCGCGTCTTGGAGGAACGTATCAACTGAAAGTATGCCTGGGTCTGGAAGATTGGGGGACGAGTTTGTCATGCAAATTTCACATGGCCTGCGATGTCGGTGATGCATGCTTTGGCATTACAGGCTTTGTGAAGGCTTTCTCATGCCTATACCGCATGAGAAATGCCTTCTCAGAATAGCAAAAATCTGAGTGCCGTTTGCTGCTCATGCAATACAGGTTTTTGTATCATCGAGAGTTAGCATCACAAATTCCATTCTTTCCAGACCCAGACATATTTGCACTTGATAAAACGTGGACATTTGCAATTGGAGCAATCTCAGCAAAATCTGCGAGAGAAACTTCGGATCATACACTTGAAAATCCAGCACCAAGCCTGTAATCACCGCAACCAACAGCGGATCCTTGTGCTGCTGCCGCCAGTAGCTCCGCGCCAACCCCTCCTTGTCTGTGTCGCGGAAAGTGGTTAGGTCGATGTGCCCCACGTATTACAGTGAAAAATTATGCCCCCACCCCCAAAGTTGCAAAAATATGTGATGCGAAGTTTCCAAATGAAGTCTTTTTGTCATGCATGAAAGGAATATGAATCTTTCTGATGCAGGGTCTAGCTGTATATCGCATCGCTTGCATGACAGGGCCGCTCTTGCTGGGATCTTCTGCAATACAAATTCTTGCTATTCACGATGGGAAATCTGTGATGCTGATAGATGCAAGAGGGCGAATGTTTCTTTTGGAAAGGTTTGCGGAATACAAATGCTCCGAAGCTCGGGGGTCGGGGCATTTTTCATTGTAATACCACGCGGAGCTTCTCTAACGCGTTCAAGTAGAGGAAAGTCCGGAAATAGTCCCACAGCTCCTCGGGTGGGTGGTGGTAGACGGTGAGAATCTCCTGCACCGTCGCGACCTGCAGCAACACGCAGAAACAGCGGCAGCACGCGTTGGTGGTGAGGGAGTCCCGTAAAAGCCAGTGAAGGTACAGGCGGATCACCGACCGGAGCGCTGTGGAAGTTTCGTCGGCAGAGGGATTGTGATTGTTATTTTCACCATTTTCATTGTCGGCGGAACTGGTCGTGTTTTGTCTTTTCAGTTTCTTCTTATTTCTGTCCTGCTGGAGGTTTTCTTGCACGGTAGTTTGTTCCGTGGCGGAGGAGGAGGACACATGACCCCCAGAGGACTTGTTGTTGTCTCCACCCTGATCTGCTCGCTCGGGAGAAATGTTCCGATGGCGCTTCAAAGAAGTAGAGTTGGCTCCTTTCGTATTACTATCATCCCCATGCTGGTGCTGTGTCGTCCTGCTTTGACTGTGCTCATTTATTCCGTCAACATCCTTGATGTGATCATCTCCAAACACGGAGCCCACCATGTCGTCACTTGGTTTCGCACTCAATTTTTGTTTCGTCACGCCCGGCGCTGCGACTAACGCAATCCTCGCGATCATCTGTCTCTCGTTCGGCGATTGGCACCACAGCTCGGTTAGGGCCGCGAACGGAACTCCTGTCGCACTATTGCTGTTACCGTTGCCACCCGAAGCTGCCCCGGTTGAGGACGAAGCGGCGGAGTTACCAGTGATGGCTTGCTTCACATCTGTTAACATGATCTCTGCCTCAGAGGTGGACGATGCTCCGCCAAGCGCTCCGTGCTGGTGGTCCTTCTTACTACCACTCGGCTGCAGCTGCAGATTGTCCCCACTCACGCCGCCTGCTGAAAATCTGCCGGAGCTGCTAGAGAAGATTTTTTCCAACTCCGCAATTTCCACTTGCCCGGCCGGGTCGTTTTTCACCAACTCGGTCGGCGTCCAGGACCCGGATGTCAGCCACGTGTATGCATTGCAAAAGCATCGTTCTAGTATAAATCGCAATACAAGTTTTTTCAGAGGGGAAAAATCAATGGAGTTTGTAATGCTAATTTGGCTAAGAAACAAGATTTGTCATGCATGATTTTTTTTTTCATTGGGCCCCGCTCTGTTTACGGATTCGGATTCGGATGTGCGCATATAAATTCATCACTTAGCTAGGAGGCCGGTGGATGTTGCCTAACATGTGATGCAGTTCTACGAATTCACCTGCCTGCCGCAGCAGGTTACACAGGGCCGACACCTTTCACACAGTTAAGCAGAGCACGTTTATGCCATCTCTTTTTTTTGATTTGTACCATTCCCGCGCTTGTCGTCTGCTTCGTCACCAAGGTCTCGCGCCACTTCCGTCAATTCCCCCCCATCCATACAACTCTGCTGGCAAGGCAGAAAAAAAAGACTCAGCCCCTGTTGGAATAATTAAGCACAAAAAGCCCACACAGAAAATTCCTGCACCTACCTAGGGGCGACTAGGCAGATGAGGTGTGCCGTAGCGAGGGGTGTCTATGTGTTTGAGTCAAAGACGTTCAATACTATGCGGGAAACGCATCAGGGATATCGTGCGGGGTCCGCTAAAAAAATATCGCGAAGGCGTCTATGGAGTAACACAATCAGATCACTAATCTTTGACGACAATCTTCTAATATGTGGGGGACAGCCGGAAAAAAAAAAATCTATCGGATCTGTTGCACAGTGTGCGCACGTTTACGATACGGATCTTTCTTGGGTCGGTAACGACAGCGAGGCAACTCTCCTCACTGCGTTCCGCCTCTATTTTTGTCAGTGCGTCCGAATTTATATCCCCCCCGGGGAGGGGGATTTGTCATGCATGATTGCAATTAGAAGTACGGGTACGATACTTTTGCAGAGCATAAGGTGCGCATCAGCGCGATCTTTTCTTTCTTCGGGTCGGAGCCGTGCCGTCGGAGAATGATGTCCACCCGATTGTGGAACTCAGACAAAGGAATCTTCGCGGTCCGGGGCGCCAAATAGTAGTACACACAGGTCATAAAAGTGACCGCGCCGCACCGGATCAAGACGTTTTCGAACATTTCCCAGCCCCAATCCCGCAAATCCAGGCGGGACTTCAAGATTAGCGAGTTCTTGACCAGTTTCGCTTTCTCCTCCTGCAACTGGCGCAGTTTCTGCCGTCTTTTTGGATCGCGGTCCGGATTTTTGTCCAAATCCTGGATTTGCGCCAGCACCGCCTGGGACGCGCGCTCCGCCCGGAAAGCCGCTACTTCGCAGAGCTCGGGGGACAGTTTCAGTTGCTTCTGGATCTCTGCCGCGGCGCGCTCTGCCTTGTCTTTATCCTGAATCAGGCGGAGATGCTCCGCGATTTTATTCTTCGACGAGGAAGTTGATGTCCCGCTCGAGGAGCTACTCGATGCGGAAGTTGTACTAGATGCTCCTCCTGCCGCGCCTGACGACGCCGCGAGCCCAAGCGATTTTGAAGAGGAGGACACGCAACTTGTGGTCAACAGGTGCTTCAAATATTCCAAATGCACGTCGTCGGGCGATATCCCGGGGAGGTAGCAGGTGATGGGCAGCAATCGCTTCACCCCGTCCTCACTTCGCGCGGCGAGCTCCGGCCGGAGAAAGGTCCATCTCGTCTCGTTCTGCAGCAAGTAGTGCCAGGGAAGACGAGACTCCGCGAGTTGGAGCACAATGTGTTCGACCTCGACGGACAAACCCTTCTCTTTGCGCCACTTCGTGATCTCCTTTTTTTCCCGGTCGGAAGGCGGCGAGAACCGGTGGTACCGCTGCAAAACCTCCAAAACCCGCTCCAGCGCCGACGCTTCTCGTTTGATCGTGGTTTGCTGCAACGCGCGGGGGAAAGGGTGCGGGGAACTTGGCCGAGCGGCGGAATTCGGTTTGGACCCGGAGTGGTTTGTTTGCTGGAACTTCTTCTGCGAGCTGGGCACTTGCTGGCCGGACTTGTTGTTGTTGTTTCGAGAGGACACGGGGGTGCCCGTACCGCCTGGTTGCCGTATGGTACCGTCACGGCCAGGGTGATCCTGCAACACCAGATTATCTTCTTCTTCCTGCTGGTGGTTTAAAAATTCTCGTGGTTGCTTCTTCATCCCACTACCTAAACCTCGCGAAGCTGCCGACCCGGGGGGGTTTCGCGCCGCGCTGGTGGATGCCCTGGCGAGCATTTCTGTCAAGTCGCCGCCAGTTGTAGCTCCTCGCTGGTTCATGTTCCCTCGCATTTGATGTTCTACTCCCTCATCCCCATCAATCATATGATTCAGATCCTCCAATCCCGGGCCAAGCCGGCTGCTGTCTAACTTGCCACCAGCAGTTGTGCCAGTGTCTCCCCCGCGGCCGCCCGCTCCTTTGTTCGCCGACTTTTCGCAGAGGAAGCGCAACACGAAGCGGATCCGCTCGTAGTCGTAGGGAGAAATGCCCGACAGAACCGTCTGCAACACCAGCGTGGGATCGTCCAGAAAGGGTAAATGCGGGGGGATTTTGTGCTGGTAGCTCTGGTCAAACACCTGCTTAAACACTTCCTGGCCCTCACTCGACACCTGCAAGATCCAGCACCGGTTTTTTGCCGGCGCGGTCGGCCGCAGGAGCATCAACTTCACCCACAGCGCCAACACCTCCGGTTTGTTCAGCTTGAAATCCGACGCGAATTCCAAAACGATCGGCAAAGAAAACTGGGATTTCTGGATGATTTCCGGCAACAAATCGTTCGTGAGCCGCTGGTCCTCTTTCGTGTTTTGCAGCAGATCGAAGGGCAGATCGAACCCTTTCAACCGGGTTGACCACTTCCAGGTGGTTTCCGACTTCTCCATCCGGATCTTCAGGTCGTCTTTCTTCAGCAGGAAGCCAAGCACCCGCCCCAAGGTACACAGCTCCTGCATTTTCAAGCTGGCGCCCTCCTGCTCGATCTGGGTGATGGCCTGCTGGTACACGTCTCGGCACACTTCGTGGGACAAACACCCCATGTACCCGAGGAACAGCAACGCGTCGAGGGTGGAGCCGCGGGAGGTGCCGAAAATCAGGGAAAGTGCGGATTCCTGGCAGAGCTCCTGGTACAGGTGGCTGTTTGAGCTGCAGTTGTTTCGGGGGGAAGCGTATCAAATATAAAAATGTCTGGGTCTGGAAACTTGTGATGCTGGGTGGCGTCTCATGATGAGGCCAAAAATGCTGGCTCAGCATCACAAGTCTCTGAGGCTGAGCTTCTAGGTGTTGCCTATTCTGCATTACAAACTGCGTTCCTGCATCACAGAAAAACGGAGCTCTTGGGTAACGTGCATGACAGATTTACGAGTCATACCAGACAAGCATGACAAACATGCATTCTTCCAGATCCAGACCCAGACATTTTTGCATTTGATAAAACGTCGATGCTGTTGTCCCACAAGCCCCTCGCGATGGCCTGTTTCGCCCAGTCCAAGCACCGGCTGGTCCGTAGCATGTCGTAAATTTCCTTCAACGAAGTCGACCGATTTTTCTGCGGCGTCGTGTGCGGAGAGAAGAGGTTGTGGTGTGGGTGGTGCGCCGGGAGGGAAAGCTTAGTGTTGTTTATTCCGTGGTTGCTTGCAGTAGTTGCATGATTTGCACTCGTCGTCCCATGTTGGCTATCTTGTCCTCCCGCACCTGTATTGAACCTTGCGGGCATGGAGTTCATTCTGGAGGTGGCACCAGTGTTCATACCTATCAAATTTCTCCCCGTAGTTCCGTTGGAAATCCGTCTGTAGGGGTGGGACCGGCCAGCCGACAACCTCGTGGGCGTGTTCGACAGTCGATACGGAGCCGTGCGAACCGGCATGAAAAAACCGTTTGTTCCGTTGCCGCCCCGCAGACCGCTTCCGCCGTGTTCCAGCACTCCGGGCGATTCCAAGTACTGGGGCTCGGTCAGAAATTCCAACACCAGTTTCAGTGCCGCCGGACCGGGGAGCAGACTCGCGACTTCCTTGAATTGGTTCGAGAACAACTGCTCGTACGGGTCGTTCTCGTGCAGATTCTCGATGATGTGCGCGTGCACGACGGACAAGTGCTTCCGCGGCGCCGTTTTCCGCACGTGCGCATCCGTGTCCAGCAAGTCGCTGGACAGGAGCAAGTTCACGGCAAAGTGGAGATCCCCCGCGTAAGTGACGAGCGGGAGGAGATTCTGAGCCTCGATCGCCGCGTTGGGATTGGTGGGAGCTGGTGTGAGGGCATTGTTGCCCAACATAAACCCATTGCTGTTGTTGTAATTCGCTCCCATTAGCTGGTGGTGTTGCTGCTGCATCATGGAAGATTCCGGGCGCGCCCCGCACCAGTCCAAGCAATAGGTCAGCAAATCGAGCAGGTGCGCCAAGTGGAAGATCAATGCTGCGCAATTCTTCTGGTTCCGGCCCAGATTCGCCCGGAAGTGGCTCACGACGGACCGAACCAGGTCGAGGAGCTCCCCGCTCGTTTCTCGCAACGTGTGGTCTTTGGGCACCAAGTCCATCGTCAACCGCAAACTCGCCACCTGTCCCTTCGACGACGCTTCCCGGACGATCAGCTGCCAGACGTAGGTGCGGCCCAACCCGAGCAGGTCCGCGAGGTGGAGTAGGCGTGTGAAAAGCGCGGAGGTGGTCGTTGTGCTGGTGGAGGTTGCTGCCGGTTGTACAGCAAGGCCGTCATGTTGTTGACCACGAAAAGCACCTCCAGATGAATTATTCATCCCAACGAACATCTCCTCCTCCTCCTCGTGCTCTTTCCTGAAACTGGCCGCTCTCGCCGCCGCGGCCTGTTATGACAGTGCACAACTCCCCCTCCCCCCTCATTTGTCATGCAAAATCCCAAATCCAGTCGCTGCTCTGTGGCACGGTTTGCATGACAACTTCCGAAGCCCAAACAGTACTTCTTCTACATTGGGCACACAAAATTTGTCATGCATAGGCTCCACGTATGCTGTTGCTGGTGTTTGTCTTGCTGCTCACGCTATACAACTGAGGGTAAGGGGTAGTTGTGCACTCTCGTATCTGCTCCGCCTGGTCGAGAAAGGCGTGTACCTCAGAGCTGGCGTGCCGCTCGAACAGCGCGGAAAGAACGTGGTCGGCCCGGTTGCCGAGCAGCAGCACCGTATGGAAGCGTCAGGTTTGAAATCGACAAAGTTGAAATCATTTGTAATGCATAAAATGCATGACCCGCGGCACGTGTGTTGCAGAGCAGGCAAGTGAGGCCGATTGTAAGCCTGTTTGGGGTTACAGCTCGAGCTGCTAAAGTAGCATGAGAAAGTCGCCCTTCTTTGCCTACACAGCACGACAAAGTGGTTTCAGGGACCACCGAAATTTGTCTTGCGCCACTTGGAAACTGGGTTCCAACTGGCATCCATTTATATGCATGACAAATTATTTCAACTTTGTCGATTTCAACTCTGACACATCCATACACCGGGTCTATCCCGTACAGTTTGAACTGCTTCTGCAGTTTCGACAGCCGCTGCAGTGCGTCCAACATGCCGAAGGTGGACCAACCGGACCCGTAGGCCGCTTCCTCCTCCTCCTCGTCGATCTGATAGGAAGAAATTTGGGTCGTACTGATCGCCTGGTCGCCGGTGGTCAGCGCTGTCGGAACCACCCCCGCGGCGATACCACCTGGCTGGCTTACGATGTTATCCAAGCTGGTGCTTCTTTTCCGACTTTGCGCGGTCGCAGAGAACAACCCGCCAGAGTTCCGGCTGTCACTGGATCGTCTCCTCTTTCGGTGGTAAAAGTTCACGTCGTGCCAATTTTTCATGGCGAACACGTGCCGGATGGAGATGATAGCCAAGTCGCAGTGCTGGTCCGCTCTCTGCTTCTTTTGCGGGGATAAAGCTGCATACGCCCCCGTCGTCTCTTTCAAAGGATCTGGGTTCATCAGCTGCTCGTTCGACTGCTGCGAATCGGGCTTATTACTATTCTTCTGCGCATTATGATCATTTTGCTTTTGGTTCTTTGCTGCTCCTCCACCTAACTTTCCCAAAAACTGGTCCGCGTTTTCGCTTTCCAGATTTTCTTGATTCTTCTTGTTCCGAAAATGCAACCAGGACAACACCCGTTCCTCCGTTTTTTCGTTGTCGTAAATCGTTTTTAAAAACGAACAGCAAAACTCCACCACCCCGTCACACACTTCCAAACACTGCTCGCCCGCCGAGGAAAGCACGCTTTTCAGGTCTAAAACCTGACTCTCATAGCGGTCCGCCGACACGATCTTCGTCGCACGGAGGATTCGGGCGTCCAGCGGGGAGAGAATCGCCCCCGGGAAAACCCGCAGCAACACCAACGCGTCGTCGAGGGTGGATTCGGCAGAGGTCCCGCTGTGAATATTGGACAGCAGGTACATGCACACCCGCTGCGCGTAGACCGGGTTGATCATGACTTTCTGGGACAAATTGTGCTTCGACAGCACGTCGTAGGCGTCTAACAGCCGAATCTGCCCGTCAATCTCGTCTTTCAGGTCCTGCGGCACGTCTGGATTTTCCTTGCAGTCTTTTACCACTTCCTGCAGTTGCGAGTTTGTGTTGCTCAGTTGCAAGATGTGCAGCAGTATGGATTCTAAAAATGTCTGGGTCTGGAAGATTGCAACTTGTCATGCTGTTTTTGGACTCAAAAAAAATTTGTATTGCATGACCAGCAAGAGGGGTACAGTTTTTGCTACACGGACAGGGCACTTCTCATGCGGAAGGTACATGATCAGGAAGCCCTCTACAAGTCTGCGATGCTAAGTCAAGCATTGCAGGCATCATGGGTCATGAGAAATATGCATGACAACTCTTGCATTCTTCCAGACCCAGACATTTTTGCATTTGATAAGCAGCGCTTTGGCCTTCGTCGTCGGGTCGGTGATGCACTTTAGAACCTCGATATGCATTGCAAAAACATCGCACTAGTAGCACATGCATTACAAACTTTATTTCCAAAAGGAAAATTTCTTATGCTGATTCAGGTACAAAAATTGAGTACTTAGAAGAAGATTTCTCATGCATGATTGCGATCACTACGAATGCGATACTTGTGCACGGGATACTCGATCGCCCGCTCCAATTTCCGGCCGTTCTCCGCAGGGTTGTTGCCTGATGTTGCACTACTTGCTCCCGTATCAAAAACAAAAGCGTCTGGGTCTGGAAACTTGTGACGCTGGGTGGCGTCTCATCATGATGCTACAAATACTGGCTTAGCATGACAAGTTTCTGAGCTCCTAGGTGTTGCATATTCTGCATGCCAAACTGCGCTTCTGGATCACAGAAAAACGGATCTCTTGGGTAACGTGCATGACAGATTTAAGAGTCATGCCAGACAAGCATGACAAACATGAATTCTTCCAGACCCGACCATTTTTGCACTTGATATCCCGCTGCTGTGTTTTGCTTCGCTGCACCGAAGCCCGTCCCGAGCTGGAAGTTATTGTCCTGATACCTGCCGCCCTCGGGAGTGCCAGAAGAAGTCACGAGGTTTGTCCTTACGTAGTCGAACAGCACCGTGTCCAAATCCAGCTCGTGCCGCTCGCAGTAGCTTTTGACGTGAAACAGAATCTCGTCCTTCAGCAACGCCGCGGCGCCGATCCGTATAGTAAGGAAAAATCCCCCCTCCCCATACTGCAAAGGTTTTTTGGAAATTTGCGACGCTGGTCTGTGGTCACAAATCGTGTCTGTCTTGCAAGAAGGCAACCTCGCAGGCTCCGCCTATTGTGCAGGCGGTTTGTCATGCCGTTGGGCCTACAGTGCGGATGTTTTTCATGCTAAGTGCCTAGCTCAAAACCTCGCTGCTCACACTTAGTATGGGCCTGCAGTGCTCTCCAGCAAGACAGCATTTGTGTACACAAATCCAGCCTCAGAAATTTCGTTTTGATATGGGGAGGGGTGATTTTTCCTTTCGATAACCCGCTGCAGGAATTTGGAGACAATGTCCGTGTGGGAGAGTTGTTGCAAATCCCTCAACCGCAGGGGGAAGCAGTGCAGATCGCGCAAAACGATCATCTCGGATAATTCCTGAAACAACCGCCGCAGCTTCTCCTCGTTCTTGTTGCACCCCCGGACCTGCTGCTTGTGGTGCAACGCCACCCCGGCCCACAAGTTCGCGCGACAGACAAAAGCGTCGGGAAACAGCATGCGGTTGTGGGGGGTCAGGACCGCTTTCAGCAACTGCAACGCCTTGTCGCACCCCTTCGCCTGCTCCAGGTCCAGCGCGCGGCTCGTCAGCCAGTTCACCAGTCGCCTGCGCGCGTCGTGCTTCTCGGTCGCGTGCGACAACAAGGGTAACACTTGCGACCCCACCCAATCGGGCAGCCTCGCTTCGTCCTCCGCGAGGGAGCAAAAGGGGATTGCCTCGAGCAACTGCATCACCTCTTGTTGGGTGAACTTCGTGCCGTGCCGCGCGAAAATCGTCAGCATGTCGGAAATCCTCTCCGCTTGGGCGAGCTGGATACACAGCTGCGGCAGCGAGGTCAGCCGAAATTGCTGCCAAATCGCCGGGTTCCAGTTGGTGCTAGTTGATGCACTTCCATCGTTTAGTGAGAGTGACCCTGTTGCAGCACCGTTACTATTGTTGTTGTTTTGGTTCTGCAGCATTTTCTGGCGGCTGCCGAAGCTTAAGCGATCCGCGTTTTTGTTCCAAATCATGCCCAGTTCCTTCAGTTTCGCCGCGCCCACGCACAGGCCGCCCTTGTTCCCCCCTCGGCTCCCGGACAAGCTCGCGCGCTGCGCGGTCTTTCCGATCGACAAACTGTCCAGAATCTGGCGCAATTCCCCCAATTGCTCGAAGGTTGCGAGTCGCGCCAACGCCTCGGTTATCGTCTGCAGCCCGCGCTTCAGGTCGTAGGCCTTGCTTGTGCTGTTGCTGCTGCTTTCCAACAGTGCGACGACCTCGGTCAGCAGCTGCCTTGTCTCCTTGATCGACTGCAAGACGCACCTCAACGCAGAGTTCGCCACAAAGCTCGGGATTTGCGTGGACATCTTTTTCGCCAGGTTCACGATCAGGGACACTTGCAGGTGCAGCTCCCCGGTAATGGACCGCTCGATCGCGATCTCCATCTGCCGGCGCAGTTGCGAAATGGACAGGTTCTGCTGCAGCAAACTGTTCTCAAAATCGTTCTCCAGGCTGTTCTGCAGAGTCAAATCGCTCGCCTTCGGTTGCTCGATCAGAACCGAAACCGAGTCGTCCGTCGCTACGAAGAGGCCGGAACACGTGAGAAAGTTTTCCAAGTTCTTGGCCGCGCTCTTTACTGGGGAAGATTTTTTCGCCTGCATAGTAGTTCCTTTATTCAGGAGTTCTGCTCGCTGCCCTGCTTCCGCCTCAGCGGCGGACGTGTAAAAAACTTCGCCATTCGTCATCCGACGCAGCTCCATCTTGTCCGTCAAAATCGTGATAGCGGCTGTTTTGATGTACTTTTCGGATTTTTTCACCTGTTCTGCTTTGCGATGCAGGTGCACAGTACGACCTTACAAAAAGAAGAAGCGTCGAAAGAACTTAGAACGGCATTCCTATATGAATAAACAACCAATCGATCCTGTACCTAGTTCCGGCACCACGCTTGCGGCGCGTATCCGTTCCTTGGTCTGCCAGCGGGAGAGCAACAACAGCGCCTTCGCGTCGTAGACCTCGACGCACGTCGGATAGCAGATCACTAGCACGGCGGATTGAATCCCGACGACCTCCCCCGCCTCGAACACCCGAATCAGAACTGGCTCCGCACGAATTGGGACGCTGTCGCGAAAGTGGAAGCCGGACCTCGAGGAGGTACTACTAGAAGTCGTGTATAGTGTAGTTATCCTGAGTAAAAACGGTCAGGATGGAGATTTTGCAACACAAACCGAGGAGTTTTGGGAGTCACGCATGACAGGTTGCAGGCTGTATTGTAGTGCAGTTTAGCAAGGGAAGCCGCATAACAAATCCACCTCCTCATCCTGTTCACAGCATCACAAATTCCAAAACACGATTGGGAATGGCTCTCATGGGGATGCGCATTACAAGTCTTCCTGTCTTTGCAAATCTGCATTACAACTCTGGTGTGGGTACGGTTTTACTCAGGATAAGTGTAGTTCTGGATGAATTATGCGAAGGCCCGGAACTCGTGTACGCCAGCAATGCGGAATATCAAATGCAAAAGTGTCTGGGTCTGGAAGATTCTGAGACTTGTAATGCATATTTTGCATGACCCAGGATGTCTGTAATGCACCACCTAGCATCACAGATTTTGAGAGGGCTTCCTGATGCCTACCCTGCATGACAAACGCCCTCCCCGCGTAGCACAAACTAGACTCCTCTTGCTGGTCACGCAATACAAAATTTTCTAGAGTCCAAAGTTAGCATCACAAGTCCCAACCTTCCAGACCCAGACATTTTTGCATTTGATACGGAATCCGAGACTGCGAAGAGGTCGGCGGAATTTTCGATCGCGTTTTCCACGATGGTATCAAATGCAAAAATGTCTGGGTCTGGAAGGTCACAACTTGTCATGCCAAATCTGCATCATGCAGAAAATCTGTGTTGCGTGATTACCAACAGCCGTGCTTTTTTACCAACTTGAGAGGGAATTTCTCATGCAGGACGGGCATGATGGAGGTCTTAAAGAATTTGTCATGCTGGGTGCTGCATTCTAAACCATATGAGCCATATAAAACCTGCATGACAAACCTGGCAATCTTCCAGACCCTGACATTTTTGCATTTCATAGATGGAGTACTGCCGCGCGTTCGGAATCTTCACTTGCGTCTTCCGCATTTTCGCGTGGAGCGCAGAAACCTAGCATGGGAAGGTACTTGTTGACACTTGGATTTTATCTTTTGTTTTTGACAGTGAGTTACTAGCACCCATCCAACACGGCAGCGCGAGTAGCAATAAACTTTTAGCGAAGAAGGGGTTTTTGTTCCAGCTACCAGAACCAGCTACACATGCGTAAAAATTATAAACCCATCCATCCTATTGGTGAAGATGTTTCCCTGCAAATTTTCTTGTACTAGAACCAAAATAGACCGTAAATAAACTGTATGTAATACCGCCTGCTTCGCCTTTTCCGGTTGCGCGGTTTCCAAAGCGAGATCCAGTTCGGAGAAGTCCAAATCGTTGAAGCAGCACAAGGAATTTGACCGCAGCAAAAAAGACAGCGTAAACTTGTTCCCGCCAGCACAACTTGATGATGTGTTGCTGTGGTCCTGCTCTTTATTTCCAGCACCGACGTCCTTCTTGTTTGACGATTGATCAACAGAATTTGTACTAGGAGCTCCCTCCACCTCCATGGCTCCTGCACTACTAGTATGACTAGCGTTTATCGTAGGAAGATCGGCAGGATGAACAGAGGCTCTGTGACACTGGATGTCCAGGAATCCGCTAGAAGAAGAAGTTGCTGCTGCACTATTCGGATTCATCCCAATGTCGCCTTCCTGCTCCCCTCCTGCACCTCCTCCCCCGCCCACCGGTTGCTGCCAAATCACCGCTTTCGATGCAACGTGGATGCAGTGCATCTTGCCCGCCGAGTCGCCGCAGAACAGAAACTTGCCGCTCGGCTCCCACGTCACCGTGTCCACAGCGAAATCGTGGAGAATAAAGTCCTATGCACTTTTGCAGATAATATCTCTCAGTCTGGTTGGTGAATGCAGGAGTTTTTTGTACATGTATCTTTTGGATCACGCGACTGGTCTCTATTGCGCGCAAAAGCACTTATACAGGTTTTGCGCAGGAGGAGGCCTCTTGATGCTGCCTAAAAATCCGCATGAGATGAAATTCCCTATTTGCATAGCAAGAAGTGGCCAGTTTGTTTTGGCGCATCTCACGTCGCAATGCAAATTTTTGCCTATTCCAGAATCCGCATCAGAAGTTGCAACCTTCCTGACATTCAGGGATATTTCCGATTGATAAGTCCACGGACAAAGCTTCCGGCTCGTGCTTCGCGGCTTGGTTTTTATCCCGGGGAAATAAAACTTCCCCATCCGACTTTTCATCCAAAGCTGCAAGCATATTATGTTTCGCATGCGCAGCCCCACGAGGACCATTTTATAGTGCTGTAATCTGGGAGCTTGTCACGCTGGAATCAGGATAAAGCTGTCGATTTATAATGCGATCGACGCTGCGCTAGAGCTAAACAGGACTACACTACGGGGCCAAACTTGTCATGCTCGAAAGCCGAAAGAACTTGCGGATTTGTGTAGCGGATCATTCCCCATCTTGACTACGGGGCGTGGGGACGTGGTTTTTCCTCAGGATATTGGTTCTGGTTTGCTTTGCCGCCAAGACCACTTCGATAGGACAAAGACGAAGACGAGGAGGAGCCGCCGACTTGGAAGTTTCTCAGTCCTCCAAGCAGCACTCCGGTCGTGTTTTCTCCTGCAAGATCATTTGTTCCAGCTGCTACAGCGTTATTTTTGAAGGGGTATAAGTGCGATTGCTGGTCGCGAAGAGGCGGACCGCCTGCAGGAGCTCCAGCCGGCTGCCGACCGGTGCTGTTTGATGGCCCACAACCACCACTCCCGCCGGTGATCGAGCACACAGCGAGCTCGTTCTGTATAAAATGCAAATATGTCTGGGTCTGGAAGGATGCCTGTCGTTGTCATGCAAATTTTGCATGACTCCTACTGTCTGTGATGCATGCCCTAGCATCACAGATTTAGCGAGAGCTTCCTGATGCCTATACCGCATGAGAAATGTTGCCCTCTAGCCGTGGCAAAAACTGGACCTCTTTTGCTGTTCATGGAATACAGATTTTTGCAGAATCCAAATGCAGCATCACAAGTTCCAACTTTGCAGACCCAGACATATTTGCAACGCATATTCTGCCCCAGCACGCAAACCTGCGACCCATGGCGCCTCAACGTGTGAATGCGTGCAATCGGGAAGGCGGCGTCCGGCGGAAAGGAGAGTAGCCCGAGCTCCGCGCGAGCAGTAGCCATCGTGCTGGAAGAGGACGTAGTAGTACCAGCAACACCAGCGGGAAGTTGTACTAGATTATTGATGTTATTGTTGCTGCTAGAAGCTGCTGCCATGGCAAGCAAGGTCCGTGGAACGAGATGAAGAGCGGCTGCGGGGGTGAAGACAGCACCTGGTGGCACCGAGGAGCTCGTGAACTTCTCGTCCGCGACGTGTGTATCTCAACAACTACACCACGCTTTATTTCCTTGTGAACCTCGACCGATCATTTTTGCGATGCTGCAGGAGCAGGAGTACTAGCCCTTATGATAGCCGCAACAAATGAACACCGTCCGCTTCGGACAGCAGGCGAAATGAGAGGTGCTGTCGGAGGTCCTGCTAGCTCCGTCGATCGCTGTGAACCTATACCACGTGAAACAGCCACGCCCTCCTGCGAAACTGCCCGGCGCACCATACTTGTAAGTCACTTGATTTCCGGTACGTAGAAATTCCTGCTGTGGTTCGCGAGATCCACATTCGACGGCGCAGTGCAGCTTTTTTGTCAACCTCCACAAGAAAGAACTGAAACCTTCACTTTCCACACCACGAGGTCCTCGACGGAGGTCATCACTGCTTCATGTTGTTTTGGTTTTCATTCCGCATTGTTCTACAATAAATTTTCTGCACAACTTATTTCAGCAAGATTGATTATGTTCAGAGCAGCTGTAGCATGTAGCGCAATTATATGCAGGCCTAAATTTTCATTTCGCCAAGAAATTCCTTTGCGAAGGTAAGCAAAACTTCTTGCGGCCGACTCCTCCAACACTTTTTGTAGACAGCCTTTTGCGAAATAAGGGTCACTTAAGTTAAAATATTCAAGAACTTCTATAAGAACCTCTATTGATAGAGGTTCTCGGCCATTTTCTAACTTCTCCATAGATGTTCTAGGTTTTCTAGATTTCTAAGCTTTTTCTAGATTTTCTAGAATCTTTCTTTTTTCTTTTTTTCTTTATTTTTCTTACTGATTTTGTTGCTCTTTGATTGTTTTGTTTTTTTTTCTAATCTTTCCACTGTTTCTTGACATTTTCTAGCTTGAGAAGCTCTATCTCGTACCTTCTGGACCCAGAACCTCTATCACAATAGAGGTTCTGGAGTCAGAACGTCTATTGCAATAGAGCTTCTGACCCCAGAACGTCTATTGGGATAGCGGTTCTGGGTTCCGTAGCCTCTAGATTTCTAGACTTTGGCGGCCAAGATTTCTAGAAATCTAGAAATCTAGAAGTCTGGAAATCTAGATTTCTAGGTTCTAGAAATCTAGAAATCTAGCTTCTAGATTCTGGCAGCCGAAACGCCAGCACTCCTGCTCCGAGCAGCTGGCAGTCCAGCTTCCCTGGTTGCGAGAAGCCGGCAGCTCAGCTTCCCCGGCTCTACGAGAAGCTGGAAGTCCAGCTGCCCCGGCTCTACGAGAAGCTGGAAGTCCAGCTGCCCCGGCTGTACGAGAAGCTGGAAGCCCAGCTTCCCCGGCTCTACGAATAGCTGGAAGCCCAGCTTCCCCGGCTCTACGAGAAGCTGGAAGCCCAGCTTCCCCGGCTCTACGACAAGCTGAAACAAAGTCCAGCTTCCCCGGCTCTACGAGAAGCTGAAAGTCCGGCTTCCCCGGCTCTACGAGAAGCTGACAGTCCAGCTTCCCTGGGTCTACGAGAAGCTGGAAGGCCAGCTTCTCCGGCTACGAGAAGCCGGACGCTCAGGCCCCCCTAGGAGCTGGACGCTCACCCACAGTGAAAAGATTGATGCGAAAAAAGGACGGCGAGGCCCTTGCTCTAGCTCTTTGCAGGTAAAGTATAAGGGTCTGTCTGCCTGCGCGCGTGGGTTACAAGCAAAAGCCCGACGTTTGGCAGCGGAGTGCACTGACCTACTTGCCGTTGGCCTTCGCGGCTTTGATGATTCCGCGGCTCTGCGCCGCCTTGCGGTCCGTGATCTTGGTGAGCGCGCTTTCCCATTCCTCCAGCTTCTTGGAATAGGCCTCGAAGTTCTTGTCGTCCAGCTTCGGCCGACTCCTCCAACAAACTTCTTGCGGCCGACTCCTCCAACACTTTTTCTAGACAGCCTTTTGCGAAAAGCGACGAGACATAAAAGAAAAAAAAGACTCAATAAATAGGCCGTCATTGGGGGTTGGCGAACAACCGTCCATCGATAGTCAAACCTGCTACAACTTTGCCACAGTTTTGTGTATACTTTGTCCGTTGGGCCATTTGAAACAACAACTGCACTTCTGCCTCGCTCCAAAACACAATCGAAAACGGTCGTTTTGTTCACAACTCTGTACTGTACCAAAAGCGGTCACTTATTTCTTATCGATTCAAGATGAAAAACGCGAACATGCGATGGCTTCATTTAGCTTCAGCCACGAAGATTTCTAGAAGGGCACAAAAATCAAGAACGACGAAGCGCAAGTCGAACAACTCGAAGCTGTTGAGAACTACAGCGAACTAGAGCAACTTCTAAAACAACCGCCGCATTTCTAGACTGGGGGTGCAGCTTGGAGCGCCAAACCAGCAAGCTCTTTCTTTTCGTTGTTTCTGCTTCTAGCACCACCGGGGTCATCAAAAACGACTTTCGCTGCTACAATTCGTGTCCTCGCCCTTTCGGTGCTCCACCTCGGTTTAGGTTTACTGTACCACCACACACTGCAAGAAAAAAACAGGCACGCTATGCTCCTCGCGCAGATCGCGACTTCTGCAGGCTAGCGCGCTATCCTGCTGCCTGAATTTCGTATCAAAAGAAAAAGCGCGATCTTGCAAAAAGCATTTAATTACTTAAGTACCTAGCGCAGGCTTTCTTTCTTTCCGTGCCCGGGGACGGCATCAAAATGTTCCAGGGCTTAGAAAAAGTTTCGTATCTCTCTCAGTATGATCTTTAGCTCCCAACTTGTACTTGTCTGAATGTACGAGTAATTAAAAATCAATAGCCCATTTCCCGCTCTAGTTTAGCAGTGTGAAGTTGAAGCTGTTGTTGTTTGTTAGGATGGTCACATGGAACCGCTTGAAAGGTTTTCTTTCATCTCATGCGGCTAGCGCTATTTCAATAGTTCTACTTTGTGGCTACCGAAGTTGTCCTTCACCTTCTCTCATGTGGAGGCTAGCTTTCCATTTCATCTCATGTGGCTAGCGAAGATTCTTACTATGGGGTTTAGGATTTAGGGTTCTTCCTCTTCTGCATCTTCAAAAAATATACTCTACTTATCTTCCTAGTTGTAAAGTCACGAAAAACGAATGGAGAATCTGGGTTTCAAAATTTTTCATTTCATATAGCGCAGGCTTCTTCGTCGTGGTCGGGGGTTGCGGCCTACTTCTCGCGCCAGATAAAAAAAATTCTACACGGGGCAATGAAAGCTGCGCTGGGGTTCGTGCGCCGCGAAAATGTGCTAGAAATCTATCTTACACGCAAAACTTATATGCTCATATATCATACATTCAACGTACGTGCTCGCGTAGTTGTTCATTGCAGTCTTATAATCTCTGTAGAAATTCGAACGTAGTGCAAGTGGTGCAATCGATGAACAGTCCGGAACAATTTCTCCGTCGTATAACCAGCAGAGGTGGTTCGTGGTTGTTTCCCCGGCCCGAAAAGATCACAAAACAGTCTGCGGCTCTGTCATCATAGCCCCCAGTACGCGTCTCTCTGCTTCTGCTCGCAGTCACCGAACAGTCTGCTGCCCACTTGTTCGAAGCCCTCCTTCTTGTAGCCCTCGAAAAAGTTACATTGCGCCTGCGATGCCGTGCGCACGATCGTGACGGGGAACGGCCTGCGAACGACGGTCGTGAATGAGTAGTTGGCGAAGGCGCCGAAGTCGGGTAGGCCATGTTTGCCGTTCAGGTTGTCCCGAAACTCATTCGCGGCAGAGTCGTATTTTACGTACCACCCAACCGTCCCGGCACGGAACTTCGGGATATAGTGGAACGGCGCCGTAAAGAACCAGTCCCAGACGCGGTTCGTACTCGTCGGCGGCCTCGCCGGCAGGGTGGGGAAGTTTCGCGCGACCGAAAACTCCGGGCTCGCGGCCGCCGCGTTCCAGTCCAGCGGCTCGAAAAACCCCGTATCGGGCCGGGCGCGGACCACCAAGTCGTAGGTCAGGTTGTGCGCCTCCGCGTGTTTTTCCACGTCCGCAAAGCAAGCGTCAACCCACATCATCTGCAGAAACCAGGCTGATTTATAAAACTGCCTGTCTGTGCACAGCGAGGTGGGCAGCACGGGCGGACCGTCGTAGCGTGGTGCTTCCCCGGGAGCAGAAGACCTCACACCCCGCCCCTGGTCGGCCATCACATCTGCGACGGCACCGCAGGTGCTATCCGGCACGATCCGCTTCTTCGCAAAGGTGGATACTTTCGATTCCAAGTAGTCCAACCCGGCCACCAGCCGCGGGTCATCCGGCTGGCTAATCGTGTCCGCGGAGGCCGCTCCACCATTATGACCCCGGGGGGTTAGGGATCCGAGGAAAAACAGGTCCACGCCCACGCCCGTGTCCTTCAAATTTCCAAGCAAGTTATCTCCGATGGACTTGTACACATTTGGCAAAGTCAACGCTCGCACGCCACCGACCATGCACACCGCGACCCGCTTGCCGGCAGCGGCGGCGTCAGTCGCGCGGAACACCTCCACCATCTCGCTCGGCACGTCCAGAGGCAACTGGTTGGTCCGGACCGGAACCGGGTCTCTGTTGGGGTCGCGGCCGCTGGGCGGACCGCCACCGCCACCGTTGTTGGGCCCCGTACCGCCACCGTTGTTGGGCCCCGTACCGCCACCGTTGTTGGGCCCCGTACCGCTACCGTTGTTGGGCCCCGTACCGCCACCGTTGTTGGGCCCCGTACCGGCACCGCTGTTGGGCCCCGTACCGCCACCGTTGTTGGGCCCCGTACCGCCACCGTTGTTGGGCCCCGTACTCCCGGGACCGCTGGACCCACCACCAGTCGGGCCGCCACAGGTCGGGCCCCCGTCAGCACCGCTCGGACCCCCGCCGCTCCTAAGTTCCGCGACCTGCTCCGTGAGCCTCTCAACCTGGATCGTTTCTTGCACGTAGAGACCCAAAACAACGGCAAAAGCAGCAGCGAAAATGACCGTGGCACTAGCAAGAAGTGTGGTCAGAAGTAGCCCGGAGCGTCGATGTTGAACACCAGAGTGGTGGTCTCCTTCATGTTCATCATGATTTTCTTGCTCATATTTTCCCCCGTTGCTTTCGTCAAGCAGCGCCGCAGTTGTGCTGCTCTCGTCCCGAAATAACGTGGCGTCGCCGTGTTCCAGATCCACGTGGCCGGTGCCATTTTCAGTTTTCTGCAACGAAGATGAAAACGCTACCTCCTCGCTTCCCATTCTTCGCGCAGCTGCTTCCGACATTGTTGTGATGATGTTGAATTAAACAGATTTATAAAACGACGACCTCTGGCAGGGCTAAATCGTTCAAAACATCAAAGCGGAAGTCGATTAGACTAGGGCAAAACGACAAGTAAAAAAACAGCAGTATTTACTCAAAAGGGTAGAAAAAGAAGAAGATCAAAGTAAAAGCATAAGAGTCCTCGTAGTTATACTAGAATTGTTCACGTATAATTCCCAAGAATCTCCGAAAACTGGTGCAAAAAATGCGTGTTCTTCGGTTCGTGTGGTCAACAACCCTGGTGGTCGTGGTGGATGATATTCCATTGCTCTCTATCTGTTTCTGCTCACCTTCAAACGTTTCCATTTGGACGATCCACAAAAAATGATCATAGCGAAGATCCTGTAGTTGATCGGGTGGGCAAATCCAAATGATCATTTTACCAAACTACATACAAGGAAGAAATTTGATCTGAACCGGGTGAAGCTGGTTGTTGCTGATGCGGCGGGAAATGAGGCATGCATTTGAATTTTCACAGAACGGAAACACGATGATGAACCCTCGCCCATGATCCTTAATGCGCCCAACACTTTCTTCACTAGGATCGATGGAAATTCAATCTGTATGATCTACTTTGGATTCATTTGATCCGAGATCCTGTTCGTTGCCTGATTCAAATTGAAAGAACTAAACTTCTGCATCGCTCCAAAACACGACCAAAAACCGATGGTGTTCTCTAAGCAGTGGCTGTTTCCTTCAACTTCAGTAACGAATCCTCATCGGACAGAACGAGGAGGCGCAAGTCGAAGCTCGGAACGAGAATAAAGCCACCTCGTCCAACTGTTGGACCACGAGGTGGTGCTTGATGTTGGACATCAGCATCACAAGTTTCCAGACCCAGACACTTTTACATTTGATAACTTCGATAAGAAGACGAAGACGAGGAGGAGCCGCCGACTTATCCTGAGTAAAAACGTACCCACACCAGAGTCAGGATGGGGATTTTGCAACACAAACCTAGGAGTTTTGTGAGTCACGCATCACAAGCTGCAGTCCGTAGCGTAGTGCAGGTTCGCAAGGCCAGCTGCGTCAGAAATCCATCTGCTCATCCTGTTTACAGCATTACAAATTCCAAAACACGATTGGGAATGGCTCTCATGGGGATGCGCATTACAAGTCTTCCTGTCTTTGCAAATCTGCATTGGAACTCTGGTGTGGGTACGTTTTTACTGAGGATACGACTTGGAAGTTTCTCAGCCCTCCAAGCAGCACTCCGGTCGTGTTTTCTCCTACAAGGAAAAAGCCCCCCTCCCCATATTGACAAGGTACGCTTTCGAGAAATTAAGTTGCTGATGTGTGGCCACAAATCGTCTCTGTGTTGCATGCAGGCAACTCCACAGGCTCCGCCGCATTCTACAGGCGGTTTGTCATGCTCATGTTCCTACAGCGTAGACGTCTGTCATGCTAAGCGCCAAGGCCAAAACCTGTCTTCTCAGGCTTGATATGGGCGTAAAACTTCAACACCAAATTTTTTGCACAGAGAGTTGTTAACAAAAAATGGGCTAGCTTTTCTCAAAAAGCAGCTGGCTGCGTTGAGAAGGCTTTCTGCATCAAAAACGAAACTGCTCACTTTATAAGGTCACGTATTGAAATATTCCGACAAATCCAAATTTATTAATTGCTGACTTGCGATGCAGAAAGGGGGTGGCTGACTTGCAATGCAAAAATGGGAATATCGCTATGCACTCCCTCACAATTTTTCCCCTCCAAGACACAAAACGAAAGTATTGCGGCGGCTACGCTGGGGCTTATGTGGAACGAAAATAAAGCCACCTCGTCCAACTGTTGGACCACGAGGTGGTGCTTGATGTTGGACGACATCTGAGGGCTGTATAGTAAGTTGGTCGACGCAAGTGTTTGATGTAAGTATCCATGAAGGGGTGGCTGGTTCCTTGGTTGGTTGTCCTTTTGTTGTGATCCTTTCCTTCGTATCGATGACTGCAAAACATCATCAAGACCTGGATACAACCATGACCCACGTGTTGCTGTATCAAATGCAAAAATGTCTGGGTCTGGAAGAGTGCGCGACTTGTCATGCAGCTTTTCCATGACCCACGAGGTCTGGAATGCAGGACCTAGCATGACAGATTCTGCGCGATCTCTCTCATGCCTATTCTGCATGAGAAACTCCATCCCGACTTGGTCAAAACTGCACGACTTTTGGTAATCATGCAACACAGATTTTTGCATGCTTCAGATTTAGCATGACAAGTTGCATTCTATTCTTCCAGACCCAGACACTTTTACATTTGATATGCTGCTGCTGGTGGCGATGTAGTTAAAAAATTTTGTGGGTCTACTACTTCTACAATCTTTGTTATCTTGCCATCCAAATCGTCGCTCTGAGGCCGACGTCCCAAAAGAAAAACTTCAACATGTTGAGGGTAAAAAATCGAGGTACATCAAAAACTGCTGGATCCAAAAACTCGGCCTTCTCGTTTATCCAAACTTGTCCCGTTCCAAGAAATGCACCAAAATTTGTTTGACTCAAGTAGGTTCCAAAACACCACTTGCTTCTCGATCCCGTCAAAAAAATACCGCAAAATACTATCTAAACCAATAAAACAGCCTAAAATAGTAACCTAAACGAAACGCACTTAGGAGCACTGCTGTCGTGGTTTGATCCTTTCTATCTTTCTAAAGTAATCGCATGATAAAACTGCGTTTTATGTATGAGGGGGTGATGAAGCATGATGCAACATTGATTTTATGTGTGAGGGGGCAGCGGCCTTCTCTCGCCAGATGGAAAAAAATCCTACACGGGGCAATGAAGACTGCGAGGGATTTCGTGCGCGAAGATGTCTTACAAATCAAAATTTGACATACAAAACTTTTATGCTCATGTACCATTCAACGTATGCGCTCGCGTAGTTGTTCCTTATAACCTTATAATCTCTGTAGACGAACGTAGTGCAAGTGGTGCAATCGATCTCGATGAACAGTCCAGAGCAATATAATTGAGAAAGATTTGCGGTTGTCGCTTCAGTAGACATGAACACATAGACCAGTAGAAAACACCAGTGTATGTCTCGTTCATCACAGGCCCCAGTACGCGTCTCTTTCCTTCTGCTCGCAGTCACCGAGCAGTCTGCTGCCCACTTTTTCGAAGCCCTGCAACTTGTAGCCCTGGAAAAAGTCACACTGCGCGCGCGATGCCGTGCGCACAATCGTCACGGGGAACGGCCTGCGGACGACGGTAGAGAACGCGTAGTTTCCGAAGGCGCCGAAGTCAGGTAGGCCATGTTTGCCGTTCAGGTTGTCCCGAAACTCGTTCGTGGCAGAGTCGTATTTTAAGTACCAGCCAACCGTCCCGGTGCGGAACTTAGGGATGTAATGGAACGGCGCCGTCCAAAACCAGTCCCAGACGCGGTTCGTATCCTTCGCAAATGCCCTCACCGGCATGGTGGGGAAGTTTCGCGCGACCGAAAACTCCTGGCTCGTGGCCGCCGCGTTCCAGTCCAGAGGTTCCAGGAACCCCGTATCAGGCCGGGCGCGGACCACCAAGTCGTAGGTCACGTTGTGCGCCGCCGCGTGTTTTTCCACGTCTGCGAAGCAAGCGTCAATCCACATCATCTGCAGAAACCAGGCTGATTTATAAAACTCCCGGTCTGTGCACAGCGAGTCGGGCAGCACGGGCGGACCGTCGTAGCGTGGTGCTTCCCCCGGAGCAGAAGAGGACCTCACACCCCGCCCCTGGTCGGCCATCACATCTGCGACGGTACTGCAGGTGCTATCCGGGACAATCCGCTTCTTCGCAAAAGTGGATACTTTCGATTCCAAGTAGTCCAACCCGGCCACCAGCCGCGGGTCATTCGGCTGGCTAATCGTGTCCGCGGAGGCCGCTCCACCATTATAACCCCGGGGGGTTAGGGATCCGAGGAAAAACAGGTCGACGCCTACGCCCGTGGCCGTCAACCTGCCAAGCAAGTTGTCCCCGATGGACTTGTAGACATTTGGCAAAGTCAGCGCCCGCACGCCACCGACCATGCACACCGCGACCCGCTTGCCGGCAGTGGCGGCGTCTGTCGCGCGGAACACCTCCACCATCTCGCTCGGCGCGTCCAGAGGCAACTGGTCGGTCCGGACCGATATCGGGACTCTGTTGTAGAGACACAAGAAAACAGCGAAAGCAGCGGCGAAAATAACCGTGGCACAAGCAAGAAGCGTGATCAGAAGCCCGGAACGTCTTTGAATACAGGAGTGGTGGTCTACTTCATGTTCGTCAGGATTTTCTTGCTCATATTTTCCCCCGTTGTTTTCGTCAAGCAGTGCCGCAGTTGTGCTGCACCCGTCCCGAAATAACATAGCATCGCCCTTTTCCAGATCCACGTGTCCGGTTCCATTTTCAGATTTCTGCAAGGAAGAAAACGCTACCTCCTCGCTGCCCATTCTTCGTGCTGCTTCCGACATTGTTGTAATGAAATAAAACCAAAAGTAAAACTTTGATTTACAAAAAAATATAAAAATTAACTTGAAAAGATAGATCTCTGGCAGGGGATTAAAATCGTTCAAAACAACGGGGAAGTCGATTGATAGACTCGGCAAAACGATAAGTAAAAGAACAGCAGTAGTTATTCAAAAGAGTAGAAAAGCCCACGTCTGTCTATCGAGGGTTGGGGTAAGAGGCAACGCCAATCACCACCTAATTCCCATCCCGTCCAAGAAAAAGATCAAAGGCAAAGTGTAAGAGTTGTACTTTAAATCTAATTGTAAAGAAATGCGTATAATTCCCAAGAAGGAAGCTCCAAACGCCGGTGCAAAAAATGCGGGTTCGTCGGTTCGTGTGGTCAACCCTGGTGGTGATGGATGATATTCCATTGCTCTGTATCTGTTCCTGCTCACCTTCATACTTTGGATCAAGAAAAATTGATTCTCCGTGATCTTAGCGAAGATCCTGTAGTTGATCGGGTGGGCAAATCCAAATGATCATTTTACCACAATTTCGGACGAACATGCATTTGAATTTTCACAGAACGGAAACACCATGATGAACCCTCGCCCATGATCGTTAATGCGCTCAACACTTTCACTAGGATCGATGGAAATTCAATCTGTATCTAAGTACTTTGGATTCATTTCATCTTGCTGCGACTGCGAGATCGTGTTCGTATTTATTATATTCAAATTGAAAGTAGAACTGAACTTCTGCATCGCTCCAAAACACAACCGAAAACAGATGGTGTTCACAACTCTGACTAATGTACTTTCAAGCGGTGGCTTTCCAACGAGCTTTTTCGCTGTACAACTTTCATCACATCACAAGATTTATGATCTGGCTTGCGGTTTCGCGGCATGGTGGTTCTGTTATCAGACCCGAAGAAAGATGAAGATCATGACCTCCTTACAACATACTACGGTGACCCTCTGTCTTGGTTCATCTACTTTTTGGTCCGTAGTGGTAGTACAACGACCAACATAAGCGGTGAACAACTACTACCAATCGAAGCTAGCAGTGCCTCCTAAGCTGCAGAGGAGCCCGTCGGCGTTCTGGAGCGCCACTCGTCCAGCGAGCTCTGTTCCTAGTTTCTGATGGCAGAAAGTAATTATGTGGGAAGCGCGTTACGAGTTTCGCTGCTACAGCTCGTGTCCTCATGGTCGCGACCTCGTGTGGTTGCTTCATCTAGGTTTATCGGAGTCAAATCGGCCTAGCAACGGGGTGGCTTCTCAAACGCGCTCAAAATGTCCACTACCATGGCCATGGGGCGCTCGCTTGCGATAGGGAGTGGCGCTTTCGAAGTGTTCCTTTTGCCCCCAGAGCCCACATCAAGAAACACAAAAAGAAGACGCGCAAATTGGACAAGTTCCCAGCTGCAAGTTGCCAGAAAAGGACTCAGTTAGCGGCCAGGCACAAATGCGAGGGGGGGCCTGGGGCGGAAGGTCACCGGGCCCCTCGGGCCAGACAGCAGCAAAAGGCGGAGCGGTCTTGCTCAACAAGTCTCGCCTGACAGGCTTTTTCAACAAGTTGGGGCCGCCAAGTTGCAGAAAAAGCTCTTCTTTTCGTTTCTTCGCAGCTATCGCAGCAAAGAAGCCGGCTCGCACCCAAGCGCGCCCCCAGCTGCGCGCCCAACAATAGCGAGGAAGCATCGCCCGAGCCAAAGAAGCCAAGCCAGCACAAGGGCGCGCACTTGCTCGCGGCAATCATGTGGAGGCCTTTTTCTGCAACTTCGGGCCGCCAAGTTTCAGGAAAAGGCCTCTTTTCCCTTTTCCGGGCGCTTCGTGCTCTCTCCCATGCCGGCCAACCCCCGCCTGCAGGGCGGGGGCGCCGGTCTTGAGTACTTTCTGCAGCAAAGCACACAGCGCGGCCTTTTTCTTCAACTTGAAGCTGCCAAAGTACAGAAAAAAGCCGTATTTTCTGTTGTTCATAAAAGCAGAATGTGGCGCAAAGAAAGGCAGGCGAATTCGGGAAGAAAAGGCGCAAAAAAATGAACACACTCAGACAAGCAAAACGTCCAAAAAGTGACACGCAGTTGACACGCAAAGTGATACGCAAGTGACACGCAGTGCGTGTCACACTGCGTGTCACTTGCGTACCGCATTGCGTGTCACTGCGTGTCACCAGAATATAGTGCAAAAAGTGACACGCACTCAGTGCGTGTCACCGTATACCATCAGGGAAGACCAAAACCCAACAGGCGTTGTCTCTCTCCTGCGCGGTATGGTAGTGACACGCATCTAGTGCGTGTCAGTGCGTGTCATTTTTTGCACCTAAATCTGGTGACACGCACTGACACGCACTACCGAATCGCTGGTGGCGAGAATACAGGCGTGAAGAGTGACACGCACTTGACACGCAGTGAGTGCGTGTCACACAATACCGTCGGGGAAAGATATTTCCAAAACTTTGCAAAACCTCTTCCCGGTCTGTAAAAGTGACACGCACTGACACTCACTGCTACAGCTCGTGTCCTCATGGTCGCGACCTCGTGTGGTTGCAGCTTCATCTAGGTTTAGAGAAGAACAACAATAGCATAGCAAAGTAAACATGAACTATCTATAAATCTAAAAAATAAAAAATTGAAAAAAGCACACCTAACACGCTGATTTTTTCCATTATTTTGGAGAGGAATGAGGAACTGGGGAACCTAAAGAGGGCGCGAAGAGGAAGAGGAGGATAAGGCAAGCAAGTGTTCGCTTGTACATTTTCTGGTGGTCAGCTGGTAAATGTGAACGTCTTCACTGGCGCCTTAAGCACCGGCCTAAACCTGCACACCGTGTGCCAACGGTGCGCAGATCGATCATGATCTGCGGCTCCAGCCATGTATATCTTGCTTGCAAACGGAAATCAGGATGGGCGCGGCAACTCGCTGTAGCATGCAGCTACAATTTTCTCTCGATTACTTTTCTCTCAGATATTTTCTCGATGATGAAGAAGCACAAGACGACGGCAAGAAGAACACGCAGATGAAAATAGATCTTTACGAATTGCAGGCTAGCGACCATTTGATCGACTAGTGCTAAAGCATGCAGGAGGCAGTAAATATACATAAGCTTTTCTACATTTCATTTTCTATGATGAAGCTAAAACAATGCATATCACAATATAAATTTCTGATGCTGAGTTGCCACTTTTTTCAAAATGTCATGCAAAAATAAAAGGTGGACCTTAAGAGCTGGTGGCCCTAGACTGACATTGAAGACTCATGGCATAGCGGATGCAAAAATAATCTAGTGCGTGCACTAGAGCGCAGCTTCGTTGCTTGGTTTCTCTCAGAAGATTGAAACTGACGAAAAACGAAAAACGTGATGAAGAAAACGAACATGCGAGCTGCATTTCCGGATCAGCAGACTATATTTTATTTGAACCCAATTTGTAAAAAATCACTTTTAAAGTGAGAGCTACCTCTATCAAGGATCGCATGTAGAAAGCAAAAGGAGGTAAGATAGACAAGCATAAGCAAAAGCGAAGCAGAAACGGTGACTATCTAACGCAGAACGGAGTTGGAATGCGAAGAGTTTTGCGACTGAAAATCTTGCGTATTCAGGTTGAAATGGTTTTGCGGTCGGCTATCGCCAAGGGAGAAGGCATAGCGACTAGAACCCTGCCCTTTGAAGTTACCTCCCCCCTGCTGGTTCTGTCCTTTGGAATGGTAATTAGAATTGCGGGAAGAATGGCCGTCGCCTCTCGGCGTATGGAAAACTGGACTGGAAGCTGGGGCAGAAGTTGCTATCACTTGTTTATGGTTCGGATTCTTGCTTCCATGGCCTTTGTTGTTTTTGTGATTGCTCGGCGCAGGCGGCTGGTGGGAGAAGTTTGCTTTTTGTCCTTTGCTATCCTTTCCACCCCAAGCCGGAGCTGTATTACCCGGGGGCAATGCAGAAGATGTAGAAGAAGAAACTGCGGGGGCAGGCTTGTCGTCCACATTGTTGAGGTTGGGCGAAGCCAACGGCCGGCCCCTCTTGTTGAACGCGTGATCTTTGTTGTTCCGGAAGACACTATTAATCGTTTTCTGATCGTTGTTTAGAGCGCCACTAGGCGTAGTTGCTGCTGCTGCCCCGGCGGTTTCTGCCGGAGATGACGTGAGAAAACAAAATTAGGTTAGCAAGTCTTGGCGCGGGACTTGATCCCATGGGTGCACCTTTAAGCTGCTTAAAAACTTTCTTTCCAATCTGAATAAACTGTCGCTTGAGAATAAACTCGAAGGCCCAGATGGATTCGTCTAAATTTAAAGCTCGTGTCCTCATGGTCGCGACCTCGTGTGGTTGCTTCATCTAGGTTTACTATGCAACAACCCAAGTTGTCTCATTTCGCTTCGAACCACAAATATGTGCTATCGCACTTCCCTTCACGCTCGCGTATGTTGCCACCTGGCAGATCCGTGTGCGTGCATACTAGATACATATCGATGTTGATGTTGTGTGCTTGTGCTAGTATGTCTGTTACTTTCAACAGAAGTCATGTCATTCAGAAAAAGACTCGTAAAAAATTATGCAGGAGTACATTTATTTCGTTCCAAGGAGATGGGAAATAAATACGTCGTGTCAGAAGTACCTGTGCTGGTTTTTTCTTCCGAAATTGAAATTATCGCTCCGAGGCCGAGGCCCCAAAACAAAAACTTGACGAGGGCCAAAAATTAATACATCGAGGCGCATCAAAAACTGCGGGATCCCAAAACTCGGCCTTCTCGTTTACCCAAACTCGTCCGGTTCCAAGAAATGCATTAAAATCCGACTCAAGTAGCCTCCAAAACACCAAAAAAATGCCGCAAAATACGATCTAATCCAAAACAGACTAAAATAGTACCCCAAACAAAACGCACCTCGGAGCACTGCTGTCGTGGTTTGATCCTTTAAAAAGTAGTCGCATAGATAAAGCGGTATTTTATGTATGAGGGGGTGAAGCATGATGTAACATTGATTTTATGTGTGAGGGGGCCGCGGCCTTCTCTCGCCAGATGAAAAAAAATCCTACACGGGGCAATGAAGACTGCGAGGGTTTTCGTGCGCGAAGATGTGCTAGAAATCTATCTTACAGTTACACGCAAAACTTCTACTCAAATACTATAAGTATATCATTCAACGTACGCGCTCGCGTAGTTGTTGTTGTTCGTCGCAGTCTTATAATCTCTGTAGAGATTCGAATGTAGTGCAAGTGGTACAATCGATGAACAGTCCAGAACAGTATCCGTCAATAGAATTCTTGAGAAAGGTTTCGGTTTGTGGTTGTAATTTCGGTAAACATGAATAGTAGATCAGTAGAAAGCATCAGTCTAAATACGGCTCTTTCACAGTCCCCAGTACGCGTCTCTCTCCTTCTGCTCGCAGTCACGGACCAGTCTGCTGCCCACTTCTTCGAAGCCCTGCAACTTGTAGCCCTGGAAAAAGTCACACTGCGCGCGCGATGCCGTGCGCACAATCGTCACGGGGAACGGCCTGCGGACGACGGTAGAGAACGCGTAGTTTCCGAAGGCGCCGAAGTCAGGTAGGCCATGTTTGCCGTTCAGGTTGTCCCGAAACTCGTTCGTGGCAGAGTCGTATTTTAAGTACCAGCCAACCGTCCCGGTGCGGAACTTAGGGATGTAATGGAACGGCGCCGTCCAAAACCAGTCCCAGACGCGGTTCGTATCCTTCGCAAATGCCCTCACCGGCATGGTGGGGAAGTTTCGCGCGACCGAAAACTCCTGGCTCGTGGCCGCCGCGTTCCAGTCCAGAGGTTCCAGGAACCCCGTATCAGGCCGGGCGCGGACCACCAAGTCGTAGGTCACGTTGTGCGCCGCCGCGTGTTTTTCCACGTCCGCGAAGCAAGCGTCAATCCACATCATCTGCAGAAACCAGGCTGATTTATAAAACTCCCGGTCTGTGCACAGCGAGTCGGGCAGCACGGGCGGACCGTCGTAGCGTGGTGCTTCCCCGGGAGCAGAAGACCTCACACCCCGCCCCTGGTCGGCCATCACATCTGCGACGGCACTGCAGGTGCTATCCGGCACGATCCGCTTCTTCGCAAAAGTGGATACTTTCGATTCCAAGTAGTCCAACCCGGCCAGCAGCCGCGGGTCATCCGGCTGGCTAATCGTGTCCGCGGAGGCCGCTCCACCATTCCAACCCGCGGGGGTTAGGGATCCGAGGAAAAACAGGTCGACGCCTACGCCCGTGTCCTTCAAATTTCCAAGCAAGTTGTCCCCGATGGACTTGTACACATTTGGCAAAGTCAACGCCCGCACGCCGCCGACCATGCATACTGCGACCCGCTTGCCGGCAGCGGCGGCGTCTGTCGCGCGGAACACCTCCACCATCTCACTCGGCGCGTCCAGAGGCAACTGGTCGGTACTGACCGGAATCGGGTTTTTGTTGAGGTCGCGGCCGCTGGGGGGGCCGCCACCGCCACCGTTGTTGGGCCCCGTACCGCCACCGTTGTTGGGCCCCGTACCGCCACCGCTCGGCCCCCCGCCGCTCCTAAGTTCCGCGACCTGCTCCGTGAGCCTCTCAACCTGGTTCGCTCCTTGCACGTAGAGACCCAAAAAAACAGCGAAAGCAGCGGCGAAAATAGCCGTGGCACAAGCAAGAAGCGTGATCAGAAGCCCGGCCCGTCGCTGCATACAGGACGAATGGTGGTCTTCTACGTGGTCGTGCTCATATTTATCTTCGCGGTTAATGTTCTTATTCTCGCCAAGCAGCGCCGCAGTTGTGCTGCTCTCGGTGTCTCCCTGTTGTTCCAGATCTACGTGGCCGGCATCTTCACTTTCCTGCATGCGAGAAAACGCGACCGCCTTCCCGTCTTCCACATCCATTCTTCGTGCTGCCTTCGACATAATAATGATTGATGATAGATCGATGATGTATGAAAAAAATATAACTTAAAAACGACCTCTCGCGAGAGCAATAAAGAACCGTTCAAAACAAAGTGGAGGTCGATTAGAAACTTTTATTCAAAACCTGGTGGCGGTAGTAGAACACGAGATTTCAATATTTTGATTTTCCGTTTGCTCTCGAACGGATCCATGAACGTGAAGTAGATCTGGAAACCTTATACACTTTTCGTTTTCATCATGACTTTGCTATACATGAATGAACATTGATTTCTTGGATCAACAAAAACGAATCCTCCGCGGTCATCTTTCTTTCTTTTTTTCCATGCCTGGGCATGGCGTCAAAAGTTCAAGGCCCTAAAAGATCCATTTCCGTTGTGTTTCCTTTTTCATCATTTTCATTTCCCTCTCCACTTGATCATGATCCCGCATCCGCAACATCAAATGAATCTATAACCGAAAAACTAACTCTGTAGCCTACAAAAATTGCACCGAATGATGATATTAATTGTTCCCAAAGTTGTTGTGGTTGCACGACCGACTGAGAATACTAAATTTCACCGAATGATAGATAGATAATACTTTATCGTGATCAACAAATTTTTTGTTGAAAAGTTCGGCTGCATAGCTTGCAGCCGAACTCACACAACCTTGGCCAAGATCCTGCGGCTGCTCTGGTGGACGAGAAGTGATCAATTTATCGCAACTTCTGGCGAACGTGCATTTGAATTTTGACCGAATTTGTGGAAACACTGTGAAGAAGCATGATCCACGATCATGCGCTGAGCAGTGTGAAGAAGCATCCAAGTGTGTGCTTTTGTTTCTTGATGAGACAATTGCTGCTAAGTAGTGCCATCATGCAAGCAAGAACGGAAAAGAAAAAACGGCCCAATGAAGCGGCTGCCTCGTCAAAATTAAGTGTCAGTCACGTAGTTCTCCATACCTCAGATCTTCGTAGGTGCATGTACAGTGCCAAATCACGACCCGATATCGTGAGTAAAAACGTCCCCACACCAGAGTTGTAATGCAAATCTGCACTCTGAAAATGTTTCTCATGCGGAGACCCATGAGAAGCGGTCTCTAGTCGTGTTGTGGGATTTGTGATGCTCCAATCAGCATGATATGCTAGATCTGTGATGCCGCTCAACAAGCTAAACAGGATTACGCTGCGAGGCCAAACCTGTCATGCGCAGCAGCAAAAGCTGACAGATTTGTCTAGCAGATTTCCCAGCTTGACTCTGGTGTGGGGACGTTTTTACTCAGGATACCCGAGGCCGAGGTCGTGGTCCTCGCGGTGGAGAGGACATAGACAATAAAGGAGTGGATCTACGTCGTTCAACATCTTCGTGGGTGAAGTGCAGGTGTTGTAAGTATGCATTGCAAAAGTATCGTACTAGTACAAATTGCATCACAAATTTTTTCAAGAAGAAAAATGGAATTTTTAATGCTGATTTACCTAAAAAGGGATATTTGTGATGCATGATTGCAATTACTACGAGTACGATACTTTTGCACAGGATAGTAGTACCCATATAATCACAACATCAAGCCGCGCTACTAGCGATCCAGGATCGGCGTTTGCTGCGCGTAGTCTTCCGGTTTTCGATACATGACGACCGGCACGTAGATATCAAAAGGAAAAGTCCCCCCTCCCCATATCGAAAACGAAATTGGTCATGCTGTATTTGAGGACACAAATCGACTTGCATTGCTAGAAGACTAAGAGCAGCAGTTGTGGCCTCGTTTGCAGGCACTTTGTCATGCTGTTTCTTAAGTCCGTCTGCCTCCTGTCATGCTGAAGATGCAAGGCCTTCCCAGCACACCGCCCAGCACTACAGTCCGCCTCTTTTCCCTCCTAGCATGACAAAGCTGATTTGTGGCCACAAATCTGCATCACAGATTTTCGTTTTGATAGGGGGAGGGGGGATTTTTCCTCACGGTAGTAGAAGGGCAGCGGCGGTGCCGGCGTGGTTCCGCTGGCCAGGGCCGCGGCGTCCCTGGCTGCCTGGGCCGCGGCAATGAGTTCTTCGTTGGACGGGGGCGGCGCGGGCGTCACGGGAAACGGGGCGTCCACCATGGTCACTTTCTGCAGCTCCGGGTCTTGATTCACGCCGTTATTCAGCGTCGTGGTTTTCAGGCCCGGCGACTCGGGTGGATCTTTCGGCGGCGGCGGGGCGTGCGGTGGCAGGGGCGGCGGAGGCGCCGCGCACTGCGAGTCACAGGAAACCACGTCGCCAAATTTCCCCGTCTTCGGGCAGTCCCAGGTGCCGATGCCGGAGACGAAACACGGCGCGCAGATCGACAGCGTGTCGGCCCCGAAAGCGTCCTGCTTCTTGTAATTCAGGTACATACACTTCGATCCGGACTTGTTCCCGAGGTCGAAGCATTGCGACTTGGTCAAAAACCCGCTCTCTTCCACGCAGGCGTACTCCGGCTGGCGGACCTGCGCCTGATGCGGACACTGCATCTGACACTCCTCCACGGTATCGCCGTTGATCTTTGCCCCCACGTTCCAGCAGGGGATCTTGTTGTTGTCGATTTCGCAGGGCAGGCAATGGGACTTGGCGTTCCGGATCCCGGCGGAATTCAGCGAGACCCACATGCACTCGCGCCCGCTGACGGCCATGCAGTCGTCCTTGCTCGGGTTCGTGCCGAGATCGCAAGCGGAAGGAGGTTTGGCGTTTTTGTTCACAAACTGCTCCCGCGTGATGAATAGCTGCGGGTTGATGTCGTCATCTTCCTCCGTGGGCATCGCTTTCAGAGGGGTCTTCAACAAAAAGGGCGCACCGGAGACCGGACTGGCTTTCATCTGAAGACGCTGATGAAGAGTTGCGGAGGACTTTTTACCATCACGCAGAAAGAACTTCTTAGCGACGAGGAGGTTCTTCTTCTGCTGGTAACCGGCTGCAAGTTGGTGGAGTTCTTGCGCTATCAGAGCAGCGAGGAACACCTTTGTAGTTCCCTTCGTAGGAACAAGCATGGCGTGTTTCTCACTGCTCCCGGCGGTTCCTCGATGCTGACGCTCCCGCCGGCGGACGGTGGCTGATGGGGCCGACGCCATCGTCCCCAACCAAGCCGGTGGAATGTCGCGCTGCAGCTCTGACCGCCTCACATCTTTGGAACAAGTAGTTTCCGACTCATATCTAGGGTGGGCAGACGAGCTGCGGCACAGCTACAACTACCTCTCTTACCCTTTCTTGGTAAGCAGAACTCCAACATGCTTGATCCTCTTGTCTCTGACGGCTTTAAGACGTAACTGGAGAAAACAATCTCCAAGCCCGCAGTGCCAACGCAGTACTAGAACACTCGCTAGTAGAAGAACATCAGTTTCCAAAAAAGACGCCACAAGCGTTCTTTTGCTCTGCGGTGCATCCGCTAGAGTCAGTGCCTGTCGTGTCATGACACTCTGATCGCCCAGTTGTTTACAGCAGTTGGAAGCCGAAAAGAAATCAAAGTCTTTCTTAAATGTTTTGCGTCGCCCCGGATGTGGCTTTTGGTCCTGGCGGGCAGGACACGGAAAATCGCCATTGTACTTGTTGAATTAGTAAAATGGTTTTTGCTAAAAGTCAGCACCTTGCTCTACTTATAGGAGATAGAATCATAGATCAGTTCGTATTCATTCATTTTCTAGTACTTACAACTGTCTTCACGCACCCTGACACTGCTTCAGCAAATCCGCGTAGTAGTTGCATTGGGTCGGGTCACCTGTGCATGTCAATTGAAAGTTGGTTTGCAACGTGGGCCTGGCATGAGAAATTATTTGTGTGATGCAATTTCTGCATGACAAAAATTCCGCAAAAGTAGTCATACATACCTTGGCCCATGCACTGCTTCAACCAGTCCCTTTCGGTGGTACATTTCAAGCAATTATGGATTGCAAATATGTCTGGGTCCGGAAGATTGCAACTTGTGATGCTCCCTTTGGACTCTGCATAAAATCTGTATTGCATGAACAGCAACAGAAGAGCTATTTTTGCTACGCGGACAGGGCACTTCTCATGCGGTATGAGCATCAGAAAGCCCTCGCAGAATCTCTGGTGCAGCTAGGGCACGCATCACAGACCTCATGGGAGGTCATGCAAAATCTGCATGACAAACTCCTGCATTCTTCCAGACCCAGACAGATTTGCAGTTGATAGTGCTCGCTCGCACCGGCGTTCGGCGCCGGCTCGGCGGCAGCAGCGGGCTGGCCCTGTTTTCATAAGTACATTTACATTTTCGTTTGATGCAGGACTTCGCATCACAAATTCGAATTTTCCAACCATGTAGTGGGATTCGCATGACAAAGAACCTGTACCTCATTCCGATGCACCACTTCGGTCTGCCTCGGTCCCATCATCGCGTCCACCGCACGATTCGCAACGGACATACCTGGAGGATACATTATCGTTTTTGGCCGAAATCTGTCATGCATAATCCACATTTGTAGCGAGATTCCTCATGCAAGAACGACCAATGCACGAAAAACCAAAACCTTATAATCGTATTTACCGACGCCCGCGGCCATTCCACTTGCCATGCTTCCCGCCAATCCGGACATCATGCCGCCGCTTGCCGGGGCGGCCGCAGGTGGCGGTGCTGCGTAGGCAGCTGGCGCCGGTGGGGGCGGGGCCGCTTGACGCTGCTGCACGGGCGGCGCCGCGCTGCGGGCCGGAGCCGCACGCGGCGGCGAGGCGGAGCGCCCGGAGGAGCGACGGGGCATTTTTTTACGGGAATAATATGACTCAAATAACACTCAACCTAAAGAAATTTGTTGTTGTCGATCCACGTTCTTTTGCTCCTGCAATGAGATCGCAGAGGTTTCTTGCGAAAGTAAGAGTGCCATCATGAAGAACAGGTTCTTGGTTGCGAGACAACTTGGAATAACATCACATCGGCCAAAACAAGAAACGCAGCATCTCTCGTCGACGATTGTCGTCAAATCATCGTGTTAGAATACGGACCAGAGTGGTGGGAGGTCACATCAAACAAAAATGTTTTTTTCATCAAAGGACGAACACAAAACAAAAACAAGCAACAGGCTCAGCAACTACGAAAATCAGAACATCCTGCCGGTTTTTCAACTCAAAAAAAGCAGGCATAGGTTCTCGACAGCAACATGTTTTTGAATTTGCGCTGTATCATGTCTAGGGCCGCAACATTTCAAATCGATTACAAAAGACTGCTGGTCCTTCCACCATCTGTCCTGTCTTTCGAAAAGCGTCTGCACACTAGTGTTCGTTGCGATTCTGACAGAAGTGCTACTTCCAGATTAGACGACGTCATCTTTTGTATGAAAACAAGTACGATATATTTTCCTTTCTCTTATTGTGCTTCCGTAAGTAGTCCCGTGCGCGCTCCAAGTATCGAATCAACCTTCATCGTGGTTCTGGACACTTACTTTTAGCCCCCGCGAAGGCCAAAATCATCTGTCTTTGCGACAAAACATATTTGTGGTAAAGGTATAAATAAATCATCGCATAGCAGGGTGGCGTACAATGCTCACTTCTTCTTCATCTTCCCATTCCGAGAAGCAACCTATTCCAGTCTCAATCCGCATTTACTGTTTCAGCTTCACCGTCAGCTCGAGAGTCCCCAAATAGGCCCCTTCCCGACTTTCCCAACGCTTCTCGGCTCCGGGACAGTCGACCGTATTGCTCTCGAGTTTGCCGGGAACCAGCACTCCATTTTTCTTCATCGACGAGGAGCGGTTGCACTTTTTTCTCCCGCCGCCACGGTTGAAAGTCCACTCGCCGACATTCTCAAACACCTCAACGTAAAGGGTCTCGACCAATAAATCCAAATTCTTCGTCCCATCCGTCCCCAGCTCGGCCGCTTTGAACACGTAAGCCTCTTGCGTCAGCTCGTAGTTTCCCTTCTCGTAGCGAGTCTGGTAGCCACGGAAAATCACTTTTCTGTCGGCAAACAGTGGCTTGAACGCGTCATCGTCGTGTTCGCGGCGATATCCTTTGTTTATTCCCTTCCGCAAGTCACAGGCGTCGCCCTCGCCGATGAGGAACGGAACTTTCTTGCCGTTTTCTTTCATCACGTGCCCTTTCACCACGAAGTCGGTATCGCACGCCGTGTTGACCACCCGAAGGTGGTATTCCTGGCCTGGGACCAGCAGCACGACCTTGTTACCGTTTTCAAAAGTGGTTTCACCGATCTGCACACGAGGTCCACGCTTTTCCCCAGGTCCCACAAGCATCTCATGGCCATCATCGCCCGCCTTCACCAGCTCCAGCTCCACGCATTCGTGTTCATGCAGGTACTTCGCCGGCGCACGTTTCATTTCCTGCACTTTTTCTTCTGCGGCAGCGAACGCTTCTTGCAGGCTGTCTTTAACCTTAACGGTTCGACGAATGCAAGCTTTTTGCAGCTCGGACGCACCTCCACTACCGACGCGCAGCATAAAAATTTCCGGCACGGTCACGGTGGCCAGGAGGTCGCCGTGTTTCGTCACACTGATCCCCTTTTTCTCGAATAGATCCAAGTCAACACCCTCCTGCTTGCACAAATCCAACAATTGTTTCTTGCGCTGGTGCGTTCGCTGGTAGCGGCGAAATCGTTTCTTCTTCTTCTTCTTCATCTTCTCGGACGCCACCGTACTGGCAGTGCCACCACGCTCCCGCGCGGATGCAGCTTGTCCTAACGGATCGTCGACCTTGGCGACCTCCATGATGATCGCGTTCGTGACACGACAAACAGGGCGAGGCTGCGAAAACGAGTTGTGTGCTGTGAGTTCTTTTTTTGTCAACGGTAATTGGTTCTAGAGGTCGTAAAACCAAAATGTCAGATTGGTTTTCCCCGCGTTGAGATTTGACAATGTCAGGACGAACGGCCAGTAGTTCGTTGTACAGGTAAGATGGCCAACGTCTTGTTGTAGCGGTCGCGTGATGGCTGCTATCTGCCGTTTGCAAAACCGATAGAAAGTAGAACGAACGTTAACTATCTAAAAAACAAAAGTGGATATTACTCTTGTAATGAATCCATCAGGCTATTTTTCACTTACTTGTTTATTGTGACTTTATTTCTTGACACAGTTTCTTTCGAGTATTTGTGCGCTTCAACACAGTAAGTAGTTCTCGATAAGTACTACCACTTGAGAGAGCCGAGCCCTTCGACTTTTTTGACACTGACTGACGAAACAGGCACAATTACAGGACTTTGCCGCGACCGTAGGCTAGTGTTGCAGAAAAATCTCGGGTTCTTCTTGGATCGGATTCTTCAACTAACATGTAGAGGCCCTTCAGCCTACCGCAAATCTGCAGGTACAGAAGTCCATGATCCAGCACACGAGTTTTGATCTTCTCTCGCAGGTCGTTCTCTGTAGTTATTCAACTACGAGATAATATCCCACTTGTGGGAGCCCAGCTCACCAGTGATGGGAAGCGATCCACCTCTGCCGGATCAGGTGATGTCACGATCTTGATCCTTCATGGATAATGTAGTTCTGTTCTTGCGTAATGCGTCTGGACTACTTGTTCCCTCGAGCAGGCAAAACTACTTACACCTAGACCTCTAGTAGAGGAAGAGGATCTTGATCCAGGGCAAGAAACAGAAACTAGATCGATGCTTTCTAGCAAGCCGAAGCAGATGATCAGCATGCCAGAAACAGCTGCAAGGAAAATTACTTTCTTGTGTATAGCAACAGGCTTTTCTGTGATTGCTCGAGTCATTAGAAACGAAATACATTCATCATCATCACCCTCTAAAACTCGCCATATCTAATTTCAAATTTGCTGCGCCAGACCCTGTTGAGGGCTTTGCCCCGAAACTTTTCTTCGCAAATGGAGCTGCCGTGGTGCCTCCTCCGACGTCGTATCAAGTGTAAATACTGTGTCTGGGCCTGGAAATGAAAGTTCAACTTTTTCTGCTCGTCTGGCAATCCTCCTGGAATTGGAAAACCTGTATTGCATGACAGACAACTACAGCGCAGCTTCTCTTGTCATGCAAAGCAGCACTTCGCCCACGTGGACGTCGCCCAGTCATTCACCATTCCGCATCACATATGCTACTTCCAGACCCAGATATCGATATTTGCAGTCGATACGCCACTAAAAATGCTCATTTTTCCTTGGACCGCGTTGTGGAATGGGTTGCTCGCAACCCCCGAGAATTGTAACTCCCTCTCCCATTATCGCACGACCAAAAAGATGCTTCACATAGTTCTGCCTTGCGATCCGATGATTCCGGACAATCTGCATAACACCTTCGTCCCACAGAAAAAAGAAAGCAAAGTCGGTGATGTCGTGTGCCATCAAATTCGGCACGAGAAAAGTCAGAATATGGCCAAAAAGAATCTCATGCATTGCATTTCCAACACGACAGACAACTGGAACTGAGTTCTTGCGTAGTTCTTTGCATCACAAGTTTGAACAGACAGTGAAACACTTTTTCGGATATCAATTCCGCTGCCTCCTCTCTCTCCCGTTGCTCCGCCATCATAGCGCTGTGTTCCTGGTAGATAAACGCGCCGATGCAACCGCAGACACAACACACCATGGTCACGCACAGGATGACGAAGGAAATGGAAACGCCAGCCGTACCAGCGCTGCCGCCGTGCTGTGCCGCAGCGGGCTGGGAGTCCGTTTCGGAGACCTGCTTCGGAGGTGCGCCGGCAGCCATTACAACTTCTCTGGCGGCTTTTTGAAGTGCTGCAGACGAGACGGAAGGAGAATTTGAAGTAGTAGACGCGGTTCTAGAAGCCTCACCCGCAGAAGATGCGGATGAAACAACTTCAGCAAGTTTGGTTGGAGAAGTTTGTTTCAACGGCAAATTTTTCTGTAGAAGTTTCTCATGCTGTTCGAGGAATAAATCGGCCTTCTCTGAAACGTCCACCTCCGTACTAATTTCGTCACGCTTGTTTGAAGCAAGCGACGGCGCTCGTCGTATCGTATCATTCTTTTCGCTTTTCTCCGCGATTTTTGCTCTTCGCAACTTCTTTGAGCGCTGCAGACTGGAGGCAGCTGCTACGTTGGGATCTTCTTCTGTCCTCCCGGAGGGTGGTATGTTGGCGTCCAGGGGAGGAGACTTCTCGACGTGTGGTTTTTTCTCATCTGCGACATACGCTGCGGATACTGATAACAGGGGAAGCAGCAGCAGTAAGCTTCTGCGAACTGCGAATCCGAGTACGGCTCGCAGGTAGTACATTATTTTCGAATTCGTTTCGATGCATTCGTCCGATACAATCACAAATACAATTAGCAGCTGCTACGCTACATTTAGTGTAGAGACGATACGTCTCGGGCTCGTCCTGGCAGCATCGCACGACAGAAATTCCGTTCTTCCGTGCTTCTATCTGCTCTGTTTGAAAACCGGGGGAATCTTCAGGTAGTGATTTAGATAGTACTCCCGAAGAATGCTCGTCAAAGTTAGAAGGGAACGAACTGTTGTCTATCGAGAGGATGAGCTTCGTCTCTTCTACTTCCAGTATTACTCTCCTCAGCACTGCCTCTCGCGACCGCGACAGACGACTTCTTAAGTGGTGGTGAACCGGCGGCATCAAACTCTTCTTCATTAGGATTTCGACGCCGACAAGTTGTACCAAAGAGCACAGTCGTCACTCCTTCGAACTTCACTCCGAGGTCTCTTGAGTGGTACAAGAGCAAATAATGATAATCCCAATCCCTCCCGAACAAATATTAGACGCTGACGCAGTGCAAAAGGAAGATACTGGTCCAACACAGCGGCGGCCCAGCAAGAACAAGCCTTTGAAGCTCATTACGTACCGAAAGCTACAACGGCACTACTTTCCGTTCGTGAAGTGAAACTGAAACTTGTCGAAACGGCACGAGTATTTTTCGAGAACTGAAACCACGTCATCCGCACCTATAGTACAATCACTATTCTTCGTCACGACTCCGCGAAGTTTTTGCTCCATCGTTGTGTCGACACTAGATTCAACCTCATTTTGCCTGCTTTTTTCTCATCTAGTCCGTAGGAATGGGCGACGTGGTTTGCTCCTGGGTCGTGATTTTTGTTTTCATTCCAATCGCCACCAGTTCCGTCGTAAAAATCTTCCTCCCCCCAATACTCGGCGTCATCGTTGTTGTCACCGCTCTCCGCCCACCACCACTTTTTTTTCCCCGACGCAGGAGCTCCTGCGTTGTTTTCTCCTTCTCCGCCTCCGTACTGCAACACGGCACAGCAAACGCAACCAAAGAACACCACGACGGTTGCGACTATGCCGGCTAGAATCGCAACAGAATCGCTCTCCCCCGCGGATGAAGCTCCTCCTGTGGTTCATGTTCGAGGCACTGCTTCCTCCGCTGTCGCCCGCGTCTCGTACTGGTCGGTCGTGGTAGAATTGTTCGCTGTGCCATTTTTCCTTGATGTTGCAACTCGCAACTGTACTTTTGACGTCGAAGAAGATGAATTCACTTTCACGGACGACGCGGGAGCGGGAGAAGGAGATCCGGACGAAGATGTCCTCGTTCTTGATGGAACGTGTCTATAGCTCGACACTTGATGTTCATCTTCTTCACTAGCAGTTGTGGTTGATACGAATTCTGCATCCTGTTCTATTCGAAGCTCCTCCTCGCCACTCACTTGAAGCTCCACCGGCGGGGGCTCTTTGCGGACGAGTCTACCATTTTCTAAAGACCTGCTACTGCTCTGCTCCGCGACGACGTCCAAAGCTGCTGCAAGCTGCACGAGATCATGCGCAGAAGATCCAGCAAACGGCACAGCTAACATTTGGAATAAAATTGCCTGGTGGAGTACAGCTGCAAGCAGAAAAATTTCTACGCCAGCCGAGCGTCCTCGAGAGAAAGCCCCCCGTCGTCCCACGACCCTAGAACGCAACAATTTCCGCTCGTGCTGCGAGGGTCTGCTCTTCGCGAGGTGGACACACGTAGGCGTGGCCCGCTCGCATTGGTATTCTTGACCCCGGTGTTTGTTCCCGTAGCCGCCATCTTCCGCTTGAGAAAACCATGGGGACTGGTTCCTCATCGGCATAATACATGGTCGTTCTTCTTGGAACTACTTCTTCGAGGTGCGCGGTCCTAGAAATAACGACACAAATTTTATACCCGAGGTGAAAGGCTTGTAAACACCGCAGAGGACGAGTGGCGAATTGGCCACGACTCTCCGCTCCCATCATTGAAAAAAGCTCAACCTCTCGACGGCGCGAGCGATCGAGCTCGAAGTGGTCACGGCTATACTAAATCCTGCTATCTCTCCGCAAGGGTCTAACCGTGGCCCGAAAAGCTAGTGGTGAACAAACTCCACGTTTGGCGACAGTTACTCCCGTTCGACAACAGCCCACGGACGGCTTCAACATTTGGAAAAGAAAAAGTAGAAAATCAGCTCCATTTAATTGTTCCTGCTGTGGCGCAACAGAAAATCTTACGTGGTCCGAGCTCATCTTAGTGACAGAGTGATTCGAGCAGCATCCTTCTGTCAATCAAAAAACATGGTTATGTCCACGTCCTGACTGAGCCATCTTTGCTTAAACAGCACGAGAAATTCCTTCAGCGACGTCAAAAGCGACAGAAACAGCAACCGGGCTATCTCCTCCGTATCCGAGTTTGCTTCCAGCGCCACGATCTGTTTCCGCGCAATCGACTCCACAACCTCCAACCCCTCGATGTTCTATGAGAGTACACAACTCCACCCCGTCTCCCTCATCTGAAGGGCACAAACAGCAATACAAGCGTCGGCAAGCATGCAGGTTTTGCATGACAAATTGTTCACCCAGGATTGTAGTACTGTTTGAGCTCCTTCCAAAACTTATCATGCAAAAAGTGCAAAGAAGCAAAGGGCGGATTTGGCGTTCTGCATGACAAATGATGGGGAGGAGGAGTTGTGCACGTCTCTCATATGTTCTCCCTCTGACTCACAAACTCCTCGTGGTTTTCCGGGGCCTTCTCGCTGAACAGCTCCGTCCGTTCGTCCAGAGCGTCCCGCAACTTCGACAGTTGGCTCGTGATCGCCATCAAAATGGGGGCTTGCCCCTTATGAAATGCAAAAATGTCTGGGTCTGGCAGGATCCGAACTTGTGATGCGCATTTTAGAAAATAGAAAAGTCTCTCATGCATAGGTAGCTAAAGCTGCCGACTTTCTGTCACCAAGATGGGGGATTTCTCATGCGGGTTCGGCATTGCGGAAGCTTCTCGAAACCCGTGATGCTAGAGCTCCCATGCCAGACCTTCTGTGTCATGCAAAAACAGCATGACTCTTCCAGACCCAGATATTTTTCCACTTGATACCCCTGCCCCTCCAGCAACTCCTTCCCGAAATCCTGCACCGTTTTTGCCCGCACGTCCAGGTCGTCCTTCTTCTTCAATTGCATCTCCAAGTCCTTCTGCGCCGACTGCTTCTTGCGCTCGACCGTCTGCAGCTGATCCAGTAACGCGAGTTTCGAGCTCGAATTGCTGTCCTGGAACTCCCGGACCCGATCCATCTGCTCGAAGAGTTTCTTCTGCTCCATTCCGGTCGTTTGAAGGGACTGCACTTGCAGCTGATCCAGCTGGTCCGCCAGTGTTACAGTTTGCGCATCTAGTTTGTGCACCTGCTCCCTCAAGTATCCGAGAAAAGCACTGCGTTGATGTACTTGCTATCTAAGTTGTCCTTATCTATGCGAAACTACATCACGCAATACAGTTTTCCCTACACTTGTCGTGCTCATGCCAGACAGAAGCATTTACACAAAGACAGTTTTCTTCTTGGATATCAGGTGGATCAGGATCTCCGTCGCTTCGTCCAGGTCTTGCTTCTTCACGGTGATCGTGGAAGTACACTGCTGCACTTCTTGGTCCAGGACCAGGGAGAGTGTGGAGAGTTCGGAAACCCCCGCTTTTTGCTTCTTTTTCTTCTGCGGCGAGGAATTTGCGCTGTCTTTGTTGTCGTTATTTTCACCTCCAGCACTACTATTGTTCATCATCATTTCCTCCCGGTCCTTCTTTTTGCTGTTGGCTACACTGGTGCTCTCGGCGAGAAGTTGTTTCAGTTTCCCCAGGGTGATTTGGCACTGTCGGGCGAGCTCCAGTTGCTCGGCGAACAAACTCGGGTTGGAAACGGTCGCATCAAGAAGAAAAATCCCCCCTCCCCGTATCAAAACGGAACTCTGTGATGCAGATTTGTGCTCACAGATCAGCCGTGTCATGCTAGAAGACAAAAGATGCGGACTGTAGTGCTGGGTGGCGTGGGAAGGCCTTGCATCTTCAGCATGACAGGAGGCGCCTGCAGGTGGGAAACAGCATGACAAATTTCCTGCAAACGAGGCCACGGCTGCGGCTCTTGGCCTTCTAGCAATACAAGTCGACTCGTGTACTCAAATACAGCATCACAACTTTCGTTTTTCACATGTGGAGGAAAAATTTTTCCTTTTGATAGGTCGCAGGCACCCGTGCGTCCACGCCGTCCACGGAAAATTTTTGCTTCGAGGACGAGGATCCCCCGGCGGTAAACAGGGTTCCGTCTCGGGCAGAGGAAAACACCAGAAACGGGGTGTGGTTCGGCACATTGTCGCCAAAGTTCTGCAAAGACGCGCCCCACTGCCAAATCGAGCCCTCCGCGCCGATGGCCACGCCGGACTCCTTGCCGCAGCCAATTTTGACAATTTTTTCGGGGTGGTTCTTCGGTAGCTTCACCAGCTTTGGGCGGGTCACGTCCCGCGTGTGCTGCATGCCGAGCTGCCCGGCCTTGTTCCGCCCCCAGGCGTACACCTCGCCGAGCGCGCAGAGGACCAGGCAAAAGTGCTTTCCGCAGGCGATCTGCACGGCCTCCTGCTCGCCGAGGCCGCCCTCACTGACGACGAACGCGCGGTCGCCCTGTTTGGAGTTGGTGTATTCAGATATATGTATGACGCGTTTCTCAAACTACAGTAGTCTTTCTTCAAATGCGATTTTTTTCCTTGCATGCTGTGCAGCCGTGCGATGATCAAAAAACTTCTAAATCTAAAAATTTCATCCGATGCACAGCGTCAGAGTGGAGTCTGCAACATAAATAGTACCTCGTCCTTCTTCACGCATTTTCTTCCCAGCTGCCCGAACCTGTTATCGCCCCAGGAGTACACGCGGCCTTGGTCGGACAGCAGTAAACCATGCTCGTCACCGGTCTCGATTTGCACAGCCTTTTCCATAGGATGCTCAGCGGGCTCCTCGATTTTGAAAGGGTATGGAAATCGGAAAGAAGCGCAGGAAGACATATGTGCTCGCTGCCGCGCAAGTGGTTCCCGAATGACAATGAGAATGAATGCAAAAATTTCAATCTGGTAAAGGAAGAAATAGGCTGTGGCTTTTTCTGGCCTCCTGCGTGCCTCTTTTCCATACTGTCTCTGCTCCAATGATGTACGATCGCCACATCTGGTCCGCCATCGTGCGCTGTGGACAGCTGCGCCAGGAGGTTTAGGAATGGGGAGTCGACAATGATAAGTGCGCCCTTGTTGAGAAGAAGATGAAACTGAATAAACTAGGTATCCATCCCAGGTAAGCGCACTTGTAGTTACTGTCACCAGGACATCGCTCGAGGTCAACCTCCTACCAATGAATTAATACCGAAACCTGAAGCGGGAACTTTCTCAAACGATGCCGCTCAACAGTCAGAATGGCCATTTCTGTCTCCTGCAGCGTCCACTCGGAACAGTAGACGTCCTCGCCCTCTTTTCCACTTGCCGCGCGCGCCCTTCTCTTCGCCCCTCACGGGGGAGGAGGAAACACTCAACATTAGGTATGGAGCCAACACAGGAAGAACAATCCGTCCGCGCGTGCTGAAGATCGCTCCGAATAGGCAGGGGCAGTAACAAACTTTTACTAAAAGAGGCGCGACATCGGGTCGAGCGATCATCACCACCAATCGCACTATATCGCGAATTTTTGCAAGGACACAGACCGCAATACGCGACACCTTACCGGTCGCAGGCCCGCGCTCGAGACGCTGCATTGCGGCTAACAAAAAGAAGCGCCAGGGCGCATCATTCAAAAGCTAGCGGGCGGCCGAAGCTAGCAAACTCTGTAGGAGCGCCCGGGCCCCTGCCTGCGGAAGACGCCACCCCGCGGGCGCCCCCCAAGAGGAATGTCGGCGCGCCGGGCGCGGCAGAAATATATCGCGAGCGGCGTCCGTGCCGCAGCACGCCGCGAGATGCCGGACGCGCAACGCGCGCGTGCGCGGCGAAAACTGGGGGCGGGGCCCAACACACGCACGGAACCCCCCAAACCACCCGCCCCACCGTCTGCGATCGAAGGCCGGCGCCCCGGTGCGTGCCTACTGGGGTGGGTGCGCGCCCCGCCCTTCCCCTGCAATTGCTTGCTGCAATTCGCTCGGTCGCTCGCTGGGCAGCTCCGCCGTCGGTCTTCGCTCTCGGACGGGGCGACAGTGGTCCGCGCAGGTCGCAGCGTTTCGGGCGCGCCGGGATCGTGCTCGATCCTGTCCAGCCAGGCAGGCGCGCCGCGCGCCAATGTCCCGGGCCAGCGGTACGCCGCGGCCCTCACTGTAGGCACGCGCGGGCCCGCTGCGCGCGCCCAGCTTTCGCATTCCCCCGAATCGGCTGCGCCGTCCGCCGCCACCTTTGCCGGACTTTGGGCGGGCAACCTTTGCCGGGCTGCCATGCCCCGCCCCTTCTTCCACGGGAGACGAGAGTGAAGAACCGCGCGCCTTCCGGGTGTACGCCATCCGCTTCCCGCGGTCTTGAAAAGTGCAAAACCTCTCGGCCCGTCTCTTGATGGTCCCCGGCATAAACCGGCCCGGCCGGCGGGGTGGCTAGCAAGGACGCGCGCCGTGGCGCGCGCGCGGCCCCTCGAGGCGGCTGCGCCGTCCGCCACGCGGCCCCGCCGCGCCCTGCGTGCCAAGCTCTTCCAGCTTGCCCCCTAGTGCCTTCCCACGTGGCGCGGCCCAGCAAGCCAGCGCGCTGGCCCCGTCGTCCGTGGTGGCGAGCCGGCCCAACGCGGAACAGCCGCGCCCCACAACGAGCAAAGCCCGCGGCCGGGGCTTCCACGCCGGGCAGCTGGCCCGCAGCCCCCTGCAGCAAAGTCGCGCCGCGCTGCTTTCCGTGACTGAGACAATCAAACTGGAGCAACATCCTGTTTAACTTTTTAGCCCGACTGCGCGCTTATCCTCCCGGTCTGACCGATGAACACCATATTCATATATCTTTCTCCTTGCGCCTTCTGTTAAGTAGTTAAAATGAATTCGAGCTGGCACATTCGCAGCAAGTCTTTTTCTGTTCGTTGATGTGGTTGCGAGTAAATCGTCTTAGTTTATTGTGGCCGTCTTTGTACAGCAGTAATTCCAATGTCGCTTTCGGGTCGCGGAAAATAGCCACCATTGAATGTCGCTTGTTTGGTTCAGTATTCAGGCAGCAGCTAATTTTGCATCAAAGAACTCAGTCGTCTGCACATAAATATACTTCCCCGGTCTTTTCAGCGTTCAGCCGCGTCGTAGTCTTTCTTGCTACGCCTGACGCAGCGGCTGCAAAGGAAAATTAGAACTTCACCAGGACCGTTGATGTCGCTAAGAATTTTGTACACTTGTATAGTATCATGTCAGGAGGTCTACGTCTACTTAAGAACTACAGTTTATATTCGTATCAAAAGTCCTCAACCTTGTAGCGCCGCCGTCGAGGGCTGCACTACAACTCCCAAGTTATGTAAATTGTACCTAGTCGCGTCTTTATGTGTAGTCTTTAAAAATAGGAGCACCAAGAAATCCTGAACGACCACCCTCCGGGCATCTCACCGGGGACGACATCAGCAGGACACATCAGCCAGTCCGACACCTCCTCCCCGCCGGCTGCTCTACTCACACCCCTTCGACGAGCTGGCAGTAGTCTACTCCGTGGGCGATTTGGTCGAGATTCCGGAACTTTACCTCGCCCTTCAGATCGTTGAACAATTTTTGCCGCCGCAGAATCACCTCAATGTGGTCCATGACGCAGATCGAGGGGTCCAGTTCCCGCTGCCAGCCCTCTAACGTCAAGGCAGACACGGAGGCGATCAGAACGGTTGGGTGCAGCTCGATCGAGTGCTTCCGACAACAATCCAACGTCTCCTTTATCACGTCGCCCGCACGGCAATTCTGGTACAGTTGCGGGTTGTTGCGGACCCGCTGCCAGTTCTTGGATTTTTCTTCCATTTCCGCGATAAAACAGTCACCGAAGTCTTTGTCTTGAAATGATGATGATGTTGACAACGCGGACGCTGTGTCAGATTTGTTTTGCGAAAATAGAGAAGAAGATGTCGAGGAAGAAGTAGAAAATGATGTTCTTGAAGATAGTGCACCACCACCAGCACCACTCCTAGTAGTATCGAAACCACCACGACTATCTTCCCGCCCCGCTTGATCACCATCACTCCCTCCCTGTAGACTGCTGAGCGCCACAATCGCCTCCCCCAACTTTCTCCCGTCGTAGGTCGCGATGGCCTGGAAAAACGCGGACACAAACTCCTGCTTCTTGGGCTCGATGCAGGCCGACAAGCCCGCGTCGAGAATCACGAGCTCGGGAACTTCCTCGTAGCTCCCCACGTTCAAAACGTAGCTGTACAGTAGGGCTTTCGTTCGGGAAAACAAGTGCTTCTTCGGCGGCAGCGAACTTTTCCGCACCAAAATGTTCCCGGGATGGAGGTCCGCGTGGATGAAATTGTCGCAAATAATCATCTTCAGCAAGGCGAGGAGGCCGAGGGACCCGAGCTTCTGCAGAGAGGGGGAGTCGAGTTTCACCAGGTTGGAGTCCACCTCGGAAGATTGGTCATAAGTAGTTACAGCTTTTGTTCTACTTGTTCCGCTTGTTGGTGATGATGTTGATGAGGGTGTACTAATGAAACCAGACTCTACTTTGGTGCCTTGGTTGACAACTGCTGCGCCGCCCCCGCCGGTAGAAATAGCGTGGTCAAGAGCATGTCGCTTACTTCTAGTTATACGGTTCTCATTATCGTGAGCAGCGGACTCATCGTCCTTCCCACTTTCGCTGCTTGTTTTCTCACCGCTACTACTGTCGCTGCACGTCCTGTCCAGTTCGAATCCTCTTCTGATAAAATTCCGCACGGAGACGGACGTCTCTTCCGCCAGTACGAACGGCGAAGTCGCGCGGAACAGGTTTGGAAAGAGATTGTGCAAAAAATTGTTGCCGGCTTTGGCAGCTTTATTGCCGGTCGGAGGTAGTTCGTGAGATGAAGTGCCGCTGTGAGAGGACGAGGTGGAAGCAGATAAACTACACGCAGATGTTTTTGATCTACTTGAGGGTGATTCAGCACCGTACTGTCGGTGTGATGTCCTCGACATGATCGTTGTTCCTCCTGCTGATGTCGAGCCCGACGTCAGGTGAGTGGCTGTTGTACTAGAGTGGTCTACTTCATGCCCGCATCTTGTTCCCATCGTGCAGTAGTCATCTTGTTCGTGTTCCGCAAAGTCTGGCAGCTGGTCATCAACAGGTTCCGCGCTGCTCGTCGCGAGGTTTATTAAAGAGGCCACACTAGTACTTCTGGCTTCGGCCTGTAGTTTTGTGGTTGTACTATTCGTTCTCGCCTCGTCCCCGTTGCTTATTTTCCTTACACCCCCTTCTACCTGTTGCTCCTCTACCAGCTGTTTGCTCCTGCCGCCGTTGTTGTTTTTCATGCTCAGGTTCCTCTCCTGCTTCATCCGAATGTAGTCGTAGATGCTCGCCCCGGGCTCGAAGGACTCGATTAAGACCTCTCTCGTCGCGCACCGCGGTTTCGGGAAGGAAATGTGTGGCCATTGGTTGAAGTTTTTGTTGAAGATCTTCAAGTTCGCTGCCTCCTTTTCAAAGTCCAGCTGGTCGTGCATGTGGTGGTAAAACTGGTTCATCATGCGCGTGCAGCGGAACGAGGTCAGATTGCATTTCGTCAAAATACTGTCGGTGAAACTGCAGATATGAAATGCAAAAGCATCGTACTAGTAGCAATCGCATTACAAATTTGCTCAGCGTGACAAATGGAATTTCTCATGCTGATTTACGTTGAAAAAAAGATTTGTCATGCATAATCGCGATTACTACGAGTACGATACTTTTGCACAGGATAGCAGAAGGTAAGTAGCAACGCGAAGTCTTTTTTCATCACGGTTTCTAGATCCGGGTGCTGCACTTTGATAATCACTTCTTGGAGGTTCTGTTTATCGAGTTGGGATGTTGTTGTCGAGCAGGAGTTGTTGTGGTGGTCTCGCCCGGAACCATTAATTCTAGAGTCTTGAACTTCTGCCCCATTGTCGGCAGAAGTTGCTGTACTGGTGCTGAATATCCACCCACTCTTCGAAAAGCTCCTCCCTCGTGTGTTCTTTCCATTGTCGTTTGGGTTTCTCAGTTGCGCACGGTACACTTGGCCGATGGACCCGGAGGCGAGCGGGTGAAGGGGAATTTTTGCGGCCCCAGAAGCTTGTGGAGCGGTGCTGCCGGCTGTGGTACTTATTGCGCAGGCTCCGTGAGAAACCCCGTTGCAACTATTACCTGTGCCTTCGTCTAACACCAAAACGTCAAAGATTTCTTTTCCGAAACTCCTTTCCAAAATTTCTCGCGTCTTTTCCGGACTGTGCGCGGGCGCCTTCTGTGTCAGAAGATGGAGCTCCTCGCACAGCTCTAGCGGAAATAAGTCGTAGCGCGTGCTCGACCATATGGGAGTGTCAGAATCGAAATTGACAAAGTCGAAAAATTTGTGATGCACAAAATCGATGTCAGTTGGAGCCTCAGTTTCCAGGTGGCGCATGACAAATTTCGGGAGCACCCAAATCCAGTCTGTCATGCTGTTTGGGCAAAGAAAATCGCTCCTGTCATGCTACGCTGGCAGCACATTGCATACCCATGCATAAACAGGCTTACAATGGGTCTCATGTGCCTGCTCCCCAATACAGGCCTTCAGTGCTCTACATTTTCTGCATCGCAAATTTTTCGATTTTGTCGATTTCAAACCTGACGCTTCCATAGACCACTGCCCCCACTTAATGAACACCGGCCCGGCCTTATCAAAAGGAAAAACCCCCCCTCCCCCTATCGAAGCGGCATGTTTCCAAAAATTTGCGTTGCTGATTTGTGGCCACAAAGCGGGTCCGTCTTGCAAGCAGGCACACTCAGGCTGTCCGCCACGTTATGCAGGCGATTTGTAATGCTGTCTGGCCTACAGGGTAGCCGTCTACTATGCTAGGTGCCTACACCAAAAGGCCCCCGCTTCGGCTCAGGATCTGCGTGCATTCCTCTACTGCAACACAAATTTGATTTGTGTATCCAAATCCAGCATCAGAAATTTCGTTGTGATATGGGCAGGGGGGATTTTCCCTTTTGATAGGCCTGCTCCAACGACTCCCGCAGAAGTTTGAACCACCAAAGCTTGTTGTTTGTCCGCTGCTCAACATGACGATATTGATCTTTGGAAGCTAGCTGGTGTTCCTTCGCTATTTGTTCATCTTCATCCCGGCGATCGCTCCTGTCAAGGCGCTCGTCCGCGATCATCTTTCCGCTGTGACTTGTTGCGAAGAGCAGACAGTAAGGCGCCCAAACGACGGCGGGCAGAAAAATCCAAGTGAGCGAAAAAAATCGGCTATCCCACAGAAAAAAGCTGGCAGGTCAGATTTGTAATGCAAAAATAAATAATACACAGAAAAATTTGTCATGGGTGGCCCCATAGCATGCTGTTTCGGATATGCAACACAGTTTTTTTTGTGTGCTTATTTTTGCATTACAAAGATGACCTGCCAGCTTTTTTCTGTGTGATATCGGCTCACCAGTGCCCAGAAGGAACTGTTTGTGATTTTTTTTGGAGAAGAAAATGCCGCATGAAAGAATCGACAATTTTTAATTATGTGACTCAACTCAAAAAGGCGAATGAAATTCAAGCCTTCTCCTTCTCACAACGCATCAGAAAATAAAACATTCTAGCGCAATGCAAGCAGCGCAAAAACAAGATAAGTATAGTAGCAAGTGTATGTACGGCGACGGCACTTCCACATGCTTCACCTCCCGTCGCAAGTTTTTCAGCGAATCTAGCTCACTCTCCTTACTTTGTTTCGCCGCTACTGCTGCGAGGTTGCTGCCTAGGAACAAGAGAAACAATCCGCCACTCGTGAGTTTTAGAAAATTCCGCACCACATGCGAGTTGTGATGTTGTCTGGCCCCATTGAATATTCTCGCGCCGGTCCCGACGTTCCCGGTGATGCTCTTGCCGTAGCTGCTTTGGGCAGTATTGAAATACCGTACGGCTCTGCGTCCTCTCATGCTTTGCGTCAGTAACCTCCGAGCTGCATGTTGACTGTTCATCCTGAAGAAAACCCTGCTACTGCTTGAAACGCACGAGGAGGTGGGCAGTTGTACTGAAGTCGAAAATTTTCGCAGAGACGAGCCCACCCGGCGAGTGCGGAGATGATTCGCCGGCTGGGAGAAAAAATTCTCGTCAGGGTGCTGCCGGTAGTTGCTACTTCTTGAACTACCACGGTAGTTGCTACTTCTTGAGGGTTGTCGAGCCACTTCCGCTGTTCGTCGTGCCAGCACCCGGGAAGGGGCACTTGAGGATGAAGCGCCAGATAGCATTTTTTTCTGAAAAAAACAGGACGATATCCTGGGTCGGGATACTGGTAAATACTACGCCATGAAAAATAATGGCAAGAACCAGTAGTACTTCAATGTGCTGCGTAGTTCATAAAAAGTCGGGAACAACTGACAGAATACTGAAAATCACATCTTGTTTGCTTCTTCATCACGAGGACACACGACGAGAACCTCCTCCTGTGATCATCAATTTGACAGAATCGCTGGATTACTTACTACTGCGACTGTCACACAATCACAGCTTACTGGGTAAATATGCAAGCCGGTTTTTTGTACCTTTGTCTTCAGAAAACAGAAGATATAGGAAGAAAAAACAAGCTTTCGCACCATCAATCGCAGATATTTCCAAGCGTATGTTTTTACGTCATGCATGATCCTAATGTGCAGCGAAATTTTGACAACTTTGTTTGCGCAAGCGCGTTTTTATATTTCCAACATGAACATTGATGTCAGCCTGTCCCGTAACATAAATCTCAGAGGGAAGTCGTCAATTCATGAGAACGCCTTTCGCTGGAGGAATCGACGCTGATACGGCTGCCATGCGGACTTAACTTTCTGCTTCAATCAGAACACGACATTTCTCCTTCCTCCCCAGCAGATTTGGATGACGGGGCAAAGAGAAAGAGAAACAAACCTACCCAGCAGCAGCGTTTCAGAATTCCCGTGCCAGAAGGACCACAGAGCACGATAAATTTTTTTTGGATTTTTTTGCAATTTTTTATTCTCCTCCCGATAGAAAAGTAAAAGTCTTGGTTGCAAACTGGGAAGCTTCCAGACGCGGCAAGCTAATAGTTGTATTTTTTATATTTTTATCGACGTCACTTACTGTTTTTTTATCCGCTTTTTTTTCCCGACCTCCACAATCGGGATGCATTGTGTGGCTGATTCTGTCGGAGCTTGTCAGTCTTAAAGTATTCGGCAATTTTGTTTCTCATAGCTCTTGCAAAAGATGCATGTATGAAAGCGAATAGTGACATTGTTTGTAGGACAGCACGACGTGTTTTCATCTCATAGGTTTAGGTATTTTTTAGTATTATATTTTCCGTGTTTATTGTGTCATAACTTCTGCCGGTGATTCGCCCTCATTGAAACAATGTAAACTAAACTCCCAAAAGCCATAATAGTTGCAGATTGCTCCTTTTTTTGTACATTTTTTATCATTTTGAATGGATATAATAATTGTCGCTGCTTGTTGTACTAATGCTCTATCGTTTTACAACTTCATACCGGTACTACAAACCACTGTGACTCATTCATGCGAAGCATTTTCGGGAGCTAGTTCGTTGCGGACCTTCCAAGCGGAAAACGCAACAATGAACAATAGCTCTCCTATAATTCTCTTTGAGCCGATGCTGAAACGGTGCCGTGATTTTCATTTTCTGCTCAATACAAGAAACTACATTGCTTCAACATTTGATTCAGTTTCAGATTGGATTCAATACCAATGAAGGTCAAGCCATGCAACAATAACAGCTAAAGATGAAATCATTCGCAGGATGATCCATGTGAAGCGATAGAAGAAACTTTCTATCCCGTCTCCCCACGTTGATCATCTTTTCTTCATCTTCCCTGCATAAAAATGATATGTTGAAGTCCTGTTTTTTCTTTCGCACACTCGAAAATCTGATAGATAAGGAGCTTCCAAACTGCGACTATCACCATAACAAATTTAACTGGAACTTTTCTGTCAACGAGGGCAAGTTGTTGACAGAAAAAAGAATGAGTACTATACTCAGAAGTCGTCGCTTTTTTTCGAAAAAGATTAAGATGCGAAAATTTTTGATATCAAAACCTTCCGATATACTTTCTTGCTCCCTATCAAAAATGCTTCCCAACTTCTGCACACGACGCTGATAGAAGATCATGAGTTTATTTTCTATACGGTTTTGTCAGTAGATGAATAATAGCACCACTAGCAAATTTGTTATTGTTGTGAGCAGAGATAGCGGCTAGTATCTTTGTGTGAAAAAAGCGCCTCATATTTCCTGTAGCCTTATCAGACTGTCACCAGATGGATACCCACACGCATCGACCTCGCAGTTGTCATTTTTGGCGGGATGTACTAAATTTGTCTACACTGCTTTCTTCCAATACGAAAAACGACTTCCGCCCTAGGAGTGTTTGGAAATTCACAAGAACCCTATTCAGTCTATTTTCTGTCATCAAAAGGGCTTTTTATGTCGGTGCTATGCGAGTCGTCACGGTGCATGATCAATTTCGGCGTGGTCATAATAATTTGCTGTATTTGGATTTTTTTACTGACAAAGTCCGTCCAATTTTTGCCCTGCAGCTGCTGGGTGGCATGATGATGAATGAATCGATCCCTACTCTGTCGATTTTTAAAGTGAAATGGCTATTATACTTAGTATCAATCTCTCCCTACCTTCCGAGATGATGGTGGTCGCATCAAAATCTAGTAAAGTAAACTCTGACAACAGCAATACTTTTCGTGGCTCGGTGCACTTCAAGAATTCGGATCGAATTCCTATGTGCCACCACCTTTGGGTAGCTCCGTCTGCCGATCGACCTCGACGCACAAAAAACTATAGAAGCAAGATCTAAATAGATCTTCAGTTTATGATCATGCTAGTAGCTCCATGATTCGTGCAGCTCCTGCACTGGCAAACTACAATGATAATTGTCAGCTTCATTTTTCATAAAAAGCGGTGGATGATTCTGTTCCTCGCCATGTAGCTTCGCTTCTGCCATTCCATATTCGAATTGCAGACCGCCTTCTGCCAACATCTTCCGAAGATGAGCTGCCTAATAGCAGAAACAGAACCAACCACTCTTGTTGTTGTGTTGTGCCATTTCCATAAAATTGTAATCATACATTTATCAAATCTTCAGAACGTCGTGGCCAATAAAAAATTTCGGTACTAACTATGCGTAGAAGACTTTATCCTCTATTTTTGTTTTTCCCCTGGAGGTTTTTTATTTCGGAAAATGATTCTTTATCAGTCCAACTGTTTAATATTAAACACTTCTCGTTCTCTTTGTGCAGTTCGACGCCTCTAGTACCAAGATCAAGCCTATAGTTCTTCCTCATAGCAAATTCGTCCTACATCAGCGCGTCCACTTTCCTAAGGCCACGACTGCCGGCCGTGCTGGATCCGGGGGAGGGGTTGGTACTCGTGGTGGACCCAGCGGAGACGAGGGAGGTCTGCTCCTTCGGCGTGGAGGAGGAAGCGCCGCCGGTTATCAAAGTGAAAAAAGCCCCCTCCCCATATTGAAACGGAAATTTCTGTTGCTGGATTTGTGTACACTAATCAGCGCTGTATTGCAGCAAGCGCTTACAGGCATTTCCGAAGCCTGATTAGGTATGCAAAACGCTAGCACTCAGGCATGAGAGACAGCTTTGCAGTACGCAAAAGCGCATGACAGCCTGGCTGTGGAATGCGCCACACGGGTCCCATTTGCCTCGTATGCAAGACAAAGCTGATTTGTGGCCACAAATCAGCATCACAAACTTCCATTGTGAGTATGGGCAGGGGGGATTTTTCTTCACGATACCGGTGCTGGTTGTGGAAGAACTGTTGTAATTCCACCCGCCCTATGCAATGCAAATATCCCTGGATGTCTGGAAGGTTGGAACTTGTCATGCTACATCTGAATCATGTAAAAATCTGTGTTGCGTGATTACCAAAAGCTGTTCACTTTTGACCAAGTTGAGAGGAAGTTTCTCGCGCAGGATAGGCATGATAGTGATCTCACAGAATCTGTCATGCTAGGTCCCGCATTCCAGACGATATAGCTCCTGGAAAATTTGCATGACAAGTCTGGCATTCTTGCAGACCCAGACATTTTTGCAGTTCATACGCCCTTTCCGTTGCCAAACCGCTCCTGGTTCTGCTTCCAACCCTGTGCCTGCTGCGCCCGCCAGTTCTCCTGCAGAGCCATCTGTCGCCGCCGCTCCTCGGAGACCAGATGAGTCGGGTAGTTTCTCTGGTGCTCCCCCAGAGGATCGCCCCCGCTGGTCGTACGCCAGGAATTAGGAGTTGCGCCGTACGAGGAGGAATTATTGTGTTGATTCTGGTGGTACTTGTTGTAAGACGTTGAAGACGAGCCGTTGTAGTAGCCACCACCTCCAGAGGGGCCGGCATTGCTTTCTGTTCCGTAGTAAGATGAACTGTGCTTGTTGTTGTAGTAGCTGTGATTGGAAGAACTGCTACCCGGATACTGCCACGCGTCGTAATGGTCAGTGGCATTCCCTACTGGGTACTCGTAATTCTTGTAAGAATTATACGAGTCGGTGGCTTTGTTGTACCCAGCAGAAGACCCCCCGCGATTGTTCCCCCCACTGTAGTTGTGGTTGTGCAGCTTGTTCTTGCTCTTCGTCGAATAATTATAAAAGTCCTCGTGTGCAGCAGCAGCTGCTGTTCCTTTATTATTATTCTTCGCCAACGTCTTGGAAGTAGCTGTAGATCCGGCCGTGGGCGTCAGCGTCTTACTGTGAGTTTTGGTAAGAAGAGCACTGCTCGACGAAGTCGTCTTCACCTGCTGCTGGTGCAGCCCGAGGATGTTGTTTTCCTTGTCCTGGTAGTTCACTCGGCTTCTCTATCAAACGCAAATATGTCTGGGTCTGGAAGACCCCTCCACGGTTTTTTGTCATGCAGGTTTTCCATGACGCCCAAGGGTTGGAATGCAGGACCTAGCATGACAGATTCTGTGAGAACTCTATCATGTCTGTCCTGCATGAGAAACTCCCTCGCACGTTGGTCAAAAGTGGGCAGCTTCTGGCAATCACGCAACACAGATTTTTGCATCGTCCAGACTTAGCATGACAAGTTGCAGTGTTCCAGACCCAGACATATTTCTTGCAATCCATATTCTCTCCTCCTCCGCGTCGGCATTCACCACGATCTTTTCCGCTTATGGCCTGCTCAAACGTTACAATCTCAAACGTTACAATAGAGTCTGGAATTTGTCTTGCATAATGAGCATGACAGACTCGCAGACCACTCCACAGACTCGCAGACCACTCTACTTTCTGCAACACAAATTTCGGCAGATTGTAGTGCGGTTTGGGACTCCGGATCTTGTCATGCGCAGTCCTATGCGACTTGGCTAGATCATGCACTTCTTGCATCACAGATTTCCAAATTCTACTGTAACGTTTGAGATTGTAACGTTTGAGCAGGTCATACCCCTTTCAGCGAGCTTCCTCCCGGAGTTTTCTCCCCACCCGCCGTCGATGCAGTGGTCGTGGTTCCCCCAGATTGATGTGAACTGATATTTTCTCCCGTCCCTTGATTCTCCTGTTGTTCCATGTTCTCCCCGTCGGTTGTAGTCAGCCCCTCGTTCTCTTTGTTCGCCTGCTCCCGTGCCTCGGCCAGCAGCGCGTAGTACGCTTTTTTCGCTTTCCGCCCCACGATGACCGGTGGCGCGTCCTCCGCAAAATCGCTTACCTTGTACAGAAAATGGTCCTTGGGCACGATGATGGGCGTCTTGTAGACGGCGGGAATTTTCTCGCGGATCCGCTCGTCCTGGATTTCCCACGGGGTGTGGTACAGCATGCGCAGCTATGCATTGCAAATATGTCTGGGTCTGGAAGAGTCATGCTGTTTCTGCATGACACGGAAGGTCTGGCATGGAAGCTCTAGCATCACAGGTTTCGAGAAGCTTCCGCAATGCCGAACCCGCATGCCAAATCCCCCATTTTGGTGACAGAAAGTGGGCAGCTTTTGCTACCCATGCATGACAGATTTTTGTGTGTTCTGAAATGCGCATCACAGGTTACATCCTTCCAGACCCAGACATTTTTGCACTTGATAGCAGCACAAACGCGTCCTCCTTGTCCTGCTCGGGCTCCGGGGGCGAAGTCTTCGTGTACTATCCTGTGCAAAAGTATCGCACTCGTACTAATCGTAATCGCATTCATGCATTACAAATTGAAATTTCTTTCTCAGGTTAAATCCGCATTACAAATTTTCTTTCTCATGCTGAAAAAATTTGTCATGCGATTTATACTAGTACGATGCTTTTGCATTGCATATGTACGTGCGAATCTCGATGTCCGGCAGCGGCAGCGCCGTGGGCTTCAACTTGGGACTGCCGTATCCTGTGTAAAAACGTACCCACACCGGAGTTGTCATGCGGATTTGCGATTACAGGAACATTTGTAATGCGCATCCCCAAGAGAGGCATTTCCATTCGTGTTTTGGAATTTGTAATGCTGCTAACAGGATAAGCAGATGGATTTGTGATGCGGTTGTCCTTGCTCACATGCACGACACTACGGACTGCAACTTGTCATGCGTGGCTCCCACAACTTCTGGGTTTGTGTTGCTAAGTTCCCAACTTGACTATGGGATGGGGACGTTTTTACATATGATATGCCGTCCGCATTGTTCTCCTTCTCCTCTCTCGCGATGCGCAACATCACCTAGATTAGTGGAAATGTAGTTGCGGTATACTTTTTTTTCACGTTTTGCGAAAGAACTTGGGAACAACGCCGATTGTCACAGCGCCGATTTTTGAAGTCAACCGATCCTCGTGCTTGATAATATTCCTACCGTGTAAAATGATGATCACCATCGGCGGTAAGTTTGAATTTGTTCAATTTTGTACGTAGGTGCTCCAAAAAACCTCTATACTCATGTTCTATACCTGTTTGGCTTCCGCCATGGGTTTTTCCAGCCAGTACCGCATGTGTGCCCCGGTCTGTTCGTATTGTCTACTTTGCTTCACCACGTTAAAGATGTTATCCCGGGTTTGGAACCCGATCCCCGCGATCGTGAGCCAATTCCCGTAATTCGCGGCCGTGTCGTGGTCAATCAAAGCGTGTTCGAAGTACTCCGCGCCGAACCGCCAGTCGATCTTCAGATTGTAGATGAGAAAGGAGGCCACGTTTTGCCGTCCCCGGTTCGACATGAACCCGGTCTTTTATTGAGAGGAAAAACTCCCCCTCCCCATATCGAAAAGGTATGCTTCCGAAGATTTGTCGTGCTGATTTGAGACCACAAATCACGTCTGTCTTGCAAGAAGACAACGCCACAGGCTCTGCCGCATTATGCAGGCGGCTTGTGATGCTGTTGGGCCTACAGCCTAGTCGTTTCTCATGCTAAGCGCCCAGGCCAAAAGCTCTCTACTCAGGCTTGGCAGGAGCCTGCAGTCTTCTACTGCAAGACAAACCTGATTTGCATACGCAAATCCAGCATCAGAAACTTCCTTTTGATATGGGGAGGGGGGATTTTTCCTTGTGATATCTTTTTGAGTTCCTTCATGGCCGAGTCGATGAAGGGGATCCCCGTTTCGCCCTTGCACCAGGCCTATGAAATGCAAATATGTCTGGGTCTGGAATAAATTTGTGATGCTAAAATGTGCATGACGAAAACGCTCCCTCACGCACGAGAGCATGACAAATTTGTAGAACACTTCCTCATACGCGCTCCGCATGAGAAACAACTGCGTTTTTGTATGACAAGAGTGGCTGCGACTCTTCTGGGTCATGCAATACAGATCTCACAGGAGTGTAAGACCAGCATTACAAGTTCCAACTTGTTTCCAGACCCAGACATCTTTGCAATGGATAAGGCCAGGTAGTTCCGGTCCCGGCGGAGGGTGCAGCTCTCCCAGCTCCGCAGCTTCCCCGTAATGCCCCCCTCGTCGAAAAACTTCTCGTGGAATTTGCGGATGGCAAAGTGCAAAAAGTCGCGCCACAGCAGCTCGAAAACGATCCAGTAGGTGCTGTCGTTTCGGTATGAATTGCAAAATTATCGTACTAGTTAGCAGTAATCGCAGTCATGCATTACAAATTTTTTTCTCAAGTCAAATCCGCATTACAAATCTAATTTGTAATGCTGCGCCAATTTGTAATGCCATTTTTACGTACTAGTACGATACTTTTGCAGTGCATATTCGGAATCGGTCGATCTCGTACTTGGCCAACTCGTATCAAATGCAAATATGTCTGGGTCTGGAAGATTGCCAGGTTTGTCATGCTTGGTCGACCATACAGAAAAGTCTGTCATGCTCGTTGCGCTACAGTGCCAATTCTTTGTCATGCAAAAAGGCAAGTTGTCATGCGATTAACGCTAGATAGAGTCGCTCAGAAACTTGTCATGCGCGGCTTCGCAATACAGTTTGCGTATGATTCGGACATACGCATGACAACTTTCCAGACCCAGGCAACATAGTTGCAATCCATAACTCGTGCAGAATGGTCCGCGGGGACACGCACCCGGTCGACAAGGAGAGGGAAAATTTCGTGCTGTACTCGTTTCCCAGTGACCCGTTCCGGGTCTGCTTGTAGGTCGAGGCCAGGTCGGTCTCCCAGAAGTGGTACTGCAGACGCTTCAGCCCCGAGCGCTCGCCGCCGCGGTAGTAGTACCGGTCATCTCCCGCCACCGAGTCTTCCCCGACCGCCAGGCACTGCCTCCGGTCCTCCGCCTCCGGCGGCTCGGTTACGGTCCCGATCACGCCTTTCCAGTTCTCCTCGCTGCTCGCCTATCCTGGGGAAAAACGTCCCCACCCTATAGCCAAGTTGGGAATCTAGCAACACAAATCTCCAAGCTTTGGGAGCTGCGCATGACAAGTTTCCCTCTGCAGTGTAGTGCTGGTTGGCAAGCGAAGCCGCATGAGAAAGCCACTTTCTCGTCCTGTTTACAGCATTACATTTACAAATTCCAAAACACAACTGGAAATGCCCCTCATGGAGCTGCGCATTACAACTGTTCCTGTCATTGCACATTTGCATGACAACTCTGGGGTGGGGACGTTTTTACTCAGGATATGGCCGGCCACATCTTCAGCGTGTCTTGGAATTCGAAGAACAGTTGCGGCTCGTTTTCCAACAAAATCTTGTCCAGAGGGACCATGACCATGCTCGTTTTCGGCTCCAGGGCGAACGTCGACTTGGACAACTTATGACAGTGCACAACTCCCCCTCCCCCTCATTTGTGTTGCATGAACAGCAACACAAGCGCTGGCAAAGATGCAGCTTTTGCATGACAAATTTCTAGGGGATTGTAGTGCTGTTTCGGAGTCCGGAACAATCTGTCATGCAAACAGTACCAACAGGCAAAGGGAGGATTTGGAAGTTTGCATGACAAATGAGGGGGAGGGGGAGGTGTGCACTTTCATACAACTTGTAGTCCGTGTTGAACACCTTTTGCACTCGCGGAGGACCAGCGCCAACCGTTTGTGGTATCGTGCAAAAAAAGTGCTTCACTGTGATGATTTTGCAGGTTTTGCATAACAAGTTTGTTCTGCATCACAGAGAAAATTTGCCATGCGAGAATCCTAAGGGAAAACAAAGCTAAAAAGCCACTGTCTTGCATGTGTAGCAAGACAAACACTTGTGAAATACATTTTCTGCATGACAAGTTTACAGTGAAACAGTTTTTTCTTGCGATATGTCGTGCTGTCGTTGCACTAGCCGAGTGCTTGTAGTTTTTAGCAGAATTCATCCTCCCGGCGGCGATCATCAGGGCGTCCACCTGGTTGTTGTGCCCCGAGCAGCCCGACGTAGAAGTTGCAGCACCACTACTTTCATCTACAACTTCCGGTTGCACCAATTGGGCGTGGGTGACAAAGACCTGCGGCAAAACGTTTTTCACTGCGTCGAGCGGACTCTTATCAAATGCAAAAATGTCTGGGTCTGGAAGAATGCATGTTTGTCATGCGTGTCTGGCATGACTCTCAAATCTGTCATGCACATTGCCCAAGAGCGCCACTTTTCTCTCATGCAGAAACGCAGTTTGTCTTGCAGAATAGGCATAGCACCTAGAAGCTCAGAAACTTGCCATGCTGAGCCAGCACTTGTGGCCTCCTCATGATACGCCACCCAGCATCACAAGTTTCCAGACCTAGACATTTTTACAGTTGATAACTCTGCCCGTTGTACCACTGGTTACTGTATCAGGTGCAAATATGTCTGCTCTGGGTCTGGAAACTTGTAATGTTAAAAGTGAATAATAGACGCGCCACAATACGCAGCTATGCATGACAAATTTTGTGGCTGCCATGTCTTATGTATTCCGCATGACAAACTGCCTTTTCGCATGACAGCTAAGAGGGCTCTTTCGGGCCTATGCAACACAGATTCTCGAGTCATGCCAGACAAGCATGACAAACTTGCATTCTTCCAGACCCAGACAGTTTTGCATTTGATATACTGTGCACCATGTGCAGCCGCTGCGTAGGTTCCTATCAAATGCAAAAATGTCTGGGTCTGGAAGATTCTGACACTTGTCATGCACGTTTTGCATGAGCCCGGATGTCTGTGATGCATGCCCTAGCATGATAGATTTTTTGAGAGCTTCTTGGTGCCTATTCCGCATGACATCGGAGTTCTAAGGGCTGTCCGTCCCCGTTGGCATCATGCCCTACTAAAACCAATAAAGCATATGAAAGTAACCACTTAACCAACACTAAAACAATTTCTAAAATAACAAAGCGTGATAGCTGTAGCTGTGCAAGGGGGGGGATAAGGTAAAGGAGTGAATAACCGGTTTAACTACGTCGGGAAGGGGAGACGAGATTTGTACGAGGGAGAGACGAAAGCTTTCTTGTACGAAGTTCGACGGGGCGCGGCCAAAAAACTAAGCAGGGCAAGCAGGAAGACGCTACAGCCACACGGGGTCCTACTTCAACCAAGAACAGGAACATCCGACCAAGGATGCCAACCAAAAGCCTGGAGGTACGAAGTAAGTGCTCACATGGGAGGGCCCTGGTCATGCAGGGTAAAGCCCGAGGGTGCTAGCTCACCAATACCCGCGGGACCTCCCATCGCAGTCTTCTAAAAATAAGCCCACGCAGACAAAAAAGTATACGACTCTCCTCCTGCCGAATGGCAGGTGCAGTGTCGACACCTGGCAGAGGTGTATAAAACTAAAACAACCTAAGACGTTACGAGACGAGATACACACGAAGACGAGCCGAGTTTTTGAGTTTCAATTTTTCTTCTTTCGTTGATTCTTTCTTTCGATACGAATCTCATGTTACTAACTTAATGATACTACGAACCGAAACTGCCACGTTGCTGAAGACGTACTTAAGACGGAGAACGAAAACACACAACGAACTACCAGTGCCGAGTTTTAAAACGGAGACTTTTTCAACTTAGTCCAGAATATTATTTTGACTTTCAGAACGAGCTCTTTGGCTTTCAAAACCAGCTCTATACACTTTGATCCTGTTACGATTTTTGTTATTTCGGTGCATGTTAACTCTCATGCATCGAAGGACCACATAATACCGCTCTGCGAACAAAATGCATATATGCAAGCAAGACGAAGTCTTTCTTTTTCATTCTGACCCGTTTGTTTCTTTTATTCTAGTCCAAGACCTTAATATACAGATTTACCTACATTGAAACTGGGCATTAACCATTGTAATATGCATTAACATGAAAAAGATGTTCAGAATGAAAAAAGAAAAACAACGAATAGAAAGTCTGCTGCCGTGAAGTCTGCATTTCGGGTGCTGGTATTAGACTGCTTGGCTTGGAGGTGTCATTCGCGTCGTTCAACAAGTTCTTGTGTTTTCGTGGTTCGTAATGTTTGCGTCGTATTCTTCGTAAGATGTTAGTAGTCGTAAATTGCATCACGTAGTCGAGCAGGAACTTGAAAGAAGTTTGAAGATGAGGCGGACCAAATCGCGTGATGGAGTTCTGCGTGGTTCATTTTGAAATGATACGCGTCACAGCCGTCCCGCAGCCATCAGGGACAATTCGGACGGGGTAGGCGACGGTGAGAAAACTCTTCGCTCGGCTACCGCATTTTTCTGAGTCAATCCCGGTGCCCTGTCCTCCTCCTGGTTAGCTGCTAACTGGAGTCGATTTTGCCGTAAAACATTGTTTTCGTCAAGTTGTTCGTTGAACGCCACGAACTGCTGGCACTCGTGAGAAATGTTTACTTGTAGCGTGGCCTGCAGCGGAGAACCTACCCGTCTGCGTTTGGCACTTTCGGACCGGTTAATCTCGTAAGTACTCAGCTGACGGGGGCTGGGGTCCGGGAAGTGGCGGGTGTACGGGAGCCAGCCCATCGCGTCGAGTTCGATCTGCTCGATCTGAAAAATCGATGGGTTAGACAGCAGCGGGGAGTAGGGGGACATCAGGAACGGATTGATACTTTCTTGCTGCGGGACTTGGATGATGATGTCGTCCTGGTACTGTTGTAAGCAAGCGAAATATCGGCACGGGCTGTAGCCGAACGGAGGGGATGGTGGAAAGTCTAGCAGCTCAAAACTCCGGCTCGGGGATCGGGCGGCTTCCATGGTTGCATCTTGTATCGCAATGCTTTCGTCGAGTACATGGAGTGCCTGCTGTTTCCACCTGAAGGGATTACTCGGAACGAATCTGACCGTATTTTCGTACGACGGCATCGGGAAGTCTGCATCGTCAAAATTTAGCACGACACAAACGTTTTCCCCGAAGGACTTGATGCTGCTAGCCACCGACTCCCGCGCCGACCGGGACTGCGCCGGCGAAGGCTCCGGTTGTTCAGCTAGTTGCGGCAACGGTGATTCGTGTACGGAGCTACTACTGATCCCCACTAACCTGCGGTATTCATGCAGGTTGAACTCAAAGATGGAGCCGCTGTTGTGTGCTAACGCCATCTTACCGCCCGCGTACCGTGGTAGCCAGGAGGGCAGCAGGACTGCTTAAAATACGTTCGATTTTGAAGATCGACCAGTCGGTGCGATCCACTGGATGGTCAGGCGATGACGGTAGAAACGGGCTGACACCGTTTACCCTGGTGTGGTTCTCCGGTGATACTGGTCGCGGCCCCGTGTTAGCGGGTAGGGCGTGCACCGATGGTGGTGACGACGGTACTGGGGAGGACAAGTTTCTGTTGAACGCCCTGACCCAGGCTCGTTCCTGGCGAAGATCTTCGCGTCTAGCACGTACTAGAGGCGGCGTAGAAAACAGGTGCTGGCCGTAGAATTTATTTTCGGAGAACCATCCGTGTTTCGTCTCGTGGGAGTGGAACGGAAGCGGGATGTCGAGCGCGTGGGCCGTGTCAAAAGATAATCTCCCTGGCAGCTGTTCTGGGTCTCGTAATGTTCTCAGCAAGGATGGATCCGGACCAAGTTCTGCAAGAAGAGGAGCAGGTCGTTGAAATCGGTGAGGGCGCGGTAACTGCCACGGTGCGTAGTCGTCGTCCTGCCAGTTAGAGACGCGCGACGGGGATGGAACTGTGTAAAAGCAGCTCCCCGGAAGGTTGGATCTAAGAAAATATCTTTCTTCTGCTACTGTCCAATCTAACTCTTTGACTCCAAAAAACACATGCTCTTCTCTTGGAAAAGACATTTCTAATGCTAAGCTACTAGCTTTTACTGTTTTAAGTAGCCTCTTACTTTTGCCTTACTATATGTCATACTGCTACTCTGTACGGTCTACTTAGTACTTTCAACTTTTACTATATAGCGTGTCAACGACCCACCGACTCAGGCACGTCCGCGAAACTCTTTACTCCTTCGACTTATCAACTTTCGACTGACTACTTTCGAATACGACCCGTTACGAGTGGAACTACAGGAGGAACTAGACGAGTTGCGTCGCTTTTTTCGATTTCGTGGTAGCAACGTATCTCGACCAACTGTTCACTCTTATCAATGTGAAAAGAAAAATATGCACAGAATTTGCGCAGTGTGTCCAATGCGATGTACAAGCTTATACGGCGCAACTACAACAACAATCACAGAATACTATATCTACTGCGTCATGTTTATTTGTGTGTTGTCGTGTGTTTACTTAAATATAGTACCAGAAATGCTAATTTTAATTAAGAGATAAAGTTGCTCAAAGTTTAAAACTAACGCTGATTCGAAAAAATTAGTAGCTAAGTGTAGTGGGCATGAGAAACTTACTAATGCAGTTTGGTATATCTATATTTGAAGCGGTAACTTAAGTGTGTGCAGTAGCGTACTGCTCGTTGTGCTCTTGCAGCTTTGTTTTGCTTCAATAACGTCTGTTGACAAGACTACTAAAGGTCATGCTTTTCTTTCTCACCTACGGCGGACGGATTACAAGAGGTTTCGCGGGGCGTCTTCCGAGTGTTTATTTTGTTTTTTAACCCAACAACCAGTTGTGAAGGGGCGCCTACCACCAAATCCTTTTTCCGCAAAGAAATCAAAAAGCTTTAAGACTAGTTTTGCGCTTGCTTAGTTTTCGGCTACCTGTTCGAAGTCGACGGCCACGTGTCGGAATAGAAACATTGAAGAGTATTTAAGCTAGTTTTCTTTCCCTACTCTTTTACTTACTACCAGGGTCGATAAGTGGAGCCAAGTTAAAAGAAAAAGAAAGAGCTTGCTCTTGAAACTTTTTTCACTACAACTTTGCACAGCAGCTACGGCTTTTTTTTCCTTACTAAACTTTACGGCTGAGACTTTTACTGTGTACTACGTTTGTAATGAAACTTTTTGGAATCTTCGAGCCGTCCTGTACCGTGTGAACCATCATTGTCCGACCCGGCTACTAGGAACCGTGCAAAAGCAACTGCCCGACCGAAAAAACTGCCCGTAACTGTGCAAAACCTCTGCTCGACCGAAAAGGCTGATGCTACTCCCTAACCGTGGCCTGGAACCGCTGCCAGGAAGGGTTCAGAATTGTCGCGATTTCGGACTGCATTTTCCTCATCCAGTCCCCTAGTGTGGAGACCAGTTTTTCGGTTGTAAACCACTTGGGGACTTCGTGTCTTGACACGAGCAGCTTGCACGCTTTGCCCGGGAACGAGCTCCGAAAAGTGCCGTTCAAAGTGAACCGAGCCAGGAGCTCGACCACGTCCCGGAGGAAATGAACAACCAAGTAATTCCTCTTATACGCCCGGATTACAGCGCTGCAGAACGCCGATTGGTGCGCTTCGGGATGCACCGCGCTGGCCGACGACGAGAACTTCGATAGATAAAAAGGAAAGACTCGTGTCTTGTCGTACATACAGTACAACAGGCGGCGTGGAATTGAGGCGTCGAGGAAAAAGTCAAGGAAGGTGGTGGTAACCGTTCCGATCGTTTCGGGCTTGCAGGCTAAAGCCCGGGGGTATATTTGGTGGAGAGGAAGCTGCACAGGAGAGAGCAAATCGTCGAGATATCGAAGAATTTGCAAAAAACGGCATTGCTGTCCTGCTGGGGACGTAACAAAGACGCATTCGCTCCAGGACAACCCACCGTCCGCCATCCTCGGTGCCGGGGTAATGCCCATAGGCATACCCCGGACTTGCAAAAAAAGCACGTCTGCAATGCCGATGTAACAGCTTTCGCAGCACCAACGCACCAAAGCGTCGATGTCCGACAAAGACCACGAAGAAGAGGACGGAGCATCCCGCGACAGGAACGCAAATTCCTTTTCGGGCCCTTTGCGGTTCTTGTCGTACCCCAGAACAACGGACTGGAAACCGCCAGCCGTGAAGACACAGCTGTTCAACTGGTGGAGGTTGTGGCAAAGGAAAGAGTGTTCAAGACCGGTGTACAATCGTTCAAAATCATACCCGTCGAATTCCGCGAACCCTCCCGCCGTAACCCGCGAGAGCGCCTCTTCCGAGCTCTCGACGCTCCACGCCCCAGGCCACACGCGGGCCTTGAATTCTTGCATCACTGCCGACAAAATCAAGTGCAAGACTTTGCCAGGGGCGTGAAGAACAGTTTTGTCCGTAGCCGCTGCGATAAATCGCATTTTATAGGCCGGGAACTTGTGGCCCTTGATGACAGCATAATACGCCGGATGTGCAGACGCTTGGCGCTGCTTGACCTTGGCATGCAGTGCCGGGGCGAAACTGCTAAGTCGCTCCACTATCTCGTTGATCTGCTCCGCCGATGTCGCCTTGTACACCTCGTGCAGCGACTGCTGCGCCGGGGGAAATTCAGAACTTAAAAATGAAGAACTGCGCCTCGCTTGCCATATCGGCAGCAGTGGACGAATTTTGCAACCCCGATTATCTACCCCTTGCTTGATCCAACAACTAGGTGAGTTTAAGTTTGGGATTTGTTTTGCGAGCTCGGCTCGGTTGAACACTGGTGGCGGCGGAGGAGGCAGATCTTCTGACTCCGATGACGTAAGGGTAGGCGTAGAAGAAGAGCTACTTGTCGAAGCGGAATTGCTAGTTGAACTGGAACGGGACGAAGTTGAGCTTCTGCTAGCCGCAGGTGTGGGTGGTGATCGGGGAGGGGAATCTTGGGCCCGAGTATCCGCATCGGCATGCCGTGGTGTAGCACAACGCGGTGGCATCCTGTGTGAACCATCCATCCACTGTTCCGGAGCCGGACGCGCATACACCACGTCCTCGCTTGACTTGTGTGCCGCACTGTTTAGTAACGACCTGTTGCTAGCGTTGACGCTGCTGTCGTTGAATAGGTTCGACTCCACCTGCAGGTCCTCATCTTCCTCGTCTACAGCAAGTCCAGCCGCAACGTCAAGGAGGTTAACTGCCACGCCCAGGTGCGGGCCTGGGACCAGGTTACTACTAGTGCTGGCCGATGTATCTAGCGGCTGCGCCCCGATGATCGACAGTGGAGGGGGACCGGGGTCCTCCGTGGTATCATCATCGAGCCAAAGCTCGAACGCCGATAGTGGGTCTGCATCCAGCAGCAAGGAGGTGTGAGTCGTACTGGTGTCACCCGTGTCGCCTGCCGGTTTCATCCCCATTTGTAGCAGTTCCGCCACTTCGTGTTTACTAATCCACCGGTCTAGGGCCGTAACAGGAAGCGGGTTTTCTTTCAGCTTACTGGAGAACAAACCTAAGCTGATCGATTCAGCAGCCCATTGTAAGAAGTTCCTCTTCGTTTCGTCTCTAAACAGTATCTGAACTACTGCATTTGAGAGCACGAAGATAGGCGACAACCACTGGCATTTTTCTGGGCCCGAGCTCAACTGGAGGATCGGCGCTTTGGCGAGGATTGCGGTCGACGCGTACAGCTGCTGATGTTTGAAGGCAACAACGCAGCCCGACTGCGCAACGGGCTTCAGCACTTGTTTTGTAACGGTTTGCGTAATTCCCGCTCGCAGATCAAAAACCGCTAGTTTTTCGAGTCCGGCTTGTGCCGCGCGATGCATGTCCAGAGCACAGCCAACGCCTTTAATTCCTCTTAAAAGGCTTTTAGAGATGACTCTCCAACCGGCATGTGCACTAATTTTCCACATCAACGACTGCCGCTTGCCTGACAGCGCGGAGGGGAAGGGGCGGACATGGACTGCATTAACCGAGGCGGCTAACGGCACCGACGCCTTGGGTATGTTTTGTTTTAGCTCCGCTTGCACTGCTTTTCTTGCTGCTTCTGCTTCTGCGAGTTGCCGGAGTATCTTGGTGCCAGCTTGCTCTTTTTCCAAATTCTCCAGGGCCAATTCAATAGCCGCCTCTATTTCTGCATGGAGCTTGATCTTGGCTTGCATCAGCGCGTGCGGTTGATCGGTGGAAGTGAGCTGGCCCAGGCTAAGGAGTCGGTCGCTTTTGCGGAGCACGAACTGCATCAAGTTTTTCACGTTGTGTAGTTCATTCTTCGTTTCTTCGATCAGATCACGATCCATTGCTTCGATCTTATCCGACGTTGTCGCTGGCAGCCCGAACTTGTTTCGTTGCAGGTAAAGTCCTCTATTAGCCGGAGTAGGCTGATGTGAGGACCCGTCCCTCCGTTCCACGTCCGAGCGACTGGAAAGTATTTCTGGAGCTACCGCCAGCTGATTACCCGAAGATTTCTCCTCGATCCGTACTACCCTATTACTTGCGGAAGCCTGCGAGGAAATCGGCAGAAAAGTTGCAGGCTGTTTCGGTTTCGACAACTCTGCCACCGGGGACGTAACTGTTGCGGAAGCAGCAGGGACACTGGTCTTAGGAAGCGGCTCTACGAAGTCTGCACGGTGGTAATCGGAGCTAGTGTCAGTCGGGAAAGACCCACGACCAGCCATTCCCAGATCCTCCATCAACAGCGCCGCGCACAAGCTTTTGCACATCATCCAGGTGGTAGAAGTAGCTTTGTCGTAGTACCCAAAAACGAAGAGTTGCTGGAGGTTCCGTACTACGTCGAAAGCAGTGGTGAACTTGCCCCATTCGAACGTAGACGCAGCGGACCGCTCTACTACGCGGCCGTTGGCGTCGGGAACCGGAATCGGGGCTGCAGATCCGTCCGCAGTGTCTGTTCCAGTCCACTTCGGCTAGTTGCTCGTCGCCTTCGGACACCGCATTGCACCAGAAAAAGTGGCGTACGTCCTGGATCAACTCTTGATCTGCAATCGGCACTCGCTCGAGCAATTTCGTAGCGGAAAACTTTTGCTCGACCCGGAACTTCGGCCGCATTAGCAGTGCCACCTTGGAAGACACCACAGAATCGAAAGCAGGTCCGCACAACACCTGGATGTTCGCAGCCGTGGCGGGCATCGCCAAATGTCCTCCCCACGTGCATCCATCGTCGAAGTAGCGACGATAATCTGCGCAAGCACATTTCAACGAAGAGCAGGATGCGGGGATGGTTTTCAGTCTCAGGCTGAAGGTGGTCAAGCACACCGGGGGGCCGTAAGTAAATGCTAAGAATCTGTCGCTCAACACATGTCTGAATGTGGAGCGAAGATTGAGCATGTCGACCACTTTGTGGTGGTAAAAGAAGATCACCGCTTTCTTACCATCCCGGGTTTGCTTGTCATCCGCCAACTTCGTCAAGCGTAGGCGGCTTTCGACCAGTTCCTGGAGCAGGAACAGCTGTTGTTGCGGTAGTACGTACGCAGTGGTCAGGTGGAGTCGTAGTGCTCGCAGCAGCTGCTTGCTACAACCGGCAAGTATCTTGAGGAGCCAAGAAATGGTGTTAAATTTCGCTGCTCCAATGTGCCATGAAGGTACCGGCAACCACCTACCAGAAGCTGCAAAATCCTGAGGCGGGTCGAGTGTGAAGAATAACCACACGAGTGCCAGTAAGATTTTTTTGACTTCCGCTGCAGTCTTTGGTAGTTTCGTGGAGAAGGCCGCATCCGGATGCTCCGTCTGGGCAAGAGGTAAGTTTGCCGCACCTGGATCATCGAGTGAGAGCAAGTGGTCTTTGGCTTCTTCTACAGGAGTGAAGATCATCCGCTGTGCCGTTCGTTTATCATCACTACCCCGCACCGTGCTGAATTTACGTCGAAAAAGCTCTTGCACCATGCTGCTCTTGCGGGAGGGCGACACTACTGGGCCAGCAGACAGGAGCGGAGTTTTAGCTTCAGCAGGCAGCTCTACCAGGCGAGGACGCATAGACAGCCGGCATGGTCGTAAGGGAGTTTTTTGATCCGGAGCCAGCATACTGCGGCGTTTTAGTTCCGGCTCGTTTGCTACTAGTCTTTGGGATTTGCGCTTACCCACGAAAACTTGTACCCGCGGGACTGGTACACAAGCACTGGTGTGAGGTGCAGGCAGGACCTCGTCAGACTCCTGCGTGCAACTAATTCCGACGTCCTGCGTGCAACTAATTCCAACGTCCTGGGTACCTGGAGTCCCCGCTTGAGGTGCTTCAGGTTCTCGGAAGATGCGGCCCGCATCCGGATTGGGACTAATCAGTCCTGGGGTACCGATGTGAGTTGTCTGTACCAGAGCCGTATCTGGAAGGAAGTTGTTGTTGCCTGCTTGCACCGCCGCCACGTATCGCTTGAGGTTACGTTGCAGACGCTGCACCTTTAATACATCGCCCTGCTCTGAGAGCCGGCGGCACATGCTCGCAGCATCTTCGGGGCAGGGCCGACGGCGAGGAGCCGAAGGATGCGTTACGTCCTTAAACTCCAGGCTAAAACCCCAGGGGTAGTACGTGCGGAGTGCGACTATCCAAAACGACTCCCATGCATCTATTTGTGACATGGTGGAGCCGTCTGGAAGCGTAGCGGTGCGGTTGGCTTCCACTTTGTCCATACAGAACAAAACATCCGTTGTTACTGCGTGGCTAAGGTACAGCTTCTGGCGCGCATACATCGGGTGGCCTTCTGCTTCCAAACACACCCGCTCGGCATGGTTAGCGTGGGAATGGAATCTCGTCCCCGCTCCGGCGCCCGTGTGGGCCTTGCCCACGTATGATAGTCCGCAGCTGCACCGTCGCAAGTAGACCAGACTAGTGTTACCCGCTTCATCACAGGACCTTTGCTCACGAGCCCGCACTTCTAGCAGCTTGCCGCTTACCTGTAAGAAACGGTCGGAGGAGGCTGACGAGCAAAGACTGCATGGGTTGCCTTTTGCTGCGCGACAACACTGCAACATGTGGGCACGGTCCAGCGTAAACAAGTCCGGTCGTAGTCGATCCGAGTACCAATTGTTGGGGGCCAGGACGTGTCTTTTGAAGGATGCCGCCTTCATCTGCAGCGGTATCGAATAATCCGCCATCCAAGCCACCGGCAAACCCTCCTTCTTGAAATCGTTTTTTATTGCGAATAAGTCGCTTGTGTACAATTGTTGTACATCACAAAACTCCGCGACTGCTACAATCGAGTTGCTCACCGCATGTAGGAAGTTTTCCATCGGGGGGCTCGGAGCTAATGGCCGAGACGGCTTCTGTAGCACTTGTAGCGACAGAGAAGGAACATGTCGAGAAGCCGGGACGTGAGGACCGATGATGTTCGCCCGAGCTACTGTAGAATTTCGGTTCGGCTCCGCCATGAGAGGGCGCTGGATGTGCGAAGCCATTTTGAAAAACTACATGAGACGAACAATAGATATTGAGCTGTAAACCAGCTAGAGTAAGGGATCACGACTGCGGCCGTATTTCGCCATTCTCGACCCGAAAACCCGCGTCTTCCCAGCTCTGGATTTGTTGGTTGGCTCGGTGGATGGAGTCCTCGTATCGCCAAGTACCCCGAAAGAAGTCGTACTGCCAGCGGAGCGTGCCCCAACTGAACGTCCAGTACTCCTTTCCCGGTTCCCAGCTGCACCGGTCTTCTTGGGATTCTGTAGACAGAAGGCGGAACGGAGGTCGCGTTACCTGCTGTGGAACTCCGGCACCGACCGGCTGTGTGTCCGTAGCAACCGCGTCAGTATAGGGCTGAATGATAGCAGCGGAATCTAGTGGTCTTCGTGTGTACGAAGCCCTGAGTCCGTTTCCGGCAATAGACGTCCGTAAACCGCGAAAAGTAGGGGGAAGGGGTTGGGACGGTTGGATCGGTGCTGCTACAGCTGTGCGTAACTGATAGATGCCTTCTGTTACGGGGGCCTGCACTGGTTGAGGGCTTAACGTTGCTTGGTGTACGTGTACGTCCGTACTCGTGCGCAGACCGTGGTAGTGTAATAGCGCATCCTCATCCGTGGTAGTAGTAGTCATTTTGCAATCCGCACTGGTCGGCAAGAAAAAACTTTTTCGGTTCAGGTAGGTAATTTCGTTTTGGGGTGCCTGTTCGTCCCCTACCCGTTTACGACCCCGCGCGGTTCCGTACGACCCGCGATGCAGATATTTATATTATGTATTTTGTTCGCATTGGTCCTTGCATACAAACTGATGATATGAATACTTAGTGCAATTTTAGACTTTAAACGAAACTTTACGTACGACCGACCGAGACCGTTTGATTTGAGTGGACGAAGGTGAAGCGAACCAACCAGCAGCACGACTTGTGAGAGCTTAGTGTCATGTTCTTATACGAAGTACACACGAAACCCTGGAAGTTTTGGAAAGGAAAAGGAAATAGAGCTGCTTAATTACTGCCACCACAGCAATAGCAAACCCTTCATGACATCGGAGTTCTAAGGGCTGTCCGTCCCCGTTGGCATCATGCCCTACTAAAACCAATAAAGCATATGAAAGTAACCACTTAACCAACACTAAAACAATTTCTAAAATAACAAAGCGTGATAGCTGTAGCTGTGCAAGGGGGGGGATAAGGTAAAGGAGTGAATAACCGGTTTAACTACGTCGGGAAGGGGAGACGAGATTTGTACGAGGGAGAGACGAAAGCTTTCTTGTACGAAGTTCGACGGGGCGCGGCCAAAAAACTAAGCAGGGCAAGCAGGAAGACGCTACAGCCACACGGGGTCCTACTTCAACCAAGAACAGGAACATCCGACCAAGGATGCCAACCAAAAGCCTGGAGGTACGAAGTAAGTGCTCACATGGGAGGGCCCTGGTCATGCAGGGTAAAGCCCGAGGGTGCTAGCTCACCAATACCCGCGGGACCTCCCATCGCAGTCTTCTAAAAGTAAGCCCATGCAGACAAAAAAGTATACGACTCTCCTCCTGCCGAATGGCAGGTGCAGTGTCGACACCTGGCAGAGGTGTATAAAACTAAAACAACCTAAGACGTTACGAGACGAGATACACACGAAGACGAACCGAATTTTTGAGTTTCAATTTTTCTTCTTTCGTTGATTCTTTCTTTCGATACGAATCTCATGTTACTAACTTAATGATACTACGAACCGAAACTGCCACGTTGCTGAAGACGTACTTAAGACGGAGAACGAAAACATACAACGAACTACCAGTGCCGAGTTTTAAAACGGAGACTTTTTCAACTTAGTCCAGAATATTATTTTGACTTTCAGAACGAGCTCTTTGGCTTTCAAAACCAGCTCTATACACTCTATACACTCCCACCTATTCCGCATGACAAATGCCCTCTCCGCGTAGCAAGCATTACATTTCTCTTGGTACCGATGCACTACAGATTCTTCTGGAATCCAAATGCAGCATCACAAGTTCCATTCTTCCAGACCCAGACATTTTTACATTTGATAGTTCCCCGTCGCTATCCAAACACGGCTGCCCAAAATCGCGGCGGGCACCGTACACGGACTCCATCTCCTTGGCGGAGTATGAACTGCAAAAGTGTCTGGGTCTGGAAAATTGCGAGATTTGTCATGCTAGCTTGTCTGGCATGACCAAAAAGTTTGTGATGCGTGTCCAAGAAGAGACCCTTTTGCCGATCATGCAAAAACGCAGTTTGTCATGCTGGGAAACTAAGGGCAGGGCGTCCCTTTGTAAATTACGTCGACAAACTCTTAACCGCGTACCCGGTAAACTCCAAAACAGAAATTTTGAACAGCGTGATTTCTACCGAGAGACAACAACCGAAACTCCTGGGACGGCTGCGACGTGAGTAGGTTGTTATCTAGGTAGAAATAACTCTGTGCAAACTCCCTGTCTCAGCACCGAGGGAACCTGTCTCAGCACCGAGGAAACGCAGTTTGTCATGCGAAAAACGCAACACAAAGAAGCGCAGATATTTCTCATGCTTGGTGGTGCATTACAGAGCATTCACTGCTCCCAACGCAGCATTACAAGTTTCCAGACATCCAGACATTTTTGCATTTGATACGGAGAGAGACAGCGCTAAATCCGGGCAGTAGCGGTCCACGAACTGGTACACCCCCAGCGTGTGGCTCTGCTCGTCGCGGTTATTGTGAGGAAAAATCCCCTCTCCCCATATCGAATAAAAGGCGTGCTTTTCAAAATTTGCGCTGCGGCTTTGTGGTCACAAATCGAGTCTGTCTTGCAAGAGGGCAACGCCAGAGCTTCCGCCGCATTTCGCAGGCGATTTGTCACGCTGCTGCGCCAATGCGGCAGACGTCTGCCATGCTAAGTGACTACCTCAAGCCACCCCTTCCGGGGCTTTGCATCTGCCTGCAGTGCTCTACTGCAAGACAAAGCTGATTTGTGTACGCAAATACAGCATCACAGACTTCCCTTTCGATATGGGGAGGGGAGATTTTTCATTTGATAGCGGTCCATGTTTTGCTCCAAATAGGTCCGGAACCCGGTGTAGGTGTCCTTCATCATGGGCAGGGTGCGCCCCAGCCGCATCTGCGCGGCGGGGCTGATCGTGGTCAGCCGGGGCCGGTGGTCCTCGTAGGTCATTTCGCGGTGCCGCGGCGGGGAGTACCACTGGTTCTGGTACTTCTGCGGGTACGAACTGATGTACTTCGCGGTGTTGGCGAAGTCCAGGCGAAAGGGAAACCACTCCTCAGCGATCATGGTGTCATCCATCACGACGTGGAGTTTTTCCTCGCAGAACTCTTTCGCCTCCTTTTCCAGCCGGTCCTCGCGCACACCCACCTCTTTCGTACAAACAATGTGGTCGAAGAAACTGTGCACTTCCTTCAGAAACGACACGAAATCCAGCTCGGAGCAAAAGAGCAGGTCGGGGGGGGAGGACGAAGATGAGGTAGTTGTTGTGAGAGAAGATGAGGCACCAGCGGCTCCACCAGCCACCGTGGGGAGTTGCATGATGTTGGACGTCGTCGACGGGGTTCTACTGTTCTTCGTGTTCATCTTGTTCCTGGACGAAGCGGGCTGCTGGGTAATATTATTGGAAGATGCAGTATTGAGTCCACCGGAGGTGGAACACGAATTGGCACAAGAACTACTGGATGAATTTTTGCTAGTCTATCAAATGCAAAAATGTCTGGGTCTGGAAGAGTGCAGACTTGTCATGCATATTTTCCATGCCCCATGAGGTCTGGAATGCAGGACCTAGCATGACAGATTCTGCGAAGTTTCTATCATGCCTATACTGCATGAGAAACACCCGCTCATGTTGGTCAAAAAAGGACAACTTTTGGTGATCACGCAACACAGACTTTTGTGTGACCCACAGGACGCATCACAAGTTCCACTTCCATCCTCCCAGAGCCAGACATTTTTGCATTTGATATAGTCTCCCGTTGTACACTTGCGACACGGGCCTCCAGATCATCGATCTCTCCTTCCAGACCTGGCGGCGGCTTGACGAGTCGCTTGATGTTTCTGTTGCTGGCCAGCTCCAGGCTCACCCGGGGGGACTGGTCTTTAAAAAACGAGTTCGCCTGGCTGCTGAGGCGCGGGCGGGGGACGAGATCCTCATTGTCCTTTTTATCCCCATCTTCTACTACTTCGCTTGCAGCGGACGCGGAAGCTGATGAAGTCTTTCCCGAAGCGGTGGTTGTGGTCTGGTAACGCGGCAATCCGGCCTTCACCGTGGTGGTGATGCGGTTCTTCTGGATGTTTCGCAACCACTCCAACTTTTGCAGCGACTCCTCCAGGTCCTCACAGCACTCCCGGTAAAACCGGCGGCGCTGGTGCCCCGCGCTCGCGAGCAGGGACACCTCCCCGGTGCGGTTCCACTCCTGTGCAACGTCCAACACCACGACAAAGGTGATCGTGGGACTCTCGTTCCGCGCCGCCGCCGCGGCCATCAGCCGCCGGGCGTGCGCCAGCGCGCGGTTGTCCAGCAGCCGCAGATCGGTCTTGCGAAACACATACAGCGTCCGGTTGGTCCGCCCCGCCTCCGAGGAAACCGGCAGGCCGGGAACCGGGGTTCTCGTCGCGGGCATCATGATCTTCGAGGAACAAGTTCAGGCTGCTGTAGTTCCGGAGTTAGACACTGTATGTTCTGCAACAGAAAGATGAGGCTGCTGTTCGTAGTCCTCGGGAGTTGTGGTCTTGTTTTTTCTTCCTTCTGTCTTGTTTTTTCTTCCTTCTACCAACACCCGTGCTGGAGATGGAGGTTCGTTTCTGGTGAAGAAATCAATTTGAAGATTTCGTTGGAGACGAAAAATAGAGAGCAATCCAGCACTAGTTGCTTATTGCAAGAGTTAGAGAAGTAAAAATTGTTCTGATTTCGTGAGCGAATACTTCTGAAATAAATTTCTTTTACTTACTACCAGTCGTTGAGTAGAATAAGAAGTTGTATAATTAAACTGTGAAGGTACTGATAAAGTTGTAATTTCTCAAAATAACCCCCTTGTCGTCCGCTGAAGATGAGGAAATACTGAAACTCCTACTGTCGATGTTTCAGACCTTTCAGAGTTCAATACTAACTCAATCGACTGCGGCAAAGATGAAATGCAGTGAAAATATGCATTTTCTGTTTCTCATGAATAGAAATATGGGTGAAGTTTCCTTGTCAGACGGCAATATTTCTGTCGTCCACACCTTATCGTAAGTGCTGCTGCTAAAATCGCGAATTCAAATTTGATAGGTAGCTTATGAATATCTTATTTTTGATGCCCAATATTATCGCGATTCAGGATATTGATTTCGGGAAAAGTCAGTGGTGCAGCGTGGTCAATATAGTAGTGCTTCAGTATATATTTTTGGAATATGGATTGCAAAAATGTCTGGGTCTGGAAGGTTGGAACTTGTGATGCTAACTTTGGACTCTAAAAAGATCTGTATTGCATGACCAGCAAGAGGAGTCTCGTTTGTGCTACGCGGGGAGGGCATTTGTCATGCGGACTAGGCATCAGGAAGGGTTCTAAAAGTCTGTGATGGTAGGGCATGCATCACAAACAATCCTTGGTCATGCAAAATATGCATGACAAACCCGGCAACATTCCAGACCCAGACATTTTTGCATTCGATATGGAAACTGCTAAACGTAATCGCATATGATGAAAACGCGTGATATAAGATTCAATATCGATCTATATCCTGTGTAAAAACGTCCCCACCCCAGAGTTGCCATTCAGATTTGCCATGACAGGAACATTTGTAATGCGCAACCCCATGACAGCCATTTTCAATCGTGTTTGGGAACTTGTAATGCTGTAAACAGGATCAGCAGATTGATTTGTGCTGCGGCTTTCCTTGCTAACTTGCACTACCTTACGGACTGCATTTTGTCATGCGTGACTCACAAAACTCCTAGGTTTGTGTTGCAAAATCCCCATCTTGACTCTGGTGTGGGGACGTTTTTAATCAGGATAATCTACGTAGTTCCAAGGGGAAGAAAGTAGAACAGTATCTCACGACCAGTAACCTAACAGGTGTGAGAAGATATTATGGACGAAGTGCTTAAGGTGGGTAGTAACCTTTTATCTTTCGGGTGGTCTTATCTCTTGAATTTCACAACAATTTTTATGGGGCGGGGTTGAGGTCTTGTAACATAAATGAAGTGGACGCGGAGAGCAGGTGTTTATTGTGTTAATATCCCTAGTACAACAAAAAGTAGTGGATTCTGGTTCTTCTATTGTTATTGTCCGAGTCAGTTTTTTTGGTCGAGTGTGCGGTCTAAAAATAGTATCATGCAGCGGTGCGGCCACAGGCTATAAGAAGCAAGTTTATTGCAGGAGGCCACCTAATAAAAGCAAGACAAAGTAGAATTTTAGTCCAGATCCAGAAACAGCTATCCTGATCCTGTTTCCAGATTTTTCTTTATCTGCAGCTACCAACGTAATTGCCGGTGCCGGTGGAGGTAGTGTCCTACAAAAAGCTCTATGGATTAGCGAGTGAGCGTCTACTGCATATTGTTTTTTCTAAATATAGTACGGTCTTGATCAGATTCTTTTTGATGGTTGTGTGATGTTGTCAAAAGTTAAAAATAGTGTCGATCGTAGTCAACAAGAACGCCTGTAACTCTACTTGTAATTGTATCTGTTCTATACTGCTGGTGCCTTGCATCTATCGACATCAACCGCGAAGAACGGGACGATGAAGATGGGAAAACAAGTACAACTAACGAAGTCCTACTTGATACTCCTTGTACAAGGTGAGTGCGAGCGCTGATGTTGAAGAAAGTGCTGATTTTTGTGTTGTGCCTACCGTATGTCTTTCTGCTTTTTCTACTTGTGTTTTCGAAAAAACGCTAGTCTAAGATAAAAATGTTGAGTGTGTAGAAGTAATACGTAATAGCAAGTCACTATGAAGACTCCGTCGCCGAAGATCCGAAGTATAATCTGTGACGGACACTACTACTACTTACTTACCCGGTTGATTCCTGAGGCCGCTGTTGGTTTTTTCGAATGCGATTTGTTTCATTTGACAGCAAACTACTATCTAAATCTTCTCGACGACAAAACACCAAAATGAAGATCTTCTCAATACAACCGGGTCGTGTAAAAAATAAAGCGCTTCCTCATTTTATCATCGCGTCTGTCGTGTAGAAGTTCTTTATGGTGCTGTAGTTCCTTCGGTTTTACTTTTACTTTTCTATTTTCACAGCCGTCGTCTTACTAGTACAGATCCATGATCTATCACCCACCTAGTCGCCGTATAATTGCTTCTGGCCGCTCCTGCTCTGTGCTTGTACTAGTCCGGCTTACATCTTGATCTTCTTGGCCTTCTATCAACCACGCGGTTGATGTAGCTATAGTACTTTCAGGATCAATCAAGAATACCACGTGCTGTTATAGATTGGCGGCAATGGTGCGGAGCAGGGTAGCTCTTCTGTTTTTTATCGTCGCTGCTAGGAAAAATAGACTTGTGATTTGGAGCTACACGACCTCCGAAGTAAGTAGAAGTAGGTGTAGGAGTAGATGATCCAAGCGAGCAAAATATAATAAGGCGAGAAAAATATAAAGCTCGATGGGATTTGTGTCCTCGAAGTGGTAAGATTTCGGTGAGATTAGGGGTGGTCGTTGTGTATCATCTTCAAGTGAGGGAATTAACAACTTCTCACGAACTCTGAGTAATATAGTTGTATTTGCAAAAAGAACCAGCAACTACCAATTATAGAGTGAGTTGTAGTACTTGCTTTTTTCTATTCTACACACACCCGCAAGTGTAGAAGTTCGTGACCATGGTACAAATTCCGATCGCTTCGCTTCTTCTTTGTAGGACCGCAAACTTGAAAAAGGAACAGACTACAGTGATCAGCAGGACTAGGTAGACCATGCAATACACCAGATATCGTGAGGAAAAATCCCCCCTCGCCATATCGAAAAGGCGCGTCTCAAAAAATTTGCAATGCCGATTTGTGACCACAAATCGTCTCTGTCTTGCAAGAACGCAACGCGACGGGCTCCGCCGCATCCTGCAGTCGGTTTGTGATGCTGTTGGCCCTACAGACTAGACGTTTGCCGTGCTCGGCGCCTAGCCCAAAACCTCTCTACTCAGGCTTCCTATAGGCCTGCAGTCCTCTCCAGCAAGAGAAATCTGATTTGTGTACACAAATCCAGCAACAGAAATTTCCGTTTCAATATGGGGACGAGGGGGCTTTTTTCACTTTGATACCAGACCGCAGTGCACGAGGCGGATCAAAAACGGACTGCAGAGCAATATCGAATGCAAACATGTCTGGGTCTGGAAGGATGCCAGATTTGTCATGCATATTTCTCATGACCCATGAGGTCTGGAATGCAGCACCTAACATCACAGACTTTTAGAGAGCTTCCTGCTGCGCCTTCCGCATGAGAAATGCCATGTCCGCGTAGAACAAGCTGGACCCCTCTTGCTGGTCACACAATACAAATTCTTTTAGAATCCAAAAACGGCATGACAAGTTGCGACCTTCCAGACCCAGCCATATTTGCATTTGATAAGCAAAAAATCAAAGCAATTGAATCTACAGGTCCCCGCGAGAATTACCGAGGTCGTTCTCATATCCTGTGCAAAAGTATCGTACTCGTAGTAATCGCAATCATGCATTACAAATTCTCATCCCAAGGTAAAACAGCATTACAAATTTCATTTTTCACGCTGAGCTAATTTGTAATGCGATTACTACTAGCACAATGACGATACTTTTGCAATGCATATCTCAAGATTACTTGCGCGTACAGGGTCCCAAAGTAGGTCACGAGGGTCGCGAAAAAGAGGCACAACTTATCGTGGCGAGCTGCAAATAACTCGTTGTTCTCGTGGTGCGCAGCAGCAGCTAGTCTTGCAACATGAGCAGCTCTGGTGCTGGTACTAGCGTGGTTAATAGTATCTTGCCGTGGTCCTGCTACTCGACGTCCACCGCCTCTAATGTTGGTCGTGCTAGATTCATCTTCGTCGGCAGACGCAGAACAAACCCGCCTTGTGGCCCTGCTTTGGCTTTGCCCATCGTAAGTACAGTTTTCATTTTCCTGCTCGTCCGCGGTACTATTGCTTCCTGATACCAGTACAACTTCGCGCTGATGTCTGTGTCTCTCTACTACTTCTACTACGTTACTGTTTTGGTTCTCAACATCTGGTGCGGCGCTACTATCTATTCTTCTTGTACAACTAGATCTACTTGATGTAGTTTTTAGGGAGGCTCCTGAGGCTCTAGTATCGACGGCGTTTTTAGAAGAAGTGTCGTGCTGATTATTATCACTTTCGCTCTGCTGTCCTGATCTCGCTTCTTGCAGTTGACCACTAGTATGCGTTTCATCGTGAAATTGTGTTATATCTGCATCGCTAATAGTTCTAGATTGATCAGTATCCTGGGTGGAGTGGCAGTTGTCATGCGATGTCGCTGAAATAGTAGAGTTACTGCTGTTGTTCTGCGGCCTACTGCGAGCGAGGGGGGGAGGCACTATCCAGGCGAAACTATCCGAGTCATGTTCTTGACAGCAACAGGATAAACATTTGGATTGTTCTTTTTGTTTCCATTTGTAATTGGAAAGAACCGCAACAATACAAAGCTTCAACACTGCATATCTTTACGTTCACATCCTTGTGCTGCACTTAGCACCATGGCCGCCCTTGCTTTTTTCCACACGGCCACAAGGGCAGGAGAAGAAACAGATTGAGATTTTCATTTCTGTCTTATGCATGACTGAAAATCAAAAGTCGGAGATCGTTTTGCTGTAAACGCCATGACTCAGAAGTTCACACGAGGATAGTGATCGGGGGTAGGTGACTTACAAAAGGGGTCAACATGGTTCCTGAAGGTCGTACGGTAGAAGCGTGATATACATCGGAACAATCAGTCTCCATAGTTTAGTGATATTTGCAAATTATACATAGCACCACTGTCATACTGAAGTGAAGACGCACTCCTATTGGTACTGCCATTCATCTTAGACGTCCCTCCACCGCGTCTGTACTGTGAGTGTGATAGTGATTCTTTTTTCAAAAAAAAACAAATCCACTTCCGCGATAATTCAGCACATGTAGTCTTGCTGCGTCAGCTGTTTCAGCTTCACCGACACCGATCATCATTGTTCCTCTTGCAGCTCACTGAAAAAGGCAAATCTTGACTCTGCGTCAAGTAGGATGAAAGTACTTTGCTTGTCGGGCGGACGTACTTCTATCTACCGCTGTTCTCAACCATCTCAAAATTTGTGATGATTTTCAAATAACTAAGTAGACACTTAAAAATTTTGTTCGCTACTACTAATCAAGCGCAGAGGTGTTGAACACTTTGGATCATGCGGAGAGGAACCGCCTGCGAGGGAAGGTCCGGCAGGCCATCAGCGTGCTCGAGTCTTCATCATCTGACACGAACCTGGAGGGGTACCACAGCGGTTGCAGTACCGGCGCGAGGTACAGATTTTTTTCTTACTGACAGACTCTTTCGCACAAGTTCGTTGCTTTTGCTACAGTAGAGATCAGATGGCGATGAAATAAAGAGGCACTGTAATGCGACCGATTCCGTCCAAATTCCATCTCAACATACCTATTAAGCTTTGCTCCACTCCTCATGCACATTCATAAATCGCACACAATCTTCAGTACGACGTATGCGCAACAAGAACATCGTCTTCAGTATCTCCCGGGATGCATTTTCGAGCCCGCTCGCGACGCTGCTTTCTCCGTGATCAAGTTTTTCACGTAGTACACTTGGAAGACAACATATCCCACGAAAAAAGTGTTACAGTTACACATTTGTAGTCAATTCAGCAACACAAATTTCTCTGCATGAGAGAGAAAACTTGTAATGCAGAAATCCTACGGGAAAACGCCTATGAAACGGGGTTCCTATGCATATCCGGCATGACAGAGCTTGTCTGTCTTGCTTGGCCTGCAACACAATGTGTAACTGTAACACTTTTTTCTTGCGATACAACGAGCGCCAGTAGCGTCAGCAGCTCGACGATGCAGAACCACAGAGCCCGATTGTTCACGGATTCAATCGAGTGCAAATGCGCCTTCTGCCGCATCCACAGGTACCTGTAGTTCCGGAGGCTTTTTGATGCGCAACATCTTCGCACCATACAACAGTCATTTACATCATCTGTAGTTTGCGCTTGTATGCCGGAGTCGTGTAGTTAGTTGTTATTCTTTAATAAATGACGAAATAAAAATCGGGTTCACAAGTACTGGAGATAGCGGCAAATTGATAGGTACGTTCCTTCCGTTTGTATGTCCTGCAGTTTCCGTTTTATGCTCATGACCGATTCCTCCAGTGTGGTTACTTCGTGATAGTCTTCGTGTACGTTGTTCCGCTGCCCGGACTGAAAGAAGAAGTTTACCATGGCTTTCTGATTCGAATTGTTGGGCATCACCATGGTGTAGGTCCCCGGCTTCTTCGCCGTCGCTTCGAACATTCCATCCTCCCCGTATGATTGGGTGTAGACCAGCTCCCCGTCGGGGTCCAAAATGTGGAAATCAGTGTTGTCGTCGCTATCCGACCCCCGGTAGGACTCATCCATCAGGAAATAGCCGCCGCGGAAGACCTCCGGCGCTTTCTCCACGTCGTGAAAAAAATGCTGCTCGGAACCCGACTCGAGGTAGAAAGAAAGCAGCGTCTGCGGGGAGAAACCCACAAGACTCATGTCCCAAAATTGGTTCCGGTAGTACCCTCCATTACCGGTCTGCATCCGCGGGCCCTTGATCGGCTCGTACTGTTCCATCTCTTCCTCGAGCCGCTCCGCAGCGGACAGGTGGCGGGTGTTGGAAGATGTTGAGGTTCCCTGTTCGGAGGAGGAGGTCGTAGAAGTACTTGCTCCAGATGAAGAGGTACTACCACCAACTGCTCCACTTTCCTGTGCGGCGGCCGAAGCGGCAGCCGAACTTCCCACTGTGAAATGAAGTAGATCGTGAAACCGGCTACATGAAACCGCAACGGCCGCGGCAGTGGTGAAGAACCCTGTCTTCCGCACTCCTGGCACGCGTCGTCTGGGTCTTGATTTTCTCTCCTGTGGTACGGCTACTGCTGCTGCTTCTGCTCGGCCGCGCATTCCGCGGGCTCTTTCTAGTACAAATCGAGGAAGATCCTCTACTTCGTCATTGCGTCCTGGGGGAGCAACAGCATAGTACGGAGCCTCATTTAATAATACCGCATGATCCCTGCGTGGTCTACTCTGTTGAGCCGCGGCGGGGTCGTGTAAAAGGCTTTTGTTTATTTGCTCTCCTGTCGTGGTCGCTCGTCTTCTGGTGCAGGATTGTAAATAAGCTCGCACAGGAGGTGTAAATAAGCTCGGGCCATTCATCAATCTGGAGTCGATGACGAAAGCTTCGCGCCAGCCAGGAAATAAACAACTCAGACGCCCTCGAGAGGCAACCAAGCTGCGGACCTTCCGCCGGCGAGAGACCCGCCAGAGCTTCCGAAGGCGAGACATCTGGGGCTGCCGAAGCCAAAGAAGCTTCGGAGCGAGCCTCCGAAGGTGAAGGCTTCGGCGCTTCCGAAGGTAAACGCCCCGGATCTCCCCAAGGCGAAGGGGCCAAGGTTGGCAAATGCCAAACACCTGACTGAGGCAAAGCCTCGGCCCCTTAGAAGTGCTGCAGGCGCAAACCCCGGACACCGGGAAGACAAGATGGAACTCCCAGAGATGAGATCCCTGCCAATCCCCAAAGATACCTTCCGAAGGGGGCGAAATAGAATCCCCGGAGAGACCTGCCGAAGGGCAAGGGAGGCGAAATGGAGGCCCCCGAGACACCTTCCACAGGAGGGCGAAAGGGAGTCCCCTGAGACACCCTCCGCAGGAAGGCGAAACGGAATCCCCCGAGACCGACACCATCCCCAGGAAGGCGAAATGGAAACGGAATCCCGAGAGCAATGGGTCTCCCGAGAGGAGGCGAAAAGGGCCTGGAACTCCGAGAGGGACGGTCCTGGAACTCCGAGCAGGCGAAAGCCCCGACAACTTTCGACAGAGAGCCGCAAAGCAAGACGGGCGCGCGAAGCTTAGCGCTAACATTATTCGCCACGCCTCTATCGACCAGAGGAAGAAAAGCCAGACAGACACCTTTGATAAACGTGGCCGCGTTTGGAAAAAAATAGCGGAGAACTTCAGTTTAGGCGCGAGGGTATGGCAGTCACAAAACACGACAAAAAGAGCAGTAGATAGATTCTCCCAAGGTGAGGCATTGCGAGGCGAAGGATTGATGGGGATGAGGGGGTTTACTTGATTCCATTCAACTTGATTCCAGGTAGTAACTTGATTCCATATAACTTGATTCCAGGTTTATACTTGATTCCATATAACCTGATTCCAGGTTTAACTTGATTCCAGTTAACTTGATTCCATGACCTCAACTTGATTCCTTGTTTTACCTTTTGCTTTGCTCTTCTGTGGTTGCTCGTCTTCTGGTGCAGGATTGACTTCTGCGACGGGACGGAGAAGAGGGAGTCGGGCCGTGAGAGGGAGATTTGGATCTCTCTTCAAATACGAGGAGGACACAAAATCCTTTTTGCGCCATTATGTTCCGTGTCAATGCAGTCACACGGCCGCAACTAGTCTTGCTTACGCGCCTGAACTGGCTCTTTCTGGTGCCTCACGGTGTTCGTTGGCTTAAACGAACATAACCATAAAACTCAAGTTGTAGTGATCCGTAAGATCGTCTCGGTGCCGTGCTTGATCTTCGGCCACTTCGCACGAAAATTAGTGGCTGTCTAAAGAAGAACTAGAAACACTGCCGTGAGAAAACAGAAACACCAGCATCACAGCATGATCAGAATAAAGAGCGACCTCTTTATTAGTTCAACATGTAGTCAGTGGTCCATTTAGAACTAGAAGCAGCCCAAGTTTTACGCAATAAACCAAAAAAAAGCGACAAATTATCATCAGATCTCGAACGCAGCCAGTGCCGGACTTGAAAACGAAAACTGACAGAAGAAAGAAGCGACAGGGACGTGAACAACGGCCTCGGGTCGTGTCTAAAACGATCATTGAAGTGAGTACTTACTGCGGGACACACGATTTGCAACGGAGCTCCATGTTTTTTTCCTCTACCCCACGATGAACAATTTTGGTACAACTTCGTCAATCTTTTACTTTCTATCTCAAAAGAATAAAGGTTTTGCCAAAAACAAGCAAACTTTCTTCACGAACCTCCCCTTCTCTTCCTCTTTTCCGCTTCCATCTGTTCCTGAATCACGACCCCCAGGACCTCCAGCGTATCCCGCGGGTCCACCGACTCCTGATGAAGCAGCAAGCCCTTCTGCTTCAACCACAAAATGTCCCCGACCCCACCGTGGTTGCGCACGCTGGAGGCCAGCAGCGCAAGCTGCGCCGCTGACTTTTCATCTTCTTGTTCGCTGGTTGATGTAGTCCTGGTGTGGCATGGCGTCTTCGCCCCCTTCTGGCCGGTTTTTTTGCTCTGCTCCGAGGGAAAGGGCAACCCGCCAAAGCCCTTCACGTACTGGTGGTTCGGGGCAGAAGCTTGGTGTCTCTCCTTATCCAGAGAGTCAAACGGCCGCCGACGGCGGGGCACCACTGTCAGTGTTGCCGAGGACGAGGATTGTTCACTGGCGGGAAATAGATTGCCCCGCCCGTCCTCGTCTTCAATATTTACCCTCGACGTAGCAGTAGTGGAAGTTGTTCTGGAGGTTACTTCTTCTAAAACCCCGCTGTTGCTCTTGCTGTTCTTCTCTACCGCTTGCAAAGCGGAAGAAACCAGGGAAGAGTTCACATGACTTTCATCGTGATCTCCACTTGTCGCCATTCCCTCCCTGCTGTAAATCCCATTCGGTCCAGTTTGCGAAGAAGCAGACGCAGTTTCTGGTCGCGTGGTCGACAGCGTTGTCATAATGCCACAAGTTCTTTCCCCCAGCACGGACCTCGTCCGCGCGCACGCCAGCTGCTTCGCTTCGTGCATGGGATCTTTTCTCTCCGAGGGTAGCAGTTCTTGTTCCAGCAACATCAAAGCTGCAACTTCCACACTATCCCCGTAATTTTCCCGCACCCGCACGCGGTCGTAAAAATTGTAGTCGCAATTGCGAAATTTCCGGTTCATAAACGTGGTCCGGTCGTAGGGGGAAGTTCGCCAAATCGGGAGGGGTTGACAGAACATCAGCTCTCCTGAAACTTCCAAATCTTCTCGTCCAGCATGTGGTCCTCCGGAGGTACTCCTACTAGAGGCAGCTTCTTCTTGACCGGATCCACAAGAACGACTCGCACCAACCGCTGCTATAGAGCTCGCTTCCGCCGCCCGCTCCTTGTAGACGCGAAGGAGTTCGCTTTGAACCGACGCGGTGAAGGCAACAGGAGCTGCGGTGGAAGAAGCTGCTGCGTATTCATTCGTCATTTTTGCATCACCAGTGTCGGTTTCGCCAAACCGCACCTCTTCCAGAAAAGGCGTCACAGCCAAACTGTCGACGAGAACTGACGTTGAATCACGGGCACCGCTGCGGCCTGCCGCGTACAAAAGATGATGGGAAGTAGTAGACCCTTGATGTTCCTTTTTCCTCAGCCAAAATTCCGTTTTCGCGTCTGCCACACCAGTCGAGGGTGAGAGACCAGCAGCTTCTTGCTGCGCCGTAATGTCAAGTCGTAAACACTCGCTCGGAATCCGCTGTGGAAAGTCGGGCTTGGGGTCCACCAAATAGTAGCTCACACCGACTCTTTCGGGAAGTCGCAGGCAGGACTGGCCCCTGATGAATCGTGGGAAGATATTATCCAGGTAGGTACAAGAACTTCTACTGGTTGTCTTACTTTGATTGTTCTTCTCGTCAGTTAGTACTACATGATAGAACGAGGAACCAGAACCAAGAGCGGCTGCAGGTTCACTTATAGCAAATATGCGGCATGATACTGATAGATAATCATGATGTGAAACAGCAAACAACACGAACACCACAGTACCAAAACGACTTTTTCTCCTCGTAGGCGAACACCTGGCAGTTCAGGAGGTCAATACCGTCCACTCGCGACTCCACCCCCGAAAATTTCGCCTGCTCCGAAACCGTCCCCACTGGCACTGCAAGAACGTAGGATAACCTCGCCAGTCTTGTCACTTCATCGCTCCTTTCCCGCAGGAGCCCAACAGGAGTTGCAGGAGTTGTTGCAGCATTGGCTGCCACCGCTGGAGTTGCATTTGATTTTGTCGTACTAGTAGTACCATCGCAGCTCCCAAAATCTACTTCTCGACGACCACGACCGGTGATTTTTTTCCCACTTCGACTCCCATCTACGTCTACCGTGTCGGTATCACCGCGGGAAGAAGAAAAATAACTCGGCGACAAAACTGTTCCGCCCACGTGCCAGGCGTCGAAAAGAGCGGCCGAGATTCCCCAGCTGACTACAGGATGGAGATCGACTTCGGGGATCTGGAGAGTGTCGTTTTTCGAAGATGTTTAGCATTTCTTTTTTCATACACTCGATGTACGTAAAAAATTTGCTGTTTCTGACTGACCTTCGGTCGTGGTGCACGTCATGATTTACGATCCAAGTGCTGTCATTTTTTGCCACAACGCGCTGCACTACTCGAGAAGAGTTCTAGTCATGAAAAAAATGTAGACAAGTGTAAACGAAGCAATACCAGTTTCAACTGTTTCTTCTGATCCTGCTCCGCAAACAATCCGAATAAAAAAAACCTGTAGTTTTTACGTGCAACTTCGCAGTGCAGATCATGCAACATCACCGTCACACTTGCCATGGAAGGATTTGCGAAGCGATGTTGTCTTGTCCAAGAAAGTCAAAGTCACACGTAAGACTACACTTTTTTCATCTTGCCTACAACCTTTACAAAATTCCGTGTCTGGTGCGGGTGAAACAGAAATCCCGTGGAGCGCACGTACAACGTTGGTGGTGTCGTAGTAGTCGTACTAGTAGCGCCTGATGTAGAGGATGCAGCTGCCCCATCCCTCGTTACAGGTGTTGAGGATGATGCTGATACAACTCCTATCCTAAGTAAAAACGTACCCACCCCAGAGTTGTAATGCAGATTTGCAATGACAAAGACATTTGTGATGCGCATCCCCATGAGACCCATTTCCAGTCGTGTTTTGGAATTTGTGATGCTGTGAACAGGATCAGCAGGTCGATTTGTGATGCGGCTTTCCTTGCTAACTTGCACTACCTTACGGACTGAAACTTGTCATGCGTGACTCCCAAAACTCCTAGGTTTGTGTTGCAAAGTCCCCATCTTGACTCTGGTGTGGGGACGTTTTTACTCACGATAACTCCCTTCTGCGACACTCCGAGACAGGGGAGGAACACACTCTGCCCGCAGCTGCTCGCCACGGAGTTGCTGCATCACGCAGAAAGAAGCAGGCAGGTCATATTTGTGATGCAAAAAGGAATACACAAAAAAATCTGCATTGCATACGCCAAACAGCATCCTATGGGTCCGCCCATGACAGATTTTTCCGTGTATTTATTTTTGCATTACAGATATGCCCTGCTAGCTTTTTTCTCTGGGATATGCTGGGTTCGTAGCGAAGTACCCGGATTGCTCGCGGATCACACAGGAGCGGAGCGGTCTGGTGTGCGTTAGTGGCGAGCGGCGCCGCGCGGCTTTCCGGAACTACGGCTGCTAGCGGCGAAACGGTGCCGGACGAGCTCGCGGCGGCTTTAGAAATGTTGCTCTCCGTTGCGGGCACGAAAAAATCGCCATTTTTCGTTGTTTTTGCGTCGGAAAGCTCAGTTGTAGCAGAAGTGTCTAAAGCAGGAAGCGAACCTGAAGATGATGATCCACTGTCGGGTTCTGACAGCAGTAGCGGCTCTGTACTTCTACTTCTACTGCTGCCCCTTGCAACATCAAACGTAGCTCCTTCGCCGGTCGTCGTACAGCTACTCGACGTTGACTCGAGCAACAACCCCGTGAGGCCCGCGGCGCCGGTCTATCAAGGAAAAAAAGTGTGTAAGTGTAACTTTCTTTGAGAAACAGCATCACAAATTTGCTCTACATGTCATGCGTGGCTTGTAAGGGAAAACACACATGAAAAGAGGACTTCATGGCTGTCTGGCATGACAGGTGTAACTCTGTTGCATGTTCTGCAGCACAAATTTACACTTACACAGCTCTTTTCTTGCATACGGTCGTTACCCCAAGCAGTAGACCCCCGAAAGCGTTGGAGCCAGCGGCAGTATCCCCGCCAAGCAACGACGAGGAACTACCACTACTGCCGCCACTCAGCAGCCGATTCTTCATATCAAGAAGAAAATAAATCCCCCCTCCGCATATCAAAACGAAACCTCTGATGCTGGATTTAGATGCACAAATCTAATTTGTGTTGCAGTAGAGGAATGCGCGCAGATCTTAAGCCTAGGCGGGGGCCTTTTGGTGTAGGCGCCTAGCATGGTAGACGGCTATCCTGTAGGCCTTACAGCATTACAAATCGCCTGCATAACGAGGCGGAAAGCCTGCGCGCGCCTTCTTGCAAGACGGACAGGATTTGCGGTCACCAATCTGCATCACAAGTTGAGCAATATCGGATTCGGAAGGGGGGATTTTTCCTTGCAATACTTCAGATCCTGGTGCTGCAGCGCCCGCTGGTCCAGCAGCGGCTTCCGCTCGTGTCGACGGAATTTTTCAAATTCCTTGGAGTAAAGTGTTTGCACCACCTTTTCGAGGCGTACGCGGTACTTATCCCGGATCGGTTTCGTAAAACTCTCGTAGGTATCAAATGTAAAAATGTCTGGGTCTGGAAGAATGCAACTTGTCATGCTAAATCCGAATCATGCAGAAATCTGTGTTGCATGAGTGCCAAAAGCTGTCCCCTTTTGACCAAGTTGAGAGGGAGTTTCCCATGCAGGAAAGGCATGATAGAGCCTGGAAAGAATCTGTCATGCTGGGTCTCGCATTCCAGACCTCATGGGTCATGGAAAACCTGCATCACAAATCTTGTATTCTTCCAGACCCAGACATTTTTACATTTGATAGTAGGCTTTATGACAGTGCAGAACTTTTTTATACTTAAGCCCCCTCGTCCGTTTATAACAATGCTACAAAGTACACGACTCGGTCTTTTATTGTCCTTGCTTTTCAATACCCTTTAGCACTCTTTACATTATGAAAACATTCGGGACGCGACGCAGCCCTTGTACATACCCTCCACGACGCGGCGCAGACATGCCAACTACAACTACATGCGGAAATCAACATAACTATCGTGCCACTGAGCGATGCTAAGTAAGGGGAAATAAGTAACAAGCAAGTTGTGCGCTCGGATAAACTATGCATCGCAAATATGTCTGGGTCTGGAAGAATGCAGGAGTTTTTCATGCAGATTTTGCATGACCCATGACGTCTGTGGTGCATGCCCGAGCATCAGAGATTTTGCGAGGGCTCTCTGATGCTCATACCGCGTGAGAAATGCCCTCTCCGCGTAGCACAAAATACACCTCTTTTGCTGTTCATGCAATACAGATTTTATATAGAGTCCAAAGGTAGCATCACAAGTTGCATCATCCTTCCAGACCCAGACATATTTGCATTTGATATAAGCTTTCAGCGTCGTTTTGTACCCCACGTACATGCATCAAATGCAAAAATCCCTGGATGTCTGGAAGGATCCGAACTTGTGATGCGTGTTTCGGATCCTACAAAGATCTGTGATGCATAACGTGCAAAAGGTGCCCACTTCTGGGCATGCTGAGAGGGCATTTCTCATGCAGAATACGCATCAGCAAGGAGCTGCAGAACCTGTGACGCTAGGCCCTGCATTCCAGACGTGGGGGAGCTTGGAAAAACTACATGACAAATCGCGGAATCTCCCAGACCCAGACATTTTTGCATTTGATAACATGGAGGCCGCGATCAAACTTGTCCGGTACTGGCGAATTCGGTATTTCTGCGTGAATTTAAACATCAAGTACCCCCCAAGCCCGCACCCCGAGATCGCCGTGTAGTCGCCCAGGCGGTAAATTTTGTCGAAGTACTCGTTTTCCTTTTGCGGCATGTGCAACCTCGCCCGCTTGATCAGCTTCCCGAACTGGAAACTGTCCATCATGGGGCCGTGGTTCGTGCATGGCTGCGGAATCACCGCAACCAGGTGCTGCGAAGTAACCGGATTCGTCGTCATCTTCACCTCGTCGTAGGTGCTTTGATCGCAGCTGTAGACATGGAATCGCGAGTCGAAATATTTTCACGCTTGCACTGACAACTGCATTCCTCGAAAACTTCAGGACGCAACTCGACGCATGATCCTGGTGTGAGTTTGTTGCATTTCCGAAATTGGCGCTCCAAATAAAAAGCAAAGAAAAACTCTCCGGAAGAACCTGCTCAGGAATGTTTTCTCTTACTGCTACTCCTCTCTCTCTCTTTGTAGTTGCAACTGCAAGGAAGAGTACTGCCTTCGGATTCAGCAAGAGGGGAGAAAGTCGAACAAAACAAGAAGGAGGATTTCCCTCCGAGAGGTGGACTCCATGTTTTATTGCTTGCTCTGATTTATCCTTATGCTTATGTAAGAGGGTTTTCTCCTTGCGCAACGGATGATTTATTTTCAGCAGCGTACCGCGCTGCATGGTGATGCTGCTTAACCATCTTTAGCAAGTACTTGAGGAAACTTCAGTTCATTTGAGGCTCTTCTACTTGTCCGCTTCTATATCCAAACCAAATCTTGCAAAAAAATCTGCAGACAAGATAATCTTGTTGAGCCGTGGATCCAATCGTAGAGATGCTTCTTCTAACCCAAACAACAATGAAGCTGCACGCAAGATCGAAACACGAAAATTTCATCTATTTTTATCTGTTATAATAGCTAAAAAAGTACTACTCGGAACAAATATTCACAGCAACGTAAGCAAAATTTTATACCGATACCGAACTTTCCAAACTACTACTTTCTTATTGCCAAAAATGAGTGACACCTCCTCCAACTCCTCCTAGGAACAAAATCTGTCCAAGCGATGGATGGAACTCCAGCTGGTGTCTCATCTCCTCACGAAAGGCGCTTCTTTTTTCGACCGGTAGCAGTACTGTTGTTCACATTCAGGAAATAAGCGCCCCATTTGAAGAAGACGAAACCGCAAGTGATGCAACTTCGACACTAATTTCGATCTCCTCCGCATCTGCTCCCCCTCCACGGCTTGCAGTCCTCGCACGGCGAATTTCATCCTTCCCTCTCCCGCACAACAAATTCGTATCTTCATTCCGGGTCGTTCTTCTTTCGCGCCACTTTCGATGTCGCTCGACGAGCGGCGCAAGCTTGTCCCGCATCCCCGGTGCCTTCCAAATATGCATTGCAAACATGTCTAGGTCTGGAAGGTTGGAACTTGTGATGCTACCGTTGGACTGTAAACAAATCTGTATTGCATGACCAGCAAGAGGAGCCCAGCTTGTGCTACGCGGGGAGGGCATTTTTCATGCGAAATAGGCATCAGGAAGCCCTCTAAAAATCTGTGATGCTAGATCATGCATTACAGACATCGTGGGTCATGCAAAATATGCATGACAAACCTGGCAACCTTCCAGACCCAGACATTTTTGCATTTGATACCAAAGCTGCTCAGCCAGCTCGTCCAGGACCTGCTGGCGCGCTGAAACTGTATCACAAAGAAAAAAGCAGGCAGGCCATCGCCATATTAATTTGTAATGCGAAAGTAAATACACGAAAAAAATCTGTATTGCATATCCTACTTAAACAGCATGCTGTGGGGCCAAGAACTCTGGTTCTGTGTATGTATTTTTGCATTACAAGTATGCCCTGCAGCTTTTTTCTGTGGGATAAGCTGCGGTCGTGACTGCAGATGAAGGAGGAGACGGCGCTGCAGAATGATCAACGCGAGAACCACCACTACGTGGTCCTGGATAATTTTTACTGTGGCCGTAGTTGCTGTAGTTGTCATCTTCATCAGTCTGTTCAGCAGCAGGAGTTTTCGCACTACTACACGACAGAGAAGTTGTTGTCCTGCCGGGAGCACAGCCGTGGTAGAAACAAGGGTCTACTTCAGCAGGAGAGCGCAGCATGGTTTGCGAAACCGCCTGCGCCAGCTCTGCTTGGATCACGTGTAAAAGAGCATCGGCAGGTGGAAGATAATTTATTCCTACGTGATTACCATCCGCCTCTGCCACTACTGGATGCTGGTCCGGATAATCCGCACCGGCCTGCATGTTCGTCTTTGTTTCTTCTGTACTATGTCGAGACGAAGATGATGAAAAGCATTCCTTGCTGTGCGAAAATGGCTGCTCCGGGCCATCTACACGAGGACTCATTCTTATGTAGATTTTTCCGTACCTCCAAATGCATGCATCCAACACGTAGTCTGTAGCTGATTCAGATTGTGTGCTGAAGCAAGCAGCAAAAAAAATTGAGTTTGTATATGAAACAACTGCGCAGAAGAAGCAGCTCCTCCGCGGCTGCAAGAAAGAGAATCACAGGACCTCTGTATCGCCGCTCATCTGTCCTCTCTCGAAAACATCTTTTCAGTCCACAGTACTCCGCAACCTAGACGTTGACCGATACCGGACGGACAAGTGTGTTGAACAGTTTTAAAACTGACAGGGAATAATTGCTCCAGCCTGCCGCCGTTGACGTCCAAGAAGCGCGAGAAGGTGCACACAACGGGCACTTCTCGTGTACTATACTAGTGAGTTCATATGACAAGCAGACCACGGCACGCCGAAACCAAATTTACTATACAGTCCAGTGAAAAATCTTTCTTCTCCCATTGAAATTTCCGCTCATAATTCCACAGCAACGCTTCTCTACACTTTTATCCCGGGGTACCTGGATCATCGTGTGAGTTGCGTAGTCCTAGAAGGAGATGATAAATTGCAACAAAAGGACATAGAAACGGAAACAGAAACAACTTTCTTGCCAACTAGATTTACAGCGAAAAGCAGTGGCAATTTCAGTCTGGCTCCCGTATCGAATGTACGTGTTAATTTGGTTCGTTTGGGCCACGGCTACAGCAGCGAACAAGAAAGTAAAATACTAACACGGTTCGTTTGTAACATGAAGGTTTCTTAATTTAGGTGTGGGGTAGCTAGTGAACAGTTGCCTGCAAAAACGAGCAGGCTTTTACTGTCACATCTAAATCGGGAAGCAGAGTGGGTACAAGTGCAACGAAAAAAGGGCGGGACAATTGATAAGAAAAAAATAGTGCGTTCTCCCCACACACAGAGAGGTCGTAGTAACGCAAACAGGCATCAACATGCCTTGCGACTTCTATAAAATCAATTTCAATATGCAGCTCTACTAACTACCGACGTATTATATATTTCTCTTTTCACTTCCTTTTCCCCCCGGTGTTTAGGTTGAGAATCAAGGCCCCCATATCGGTTGGATCCACGTCATCAAACGCTTCCGCGGCCGTTTCAATAGTCGACTTGTGTCGGCCGGATATCGCAGAAGTTCTGGGCGCTGCTGCACTGCTATAATTTCTAGAAGTGCCTCCGAGTCCGACGCTCCCCGTGGTGGTAGCCCGCATCTTGCTGTCCAATTCCGCCTCTTGCTCCAGCTGCTTCAGCAGCAGTGCTATGCACTGCAACTATGTCTGGGTCTGGAAGGATGCAAACTTGTGATGCTGTCTGCCGCTCACACAAAAACTTGTCATGCATGAGTTGCAAAAGCTGCAAATTTTTGGCCACCATCAGACGGGATTTCTCATGCAGAGTAGGCGTAGGGATCTTCACAAAGCTCTCGTAATAAAATCTGTGATGCTACTCCCTGCATGCCAGACCTTCTGGACCACTATGCAAAACCTGCATTACAAACATCTGCATTCTTCCAGACCAAGACATCTTTGCACTGGATAAGTGCCTTCTTCTCGGCATTCACCAGCATCTTCTCCACAAATTTTTCCTCCCCGAATATTGAGAGGAAAAATCCCCCCTCCCCATATCGAAAAGGCATGTTTCCGAAAATTTGTCTTGCTGATTTGAGACCACAACTCACGTCTGTCTTGCAAGAAGACAAATGCAGAGGCTTCCGCGCCATTATGGAAGCGCTTTGGCATGCTGTTGAGCCTAGAGGGCAGCCGTTTGTAATGCTAAGGACCTAGACCCAAAAGTCCCTCCGTAGGCTGCGGATCTGGCTGCGATGCCGTATTGCAAGACAGTGCACATTTGTGTACACAAATCCTGCATCACAGATTTCCCATTTGATATGGGGTGGGGGCTTTTTTCATTTTGATACCGAAGGACTTCGCTTTGGTGAGCGCGAGCTGCACCGTGAGTGTATTTTTCTTCTCCTGCTGTTCGCCGCTGCGGGAGGCCAGCGTCAACGCCTTGTCGTAAAACACGATCGCGTTCTCGTAATTATTCGTGTCTTTGTGCAAGTCGCCAATCTGCTTCAGTGCCTGGCTCGCGCGGAGGTGCCGGTGGTTCTGCGGACAGAAACCCCCATGCTTACGCATATGCTTCGGCTTCTGCTTCTCAGGACCCGGGGCCTGTGAAGATGCGATTATGTTCGTAGTTATGTTTAGTATTACACACAAAGCGAAAAGAACCAAGTGTTACAAAAGATTACGCAGCGAAAAGAAACAAGAATAATCAGTACCACATCCGTGACGCTTTGTCCCACGTTGCTGTAGTGTTCCTGCAATACGTGCACGAGAAGTTGGAACCGCGCTCGGACCGTGCCGCTCGTCAGGGGGCCATTCAACAGCTGTGCGTCGAAGGCGATATTCCTTGCGGACAGTCGCTTCGCGTCCTTGCTGTGCAAATACTGCGCGAGCTGAAACGCCACTTGGTGGTTCAAAGTGGATGCTTCCCTATCGTTCAGGTGCCCAAAGCAAATCCCGAGGTTTACGTGGGACACGAACCGGCCCACCAGGTCCGCGTGGTTCCGGTGCTTCACGTGCATTCGGATGGCGTTCTCAAAGTCCGATTGCCGCTGCTGCTCGGTGATGTTTTCCTCCAGCGCGCAGAGTTGGTAGTCAATCGCCATGCAGTGGTACGCCATGGCAATGCCCTGCTTGTCCCGCGCCCGCATGCACAGCTGTATTGTAGTTTTTGGTTTTGCGCATTAAGTTGTAACGATGTCGCGCTAAGGGTATGGAACTAGATACTTTGACAATACCAATAGGCACGCTCACTTATCAAAAAATAACAACAGAAATGCGGTAAAGCAAAGACCTATCTCGTCGACGTACTTACTTACCTTCAGAAACTTGTCGTAGTATGGAATGGCTTTCCTGTAGTCCTTGATGTTGTCGTGGTGGATTCCCATGGAGATGCAGTTCCTCGCGTACTTATCAACTGTAAAAGTGTCTGGGTCTGGAAGAATTCATGTTTGTCATGCTTGTCTGGCATGACTCTTTAAATCTGTCATGCACGTTACCCAAGAGCTCCATTTTTCTGTGATGCAGAAACGCAGTTTGTCATGCAGAATAGGCAACACCTAGAAGCTCAGAAACTTGTCATGCTGAGCCAGCACTTGTGGCCTCATCATGAGACGCGACCCAGCATCACAAGTTTCCAGACCCAGACATTTTTACATTTGGTAGTACTGGGGCCCCGACACTTCGGCCACGTTCGGGATTTTCTCTTCCCGCAACCGCTCCGGCACCTCCACCGTCTCCAGTTCCATAAAGGGCGCCTGTTCCCGGCCCGGGCTCGACAACGGGAAATCGGCGGGATTCAGTGTGGAATTTTGCACCGCCTGGTCGAACATGATCTTGGGCAGGAACGTGGGCGGGCTGCCCGCATTTTGTAGCTGCGTGGAGTTCGGACTAGTGGAGGGTACGGACTTGTTTTTGTTGTAAAACTATGCTGTGCAAAAGTATCTTACTCGTATAAATGCAGGTCTTGCATTACAAATTTCTTTGTCAAGGCAAATCAGCATTACAAATTTTATTTCTCATGCTGAGCAAATCTGTAATGCATTTATACGAGTACGATACTTTTGCAGTTCATAAAAACGACTCTCCGGTCGTCATCATCGGCGTTGCCGCACCGGTCTGTGTAGTAGAAGTGGTGGAGTGATTCCCTTCATGATCATCATCATGGAAATATGTTGAACTCGCATTTGCATCTGCATAACACCACGAACTAGGAGGATGAAAAAAATTGATTTCTATTTTTCTACGTTGTGTACTACATGTGTACTGTAAGTAGATACCATAACTTTCCCGTGGCTCGTACTGGGTGCCGTACTGGCCGCCATGGAAGCCGTGCTCGTCATGGACATGGACCGCTTTGCACTGGAGCCAATCTGCGACTGGTGTGCTCGGTTCATCGAGTACAAGACGCGCTTCAGGTCCTGGATCTTTTTCTCATTCTTCAGTCGCTCCGTCGTGGTCGGTTTCACGTCGTCCGCCACTCGCGCCGGGAGGTGAAACACGTGGGCGGGGAGTTTCACGCGGAGCACGTCCGTCTTCTTGTACCAGTACAGAATCTCCTGCTCCTGCCGCGGCTTTTTCAGCCGGAAAAACTCGCCCACTTGGTACTCGGCCCAGGCGGAGGGAAAGTTGCTGTCCTTGCAGCGGTACCGTGCGGTGTCTTCCTGGGAAAAACATCGGCGGGGATGGAAATTTTTCGGGAAAAAATCTTTCTCCTGCTTCGTCCTATCAAAGAAAAAAAGTTCGTCACGATCACTGATGCGCATTTTTGCAATACAAATGCGTTTGTCATGCGTAAAAATGCATCACAGCCGAACTTTATTAGGGATTTCCCTAGTGTTTCTGCAATACAAGGAAAATTTGTGACGCTAAGAAAATTTGTAATGCAAAACCTGCAAGTTAGTGACTGTGACAAACTTTTTTCTCTCCATACGTCCCCGGAATGTTGTACTGCTTCTCCGGCTCCTTATCAACTGTAAAAATGTCTGGGTCTGGAAGGATCCAACTTGTCATGCTGATTTTGGATTCTAAAAAAATCTGTATTGCATGAGCAGCAAAGAGAGTCCAAGTTTTGCTACACGGAAAGAGCATTTGTCATGCGGTATAGGCATCAGGAAGCCCTCACAAAATCTGTGATGCTGGGGCATGCATCACAGACATCAGGAGTCATGCAAAATGTGCATGACAAAACTGGCAATCTTCCAGACCCAGACATATTTACATTTGATACTCCTTCTCAGGAATCGAATCCAGAATCTTCGAGACTTGCTTGCTCGAGTTGATGTTGTTCTCCTGTGCCGCTGCACCGTGGTCCTGCAAAAGCGTCGGCGCCAGAACCGGCGGCGAGGTTAATGTTGCCCCTGCAGCAGACGAGGAAGATTCTGGTTGGGCGGCCATGATTTTTCTCAAGCTACTTTTGTCCGGCTTTATTTATGCGAGCAGTGTGATTGTTCTGCTGCTGGAGGCAGAGAGGAAAGAAGAGGTATGATGTGGGTAGTAGAACTTTCTATGTCGTCTAGGAGCAAACGTAAAATAATCACATGCAGGGGTGGTTATTTTGTCTGGGGTACTTAGAGAAAGGGTGTGCCAGCTGCAGATGTGGCGACTAAGGAAAAAAGCGACGTCTCAGAAAACCAAAATCCTATAACCACAATACAGCATCCAAAAAAAAACATACAGACCAACAACCATACGATGTGGCAAAAGCGCCACCATTGCAGGCCGAGCCGCTGCCAAAAAAAAACAGCCGCGAAGAAAAAACGACTATGGACCGTTTGCTCATGCGCTTGCGCGCGACGCACGATTCATTTTTGCACGATGAGAGCACGACATGAGAACGACCACTTCTGAGGATGAACGAAGAAAGAACGAACCAAGAAAAGAGCGATAACGATCTTCAATGTTGACGCATGACGATTTCATCTACGCGTGCAGAAGAAAAACGAAGAAAGCATTGATTTCTCCTTCATGAATCAAATTGAAACGCTTTTGCTCAACAATCTGGAGGAAGTGAAATTCTTCATACAAAACAGTGCAACACACGTGAACGGAAGAACAGGACGCTCACGCCGGTTGCCTCTTGTTGAAGACACACAAGTTAAAGAAACCAGCGCAGCTAGGCAGAATCAAGTCATCGATTCCACGGGCACATCCGGTTCAGCAGCACTATAATTTTCATCGGGCTCTTGCAATACAAACTCAGGAAAAAAAAATGAGTTTTCATGCCAACAAGAAAGATTGCCAACACAAACTGCATCGTTCCATTCTTTTGTTCGAAACATCATCTGCTTGCTAGTTAGAAACAGAAACTAGGTTTGAAACTGCCCTTTCCGACAAGTCTTAGTCGCGCTTCATCGTCGTGATGTTTCGATCGTTTTGTAAATAGGACTATTATTTTACTCTCCGTGGTATTAAAAAAAAGCGACTTGTAGTTTTGCGGCTCCCGACCCGTTTTACTTTTACGGCATCCCCATACCGCCGGCACCGCTGGCCGCTGCCATGTTTGCTCTCGGGTCCCCGGGCTGGCCGCCAGCTGTCACACAGAAAAAAGCTGACAGGGCACATTGATATAATTTCTACTGCAAAGATATGAAGCACGTCTGCATTGCACATCCTAAACAGCATGCTACGGGCTCACGACCCGTGGCAGGTTTTTCTGTGTATGTGCATTTATGCATTACAAGTGTGACCTGCCCGCTTTCTTCTGTTCGATACCACCGACCGGCCGATAGGACGGTGTGTTCAACCGCCGCAGCTCTTCATGCAACCTGTACGAAAACAATTTCCTCTAATTTCTCATGCAGAAGAACTTGACCATTTTTCACGACCAACACAGAATATATCAGGCAATAGCAGTACTTGTTTCATCATGCAGCTGCAAAGTGAACGAAACTCATGTTGCTAAAATCCGCGCTAACTCAGACAGAATTATACGAGTCCACATAGGCCGCCTGCTGTTTGTGGGACGCGATCAAAGCCTTGATGTCCGGGCCGGCCTGGGTCTTCACATACTGTATGCGTTGCAAATCATCCTGAGACCACGCGCGTGATAGTAGTCATCACAAACACAAACTACTGCTACGATTTTGCTGGTGCCAAACAAGCAGAACATTCAAAAGTCAACATGCTGTTGAAGAATCTGTCTTCCCGTTCATCTTAGTTCTACCTCAGGACAACGATCTTGTCTCTCGTATCTTCAGAAACGAAGATGGAGCAGCTACTTCGACCGGACCGGGATACTTCAAAACTGGATCCGATGATACCTTATTTTTTGTTTCGAAAAAATGCAACCTGTACTAGAGAATCGTGCATTTGACAAAGACAGGACGTCGTGTACAGAGAAACTACACGCATGACAAAAACAGACATCATTATTTGAGCAGAAAACAAAACCATACTCAAGCAGATTTTCGGCGCGTAGACGTCCTGCGTTGCTCGGGATATCCGGTGGCAAAAACTGTCGGTGCACCACTACCACTAGTACAACCTCGGATGCTTTTGCAGCATGAAAAGAAAACAAGCTTCAATGCACGCGGTGCTGATCTTCCTCGGTCACGTGCCATGATGGAGGCTGACCGAATGAGGCGGGATTTTTGTCTAGCGCGTGATCGTGAACCTAAGCAATACTGAAGCACTTCTTTATCGGTGTTGATCGCAGCTCTCATGTTATACAAACCACAAACAGGTGGATGTGGTGAGACAATTTTTTTCTCCCTCGACGATATCGGAGTAAGCGGCTTCAAACTTTCCATTGATCTGCTGGAAGTCACCCGGTGGTGCCCGGGGATCGGCTTTGGTGTCCAGATTGAACCTGGGAGGTCGTTGCAATGATGTAAGAGTAAGTCTAAGTACCGTGTCAGGATAATTCTTGTTGGATACTCATCGAGAAAGAGATTTTTCTCAAGCAGCACAACAGCAAATTGCGAAAAAGATTTGTCATGCTGTTGGTAAAGCAAAAATCTGTATGTTGATCTTACCACTGCTGAAAGATTCCGCTGCTGTAGCGCTCCGCTAATCGCTCGATGGGAAATCGGATGGTCCCGAGGTTTATGGCAAGGAAAAACCGGTTTGGCTATGATGAATTTCTCATGCGAAAAATTTGTTCTCTTGCACAACCAGACTGTGAGTGTGGAGTTTGTCTATGTAGATGCAAAGCGCAAGACAAATTCACCTCCTCAGCCAAAACGTTCCACTTTCCTAGGGCAGCGTGCGTATTCCGGCGAAAACTGGGGCTCGGGGCACTCGTAGATCACCAGGGAGAGTTATCACTCAGTGACAAGTACCACACGACCTAATCCCGCGTCTATTCCTTTCTGCTCGGGTTTTTTTTCACATGCATAGCCATAGCAAAGCGTCGAAAACAAGAATGAATGAAACAACACTATTTTCGGAGAACAGAGCCTGCTACTTATCGACCGACGCATGACAGAAACAGAAGAAAGGACCACGGGGGCGACGACGTGTAAATACAACACAGGATACCAAAATCGTGCTGATCCCTACTTCCACCGACAGACGTATGAAGATTGGAGACTGACACTCTTTCAAAAGTTCGCATATGTCAGTTTCCTCGGTAGTACAAATGACACACATACGCAGCTGCATCGTGAGTAAAAGATCAATGACCAGTTTTTGTTATCAAAATTACCAGAACAAATTTAAATTTCAACCACCAGAAAAGGAGAAATTTAAGTCGATCTCCATCATCTCCATAAAAGTCTGTGATCGGCCGATCACCTTTGTCGCTGCACCACCGGTGGAGACCTGTTTTTGATGTTTCGGAAAAACGATGTCGACACAGTCATGCTATTCGTCCATCTGAAAATGCATATGCAGTTCCTGCTGATTATGATTCAAATTTCTTATGCAGCGCCACCGTCATGGAAATAAACTCCTACACTTTACTTAAGTACGTTGGCGAAGTAGAACTGGTCCTGGGCCTTCGCATTGTGCACGTCGACCATGGTCACCAGGACCGGAATTGTGTCGGTACTCACCGAGCTTCCCATCTTTTCCTGAAAAATAGATGTGGCTACTTGTAGTAAAGGCTCGGCTTTGTACGTAGCCCGTCTCTACTTGACTTGCGTTGTTTCTTCGGACTCAATTCAAGGTGCGTCGCTCTATGAAGACAACAGAGGGGATGATGGCTGCAGTCTTGCTTCGGGCAAGAAGATGCAGCTCCACCGAAAGATAGATGACGTGAAGCTCAACTCTCTGCATCCACGTCGTAGGTGGCTGCAGTACAGAAAGAAAGTAGTGGAAACTACTTTTGTGCCCATCACTGAGAATGCACTAGCAGATCAACGTTATCAACAGCCCTCGCAGTTTTCGCGCCCCGCCTGATTGCCGGCGTGAGACGCAGGAATAAGTAGACGCCGGAACACAGACGCAACAAAGTGCACCGGCCACCCGGCGTGGATAGAAATTCAAAACCTTCGCAAGTGGCTTCACATATTGAAGTGCGTGCGGTGCAGCTTTTGCCAACGCCTACGCCAAGGAGCGGCCAGGAAGAGTGTCTTCCCCGGTGCGGAAGGATCGCCCGAAGAAGGCAACGCCACCCGAGAGGGCCGTCGCGCAATGGCGCCAACAGCAGCAAAGCCAAGCAATATGCCTGCGGCAGCGCTGTGTTCCCCGAGTGCGGGCAACCTGTGCGCAGCCTGCTGCGGGAAGAAGATCGCGCGCGCGGTGTCCCGCGGGTCGGTGGGCGCGCGAAGAGGCCGCGCCGCCCGGGTGCGAATGAAGTCATGACGCGGCGGGGCCGGCGGGCTCGGGGCCGGTGGCGCGCTCTGCGGTCGCGCCCCCAGGGGGAAAAGGCACACGCAACAGCCAAGGCCCTACGCGGCCAGGGCGGGCGGGGCGCACGGGCTTGGGGGGCGAGCGCGCGGGGGGCGCGCCAAATGGCCCGCCCCACCAAAGTCGGGGCCGATTGCAGGAACGCCGGCGGGCTTTTTTCCCCATCGCCATGCTACTCCAGCAGCTTCCCGAACCTCCTACCCCGAAAAAACTCTTCGAAAAGCGGGGCCGCCTGCTCCCTGACCGCCTGCGCTGTTTCGCGGGCCAGCCGAAGGGGGTGGCGTTCGGAGGGCCCCCCCGTGGCGGCCCGCTGTCCCGCCATGGGAGGCGGCCGCGCCCAAACGCGCGGCAAGTGCGCAGCGCCTGGCCCGCGGCCCCGCCGGCGCCGGCCCGCGCCCAATGCGCTATCGAGCGCCGCCCGCGCGGCTGCGCGCCCCGCCCAATTGACTTGGTGACACCGCCCGCGGGCGCCTGGTGGCTCCGGGAAGGGGCCCGCCGCTTCGGGCGTGGCGTTTCTCATACAATCACCGGGCCCGCCGACAACCCTTAAAAAGGCTGCCTGGCCCTTGAAGCGAGGCGCGCGCCATTTGCTGGCGAGCGGCGCGGCCAGTGGGTGCTGTGGCGGGCACTCCGGAGTGCCGGCGCGCTGGAACTCGGTCGCACCGGGGGCGGTCTCGGCACCGGTGGCAACTCCCAAAACTTTGGCGAAAACACCAAGCACACACGTGGCGCCTGCTCCACCCCCGCCGGCGCGGACGTCAACTCTAACCGCCTGCGCGCTCTTCAAAAACCCCCCCGCGGCGCGGCGGCGCTTCGCGGTCTCAGACGTGTGCCACTTGCCTTCTCTGCTTGAAATGAGAAAGGTCGCCGTTTTCTTTTCTTCCCGAACAGCGCTCCGCCCACTCCAACACTTCTCGATTAGGACCTGTTGGCCCGTGTTGCCTTGAGCAGCAACGAAAACCGCGAAGAACACTTTGAAAATCTCTGCTTTGTTCGCATGAAATACAACTGCGCGACTTGCCTGCTTCGCAATAATTATTTCGCTTCGGCACGGTTAAAAATGATTGCGAATACAAAGCTCGCATTACCTCCAATGCCTGCGGCGCACGAGGACACACAAGTGCTGCACAATGTAGGAAACGCCGCCAAAAAGATATACAGAATGTGTTCGACTTCTAAACAACTCGCTTCATGATCCTTCAAAAATTTCATCCGAGAAAGCTTGGCTGTGGAACTTCTTCTGCCATGAACTTTCATGAACCTCCTGAAACTACCTTACAAAGAATGAAAATCACTGTCCACATTAGATGAATTCTTGTGCTCAGCAGTCTGTGTGAGTGTGATTCTTTTTCCATAACGCAACCGGCTACATGCTCAGCATCAAAACCAGAAATAATTTTCCGTTGTAAAATGCGTAGTATTCACAAAAACTCTTCTTGGAAATCAACTTTCATAAATTAGAAATGGGTCGATATTCCCGATGTTTCTCCTTTCATTCAACTTCTAGTTTTATTAGTAAAAGTGTAAAACTAAAACGCAGTTGCTCTTCGATGTTCAGTTCTATTTGTCCCATTACATGATAGATTAAATTCATCAACCAGTCCACTACTGCTACTGCTACATCACCACGCATTGGCACATGTTTTTCTCCACAAACCGCACCTCGGCCTCGGTTTTCCGTAAATCCTTTTTCACCTGCGTCAACTCCGTTTGGATGCTGTCCAACCGCAGCAAAATTTCCGTCGCATAATCCGCGGTGCTGCACACTTTCGACACCTGGACGTGCTCCTCTAACTCCTGAATCCGCGTCACGGTCTCCTTATGGAATGCAAAAATGTCTGGGTCTGGAAGGTTGCAACTTGTGCTGCTGCCTTTGGATTCTACACAGAATCTGCATTGCGTGAACAGCAAAAGAGGTCCATTTTTTGTTACACCGAGAGGGCATTTCTCATGCAGTACAGGCATCACAAAGCCCTCAACAAATCTGTGATGCTAGGGCATGCATCAGAGACATCAGGAGTCATGCTAAATATGCATGACAAGCGCTGCTTTTTTCTAGACCCAAACATTTTTGCATTTGATACTCCTCTACCTCAGTTTTCGCATCCTCCAGTTTTACGCAGACCATACTTGGGTCCATGTGGATTGCAAAAATGTCTGGGTCTGGAAGATTGCAACTTGTAATGCTGTCTTTGGAGTCCAAAAGAATCTGTATTGCATGACCAGCAACAGGACTCCAGTTTGTGTTACGCGGAGAGGGCCTTTCTCATGCGGAATAGGCATTAGGAAGCCCTCTAAAAATCTGTGTTGCTAGATCATGCATCAGAGGCATCAATCATCATACAAAATATGCATGACAAGTCTGCAATCTTCCAGACCCAGACATTTTTACAGGTGATAGTCCACGCTGTCGTGCAACAGGTCCAGCTTGTTCCCCAGGTCCCCCAGCTGCCGCTGTATCATCAGCACCCGCGGCCAAATCTCCTGCGTAGTGCAGTCGTTCGCGGACAGGTGCGAGTTGAACTCTGGAGGCGAATGCCGTCGCAAAACTGGATGTAGCCAGAGGCACGTCAAAGTGAAAGTGAAAGTACGTACAGCAGCATCAATATTTTCATCGTACTGATATGTTGCCTATGGAGATCAAAAATGCTAGTACTATATGCGGAAAAATCATCCCAGAGAATCAATAGATACATCTCCGGCAACAGCGGACTACTTTCTTTCTGCTCCATCTCCCCATGACAGACTCTGCTGCGTCGATGGCACACCATCTGCATTGACTTGACTCTGAAGAAGAACTCTACAACTAGACCAAGGCATACTCGTGGTTTGCGGTGTAGAAAACGTCCGTCTCCTGCCGTTCCAGCTGGTGGTGCTTTTTGGCGAGCTTCTCCATCGTCTCTCGCACCGGAGTGGGAACGGTGAGACCTGTGGTCGACATCCCCCGCTGCAAGGAGGCCATGTCGTGGTCCTGTTTCGCGCTGGACGGTTTTTGTTGATTAGGTGGAGATAGACGCCCAGGCGTGAAGGTAGAACAAGTTCGGATCAATGTTCAATTGTGGTCGTCCACAACATGTATTTTTCAAATCATGTGATAACTCTTTATCTCCTTTCAGGTTACTACGTCCGACTTACACGACCTCCACGCCGCGGGGAGGGCCTCCTTGCCTCAACAGACTGAGTCGCAAGGACCGCAAAACCAACACAACCTAGCAATTTTAGTATCAAGTCAGAGCGTGAATCGACGAAAAGTTTGCAACAAGTGCATATTAAAAATCCGGTGTGAAGGAGCTTCTTCCAGCGGAGGTTGATAAATGAGCAAGACGCGAATTCATCTTTCCGGCGGGACTGAGATAGCACGTGCTTATTTCTCCTCGTCTTTATTGGAAAAGGAGCCTTGTTGCCTTTGCATTTTCTCTCGTCCTCTGCTTTATCTGAAGATCCTGCGCCGCGCCGCTAGTTGTAGTTATTCGGTTTACATTTTTATGCAAAAGCAAAAGGGTACTAATTTTTAAGACTCGTGCTCACCAACATCTCAACACATTCACAAGGGACGCGCGGTTCTACTGCCCAGGAGCACGACCGGGCACTTTCGCATTGAGGACACTAGTACCTAAATAAACAGGACAAGCGAACATTTTCGCATTGAGAACGCTAGTACCTGAACAACAACGAGCCGCTTTTCTTGCGCAAAAGGAGCTTCTCTCTCTCAGAGAAGAAATACATCGTGAGCAGATTTTCTGCGTAGCATTTTATCGCGGAATTAATGTGTGGTCGTGTTTGCATGTACTAGTTGAAGTCGCTTTATTATTTCGAAATAAAAGTAAAGTCGCACGAGCATTGAAACAGCGTTTATTGCTACGGTTTCATCTTTGTTCAGCTGCACTCGTAGTTTCTATAGCAAGCATTCATCAGGCAGTGTGCACCCCCTTTCTACCTGCAGTCAATGCACTAGTGGTCCCTGGCCGAACTTCTTGCTCGTTGTAAGCACTAATGCAAGTGAAGGCGCAAAGAGTTGAAGTTCTAAGTACTCTGCATGGTTCCAGCGCTCTCGTTTCTACTCGGCCTGCTTCTGCCGCTTCAAAGGTTTTTCCACATCTTCCTCGTCCCGTTCCACCTTCGCTTTGCAGTCTGCATTCCCGACTAGAGAGGCATTAGCAGCAGTAGCTTCCTCGACCTCCTGGACAAGATCTGCCGCAACAGCAGCAGTGTCCACATCGTCCGCTTCTCCCACTTCATCCCCTGCTGTCAGAACAGGACCTCGCGTCGTGCTATCGCTACCTGCACCTCCACGACTTCCCGTCTTCTTCTCAGCTCCAGCAGGGGGAAGGCCCGGTGCTCCTGGGGTTGCTCGTCCTGCACAAGGCTTCTTCTTGCCAACCACCCCTGGTACAGAGCTGCCACCGTCCGGTCTCGAAGTAGAACCAGCTGCCTTGTTCGTTCTTTTCACCAGTGTGTCGCGCTTCTTTTCCAGAATCTTCCGGACCCACTCGGTTTTGTTGTCCTTCGGCGCGTTGCTCCAACTCGCCCAAGAGATCACGTAGAACGAGTATCGCAGATTCCGAAACACCTGGTTCCGCAGCAGCGTGCTACCCGTGCTCACGCGGTCGACTTTAATATTTGTCTTCCCGGCAGTCGTGCTGACCGCATGTTGATCTACTCTACCACGAGCACTAGGAGCAGAAGAAGGCTCCTCCAGCACGGTAGTAGTATCCAGGACTCGCATCGTGTGCAAATCGCCGTCCACCTCTACGATGAACGCGGTTTTTTCGTTTGTTTTCTGCTCCTTATCCAGCCGCAAGCAGAAGTCGACTTTGAAAAGGTTCTGTAACTGCTGTACGGAGGTCGTAGCTCTTGCATAAATCTGATGGTCCACCTTCTCGTCATTTTTACTATCCACGGTTCTACTACCTGTAGTTCCCTTGAGGTTCCCCAAATTTTTATCCCCCCAGCCGTTCGCGAGAATGTCGTGCTCCGTGAAAATTCGCAGTCCCCCGAGGGATTTCACGCTTTCGAAAATTTCCTTGGAAACCAAGTGCTCCAGCGCGCCCTGCTTGGCCCTGCTCTGGTCGTTGTTGGCAGAACAAGTAGAATCGTGCTCATTCTCTTTGTTCTCTACTTGTGCTGGCTTGACACCCGCTAGACCCCCTACCCGCCATCCCGCCGGCACATCAAAAAGAGCAGGAGCCAAGCTTCTTCCAGAAGATGAAGAAGAAGAAGCACTATGAAGTAGAGCGTGATCCTGCTGCTTCTGCGCCGCCGTATTCATGTTGATCTCTTCGCTGTAGATTGCAAACGCGACCCTGGTGAGGGCTTCCCCGCGGAAGCTGTTGTGGAGCAGCTTACCCGTGTCCTCTCCCGGTAACAGACGAATTTTCTCCCGGAAAAACGCATCCATGGCCCGCAAAGTCCCTTCGTCGGCCTGATACGTCGTTTCAACAGCAACAGGTGTGTCGTTGGTTTTCCTGCTCGAGGAGGATGCACATAAAACGTCCATGCCCCCGTTCAACAACAGCACTCTTTTCCCGGCCACCGTCGCTTTCTTCGAAGAGCCAGAACCGTAGAAGTAAATCCCTTTTACCGCACCGACCGCCCAGAGAACGTCGGCCTTTTGCGCAATCGAGAACTCCGGCCAAAGCGCCGCGCTCAGGGGGAGAAAGTTGTCGAAAAACTCCGCTTGAAAAGCCCCGCACTTCGCCCAGGAGCCCACCGTGCTCACCAAGCGCGCCAGGGCGTCGGAGGACCTGTCCAAAAGGTCCGGTCTCCCGACGGTGGGCCGGAGGCAAGGTTTGAAGTCTTTTGCTGCTGCTGCTGCTTTTGTTGTTGATCCCGTAGTTCCGGGGGTTTTTAACATCTCAAATGATTTTATTTTCCCATGGTCCTCCTCCTCTGCGCGGAGGTGCATTTCCAGCTCTTGATTTCCTTTCCGATGATCTCCACCTCCAGGCTGCAACTGCAGCTTCACCTCCGCCCGTTTCGCCTGATAGATTATCAAGTCGGCGGACGATAACAACAAGCCTGGGTCGCAGAAGTTCAGTCTCTGCAAAGAGAACAGGACACTGCTGATCTCAGAGGTTGTACTAGCGTTGTCTTGCTTGTGAGAAGTGGAGGTTATCATACTGCTGTTTTGTCTAGAAGTCACCTGTCCGCCGGTACTAGTTGAGGATGCTGCTGTGCTTGTGGCCACTTCTCCCGCCTTCTTTCGGCACTCTAGAGCGGTTCTTTTGATGAACTTGTGGATGTCGCCGTTCAAGTTGTGCAACTCGGATTGTGGAACCACCTGGGCCACGCAATACAGCAGGTTCGACAAATCTTGCAAGTTGTACTGGGCAAAAGGCGTCGCGTTATCTTTTACCAGCACGTTATTCATTCCGCTCGCCTTGTTGTTGTTCCCGTTAATCATTATATCTTGTTTCCCAACACGACCTGCAGGCTGTTCTCCTTCTTTGGACGAGGCTTTGATATCAGTAACCGCAGATGAAGGAGCCGCACCAGCCTTCATTTGCGGGGTAGTACCAGTAGTAGTTCCCTGATGTTGATGCACGATCAGCTTTTGTAGCAACTTGCAAATTTCCACCCGCAGTTGCGATTTTTCGTCCGTTTTCCCCAAGTCCTCCTCGCTAGGCGACAGGTCGTAGGGCCGTTTCTGCCTTTTGCTCTTCGCGCTTGTAGTTCCTTTCTCCTCGTCTCCAGTGGCTGCCTGGGTTACCTTGCCCCCGGAGCCAGCACCGATGATTTCCTCATCTTCGCAGGAAAATGACCCGGCCCCGGAAGTACTAGAGGAGCAGCTTTGCCACAACTTCGTCGCGCAGTGGAGCAAAGTCACGATTTCTTGGGGTTTGAAACTGTCCGTCAGCGATTTTTCCCCGGTCGAATGGTCTTTGTTGACCCGCTTCAAAAGTGGCGTCAGCACTTGCGAGGGAAGCACGTTCAGCTTCTGCAACGCCCAGCAGAAATTCGACAATTCCCGCTGCACGACGCCGGTGAATTTAATGGCCGCCGCCCGCTCCACGATTTCCAACAACACCAAACGGAAGAGTCTGTGAAACAAAACCCGGTGCTGCTGGTGCTTGTTCTGCGGTCTCTTCTTCCCCGTCCCGTTTTCTACTTCCGAGTTCGTCGCCAACGACCCGGAATAAATTGTGGTCGGGAAAAATAAGTCCAAAGTCCCTGCAACTTTCGCGAACGCCGACACGAGGTTTACCAGCTCCTGCGGCTTGAAGCCGTTGAAACAGTACGCGAAGCTGTGCATCTTCAGCAGGTCGTACAGGGACAGCTGTAGGTCGTCGTTTTTGAACCACGCGTATCAACTGTAAAAGTGTCTGGGTCTGGAAGAATCCAACTTGTCATGCTGATCTTGGATTCTAAAAAAATCTGTATTGCATGAGCAGCAAAGAGAGTCCAAATTTTGCAGCACGGATAGAGCATTTGTCATGCGGAATAGGCATCAGGAAGCCCTCTAAAAATCCGTGATGCTAGGGCATGCGTCACAGACTTGAGGAGTCATGCAAAATGTGCATGACAAACCCGGCAATCTTCCAGACCCAGACATTTTTACATTTGATAACGCGGTGCTGTAAAGCCTCAAGGCCGTGTTGGCGGTTTCCAGGGTCAACTCCCTCTCTCCGTTTTCGATCATGGCCTGGAAAGCGGACAGCTGCTTGTCGAATGAGTTTGATGATGTCTTGCTACTAGCGGTAGAGTTCTTGCTGCTGCAGTCGTTGATCTCAACATCTCCTGCTGCACCAGTCAATACTTCCTGCTGTTCGTTGTTCCTGTCCACCTGTTCCTCTTCGTGTTCACTGTCCGTGGAAAAATTGTCGCAATTCTCGTAGGATTCCAGCAATTTTTCCGCGAGGAAGCAAACCGCGTTCTCGAAAATTTTCTATCGCATGAAAAAACTGTTTCACTGTGAACCTGTGATGCAGAGAACAAAACACCAAACTGTTTGTCTTGCTACACCTGCAAGACATTGGATTTTTAAGCGTGCTTTCCCTTGGGACACGCGCATGGCAAATTTTCTGGGTCATGTGTAGCAAACTTGTGATGCGGTTCTTGCAAAATCATCACAGTGAAACAGTTTTTTCGTGGGATATCTTCCGGATCATCGGCAATTGCTCGTCGGCCTTTTGTATCAAATGTAAAAATCCCTGGATGTCTGGAAACTTGTGATGCTGCGTGGCGTCTCATGATGAGGCCACAAGTGCTGGCCCAGCATGACAAGTTTCTGAGGTTCTAGGTGTTGCCTATTCTGCATGACAAACTGCGTTTCTGCATGACAGAAAAATGGGACTCTTGGGTGACGCGCATGACAGATTTACGGGTCATGCCAGACAAGCATGACAAACATGCATTCTTCCAGACCCAGACACTTTTACATTTGATATTTTGTGGTGAAACGGGCTTCGACGTCGATTTGTTCGCTTTATTGTGTTCGCTAGAAGCGGTTGTACTTGTGGTTGTACTACTAGTACTACACGAGTTGTTCCTTTGTTCTTTCATCTGCAATACCTTGGCTCTCGCCAGCACCTTCGGCAGCACTCGGACCAACGAGTTGCAAATGTTGGCGACCGCCTGCGGAGTGTACTCCCGGAAGCCGTCCTGCAAGATCCGCTGCAGCAAGCAGTGGGGGATGCCGGCTTCCGTGCTCTGCAAATCCAAGTGGATCACTCGGCTCAGGGCCGTGGACACGGAATATCAAAAGGACAAATGATCCCCCCGCCCCATATTAAAACGAAGTTTCTGATGCTGGATTTCCATACACCAATCAGATTTGTCTTGCAGTAGAGGACTGCAGGCATACGCCATGTCTGAGCTGAGGGGTTTTGACTCAGGTGCCTACTAGCATCACAAATGTCTATGCTGTACGCCGAGCAGCATTACAAACCGCCTGCATAATGTGGCGGAATCTCTGGGCTTGCCCTCTCGCAAGACAGACAGGATTTGTGGTCACAAATCTGCATCACAAATTTTCAGAAGTATGCGTTTTCAATATGGGGAGGGAGGATTTTTCCTCGCAATACGGAAATGGCGTCAAACTCGTTGACCACGGACCCAATGAACTGCGCGATGCTATGCTTCGATTCCGCTTTGATAGCGTCCGCAAGTTTTTTCTGGTTCGTGTCGGTGCGCCAGGGGGAAATGAACCGCCGGGTTTTATTTTTCAACGAACCTCCTCCTCCTCCTGCAGCTGACCCGCTTGGATTGTAATTCGCATGACTGTTGATCACGTCGAGTAAGGCGTCCTGGATGGTGCGCAGCCGTCTTTTCGGAAGTGCAGTTAGTCGGTTCACGCCCTTCAGAACCGAGGTGGGCGCCTTCACCAGACAGAAGTAAAAATCCTCGTTCATCATTTCTTCTGCGTTCTTGCTGCGAAGTGCTGTTGCGGAAAATATTAAATCCTTTGCTTGACGATTAGTGCTCACCCAGACTCCAGTGGTTCTGCCTGGGGTTTCCGAAGTTGTTTTTCGGCTTGAAAATGACTGCGGAACAAGGATTTCGGTCTCGTGGGACAGGCGTGTAACACCCCCCCTACAGGACGTTCCTGCGGAAGCAGGGCGGATCGTGTTGGCGCTCGTGGTGGCCACGGTCGCTGGGGTCGTTTTGGAAACAGCTGAAACTGCAGCGACAGTAGTGGACTTCTTTGTCCCCTTTTTTCCCTCCCCTTTTCCCTTCGCGCGATGAGGACCTGCTGGAGCATTCGTCTTACCTTCCCTGGAGTGCTCATCTGCAGGCTTTTTTTTTGGCTCCGCCGGTTTCTTCGTGTCTGCCGCGGGCTTGGCCACGGGACCCGCTTTGGCAGCCTTGTTCAAAGCTGCGCTCTTCGTCATTTTTGATGTCGCTCTGGTCTGTATGGTCGAATAGTCGAGAAGTGGGAAAACACAAATCTGAATTAGGGGAAAATCAACAACCAGAAATTGACTACATGAAATATTTCTATTGCACGAGCGGATGAAAACACAACGTATGCGAAACAGTGGTGCTTTCTACTTATGTTGCGCAAAAATCCGACCGCTGTTGGATTAGAATTGAGAAGGAGATGCAATTTATGGATATGGGTTTAAGCAGTGACAGCACGAGAAAACAGATTCAGACACATTTCCATCCGGTCCTCCAGACTGACCACGACCGACGCATTTTGTGTGTTTTGAGAACGGAGCCGATGCCGCGCGCGCGCAGGCAATGGCTGGGCCGCCGGGGCGGGGCCAGAGGGGCTGGGGCAAAAGGGGTTGGGGCAAAAGGGGTTGGGGCAGCAGGGGCGGAGTTAGCAGGGGTTGGGGCCGCAGAGCCGGGGGCAGCTGGGGTTGGGGCAGCAAGCAGGCGGCCCGGACTGGGGCAGCAGGGGGCGGGGCAAGCAGCACGGAGTGAGGCAACCACCGGGGCCTGGGGCAAACAATAGGGCTTGGGACAACAGGGGCTGGGGAAGCCGGGGTTGGGGCGGCCGAGATTGGGGGCAGCGGGGGTCGAGGTTGGCCGGGGCAGGCCACGGCAGGGGCGGGGGAAGGGGCCGAGGTCGGGGTCGCTGAGTGGCGCCCGAGGTCGGGACAGGGGCCGAGGCTAGGGGCGGTTGGCCCTTTGCCAACTTCCGGCCCCTCCGGCCCGGGATCGCCCGCCCCTGCTTCTCTCATCAAGCAGCCCCGGTTGCCAATAAACCCAAGCCCAGCGCCCAACGTGCCCCGGCGCCCAAAGCCTACCTCTGACCCACCCGGCCCAGCCGCGGCCGCGCCGCAGATAAAGACTCCGGGCCGTTGGTTTTGTGTCTCGATGCTTGCGTGGGGTAGTATTGATCGCGAGGGCAGTCGGGCGCTTTTTGTCTTTTTTTATGTTGATGGGGCGCCGGCCGAGTCGCAGTGGCGCGGCCGGGCCGAACGGTGCTGCCTCAGGCCGGCCGGGGAAGGTAGGCGGTTGGCTGGGCGCCCGACGTCGAGTAGACGCAGCAGGAGCTCGCTGCCCCTTCTTTCTTCATTAACACAGACAGCAGCGCCATATCGAATAAGAGGGGGGGCGGCAGGAAGTTGCAATGACGGCCCGAGGCGCCACGCAGCTAGCTGGTGGGTTGCTCAGAATACAAAGCTGCGCCGTTCTCTACCTCGCTCTGCTGGCTTGCTGTTTGAGTTTGCAGTTGGTTCGCCAATCACATCAAGGGCGATAATCCTATCAGCAAAAACCGGGCACATATTCACCTGAATTCGGTGAATTTTGGGAGGTATTTGAACAACAAAAAGCGCACTATTTCGGTACTCAAATATGCTAGCAGATTTCGAGCGACTTGAAGATGAAGGGACTGTAGCACTGAGTATTTCCATCCGGTCCTCCCGACTGACCACGACCGACGCATTTTTTTGTGTTTTGGGAACGGACACGATCCACTTCGGGTTTGATTTTCTTTCTCGGAACCAATGGAGGGTGATCGCACTATTCACAGACACAGTTGTGCTTTCATCGTGCCTGGTTATTCTGTAGTTTCATCTGTTGAACTTACATTTGAATTAATCCTTTTCTTTCTTCCAGACCACATCTCCCAGACGACATCAGAGAAAGCGCTACTAGACAAAGATCGCTATTTGGATGATCAATCACGTGATCAACTTTTTCTTAAGGCAGGTCCTGCATTATGCAGATTTTGTGGATCATTTTCAAATTGTTTCGAGCACAGGATCTACTTTTCTCTCACGTTCATCGTCATGCGTCGCGTTCTCGCGTCGATCAAGTCGTCCTCAAATGGAACAGCACGAAGTGTTTGCTTCAACTTCCTTCGAAGTTCAGAATGTGTTTGGCTGGAAGTTTTTATGAAGGGAAAGGAGAAGCTTTCATGTAAGCGAAGTCAACCTCAACGCACAAGCAAAATTTGCCGCCGATCGCGTGTCACTGTATTGTGACTACTTATTATACCAGTGATGTTGTCTACTTCGGCGCGCCTTTTTCTGTGTGTCGAGTTACGCTTTCTTTTATATTATAAAGGATATGGCTTTGTTTGGAACTGTCTAAACTGAGAACGGAACTTTTTCGCGACTCTTGGATCCTTCCCCGCCTGTTCTCGTGTTTTTTCAAAAAAAAGAGGCGAGACTGAGAACGGAACTCGAAGCCGTGAAACAAGTGCGGAAACGGAAACGGAGAAAAATCCGAGAAGCCCCGGCCGGCCAGCGCACAGGCGGCCGAGCCATCTCGGCTGTCTGCTAGAAGCGTGGCGACCTTCGAAGCAAAGCAAATCCCTGAGCGGGGGAGGCCTAAGCCCCGTGGTGCCCCTCTCTTGCGCGCCCTCCTGTCGCTGCGCGGCGTTTTTCTTGATGTTGTTTCTATAGCCAAGCAGAGTCAGCTTCAGCAAACGGGCCGAGCTTGCGCGCTCAGCCGGATGCTTGGGCGGGGATGCCAGAGAAGGTCGCCCGCCCGCGAAGTTAGGCGCGGCGGAGCTTGCTGCCAGAGAGGCCTGGCCATGAAATTAATAACCGGCAGCAACCCGCGAGGAGGGCCGAGCCCCCTACCAACCTAATGAGGCTAGCGGTGGCCGTCCAACAGCGGGAAGCAAGGAACACAATGAGCCCGGCCGCCGTATAATAGACACAACCACCCAAGCCTGCGCTCTAGCTGCCACTGCTGGCCCGCGCTCGTCTAGCAACCGCTGCATGGAGAGCCTGCCACGGCAATTGGGCTGTTTGCCTTTCCATCGGTTATCCCGCAGTCTTCCGCACCCAAGGAGGGGCTCGTCTCTTGGATGTGACAACCACATCCAAGGGGCCCTGGGGCACGGAAGACTGCGAAAGAACTGCCGGCGTTGGAGCTAAGGCTGGGCGGAGGGCCGTATCTATGCCCCACTGCTGTAAAGCTAATCGGCCCAAAAAAGGGCGCCCCAACTTCCGCCACTGGGGGGCCACATCGGCCTTCTTCCATCGATCATGAGAACAGCGCGCCGCGCGTCTCCCCAGCATCGGGAGCTAGGTGGCGTCTGACCTTTTAGCCCCACATAGGGGGCTAACTTTCCTGGCCTACGCCTCTAATAGGAGCAACGCCTGGAAGTTTGCCGCCGCCGCTGGCACCCGCGCATATCCGCGGGACGCCAACCATTAGCAAGAAGAACACACATAGACGGGGCGGGGGCCGTGGCAAACGAATGGCGCGGGGCGGACGCAAATCCCGCAAATTTTGTCCCCCCTAAGAGAAGAAGGAAAGAGAGAAAAACAGAAAACGAAACTTGAAGAAGAAAACGAGCTTGACGCTGAAGCTGAAGAGAACGAAAAAAAACAACACACACGAAAGGAAACGGAATGGCGACAAGTGCGAAGCGCCACGGTGTGGTGGCTGTTGGTTCCGTTCTCAGTTTAGATAGTTCCGAAAAAATCCGATCCCTATTATAAATATAAGTACATGGGGGAAGAACAGCTGCTTTGGCGTGCTTCGAGACGGGTAGGCTGTGTTTGATGGATCGTGTGAAAAAAATTTCTTCGAAATTTGTGGAAGTTGGGATGGCGGGTGGGTGTCTGCCCAGTAAGTTTTTCTTTTTTTATGTGTGTGGGTTCGGGTCGCGTCTGTGCTTGGTGCGGGATGAGATCGTATTCGTACCTCTTTGCGTCAAAGAGTGGAAGACGTACGTCGCGAGCAGTCCTCTATGTACTTATCTTTGGCCTTCATCCTCTACTAACCCAGTTACTAGGTCGTTGTAAAGAGTCAAGGACTTTGACGCTGTGCGAAATACGGCTTTCTTGGCTTCGTCGGCGTCGAAGATGCCATAAAAATTCACTTTCACGAAGACTTTTTCTACAGTTCGTGAAAACGTGAAAAAATTTCTGCGCGTTAGGGTACTTCAAAAGGTTGCGGCGCTTATCGCTTTTTACAGTCGGAAAAGTTAGGGTATAAAAGCTCCCAAAGAATGAAAAACAACATGTGTGTTCGCCTCTAGGTGGGCGAGAAACTGTCTGGGCACTGTCGAGTTTTCTGCGAGCAATTGTCTGCTTCAGAGCGAAACTCTAAAACATCTTGCAAGGCGAGGCACCACCCGTTTTAGCGGTGACCGGCCTCGCAATTGGAGTCAGCCAAAGCAACCACCTCATCAGCAATGGCGTACAGAACAGGTCAGCGGCTTGCTGCCTGTTCAGCCCCCGACTAACCTTCGTGAAGTATCTCAGCGTGAGATCTTTCGAAGTCAGGCAGAAACGCAAGACCTTAGGTTCCGGAGAACCAGACAAGCTACAACAAAATGTCGTAGCCCGGTAACCTAGACGCCGCTGAACTTCCTGGGGAACCGAAGTTATGTCCAGGTCGTCCAACCACCTGCGGCCTCGTCTCCTCTCTTTGTCGTTTTCTTTTTCTACCCCGGAGACTCGGCTGCCAATCTGTGTCGCTTATGGGGTTTTCTTTACTTTCTTTTGCGATCTTTTCTTTTTTTTTTTTTTTTGAAAATGGTCGAGCGCGTGCTCTCTCTCACCTCTGCCTTTTGCGTCTGCGGCTCTTGGTACTATGGCTAGTGTGATGACTCCGAGCAAGTCGACAGATAATGCTACTAGTCTGCCTCTTGCACTTAGCAAAGTACCAGGAAAATGATACTATCCGTAAGTTTGGTCTCAATGCGAGTTGTTCACTTTGGGAAGAGAAAAGATCCAGAAATATGGAGGAATAGCTCGCGCCACTTATCGCCAGTCGCGGTGGCTCAAAAACAAACGAAAACGATCTATGTAGAAAAAGGAAAGATGATCTTGAGGCTAGCTTGTCTAAAGCCTCGGCGCGCTGCAGTAGTTCTTTTTGTTTTGGACGAGCAGCAAAAACGAGATTTCATTATTTGAACCTCCGCCCTTGCCTGGCGACAAAGCTTTGAACGATCCTTGCTTGAAGTGAATATTTAGGCTTTCCCAAAACTGCTTGGGTTTTCCGGATCTGTGTTCGTTGTGTTACTTTTCCTTTTAGCGCGATACAGTGGAGAGAATGCGATCCAGAAACAAAATAAAAGCTCTGATAAGGTGACGCAACTGTGTGTCAAGGTCGTCGCACTGTTTACCTACGGTTCTGATAGCCTGAGTGTAAAGAGAACTGCGTAGAAGGACCTTGGCTTTTTGAGCAGATCTGTGCCCCGATGCAAGCACTAGTCTTATTGATCTTGCTCTATCTTTCTCTTTTTCACCGCCTCCGCGGCCTGAGCCATCCACTCGTCTGGGATGTTGTCCTCCTCTTCTTCCCGGCTGGGTTTGTCTGTTTTCGCCCTGCGGGGCCACGATTGTGCGTCTTGGAGCAGGTCCTGGGGCTTGTTTGCCGCTAGTAGCAGTCTATTTAGCTGCTTTCGTGGCTCTTTGCGGATGAGCTGCAGCACGTCTTTCCCGTGATGATCTTTCGCTTCCGGGACAGCAGCACGTCTTTCCCGTGATGATCTTTCGCTTCCGGGAAAGAATGAAAAACAAAAAGTAGAAATGATAAATCAAAAACCAACTGCAGAAATGAGGTCTATCGCAAAGATTGCGACTGACTTCACAACTGCGCAAGGCCTAGTAACAGAGTACTTTCTCGTTCTCAACCGTGTACGGTGCAGCAATGAAGCATAAGGCTTCGTTCTGAGCCAATGAGCATCAGTCAATCAGCTGTGCATGGGGATGCGCGGGCTACGGACTAAAACGCGTGCTCGTTTAACCAGTTATTCGCTTTAATCAAATTGCTCCCTGCTTCGCTGAATTTCTCTCCAACCGCGCTGAATTTCTCTCCAACCGCTGACCCAGCAGAATTCATGGCTGATCCGGCCTTGCGGGCCAAGTGCCCCCCATTAGTACCTTGCAAGTACTGCCCCGCCGATTGGAGATTTTTTTTGTTATTATTTGCCCATTCTTCGTTGGAGTTTGTCCATCTTCCACTCAGCGCCTCTGTAGGGTATTTGTAATCTTCATCCACCGCCGCGGAAGCGGACCTCGAAGCCGCGACCTTCTCCTTCGCCGCGCGCGCCGCTTTCCCCTGCTTCTTCGTCTGAGAGCTTTGAGTGTTCGCCTTGTCGCGGAAGAACCCGAGCATGTTCGCACCTTCCAAAAACGTGTGCGTGTCGGCTGCGAACTCCGCGAAAAACGGAAACGACTCGGCATCAAGAACTTCAGCCCCGGACTGATCTTCGCCCATGAATTCCGCCGGCTCCAACAAATCACTCCTTGCCGCAGTGGAAGAAGCTCCGTCCCGGCCAACCTTCGCCGCCTGGCGGGAGACGGCCGCCGCGGTGCGCGGACTTCGCACCGCCGCGAAGCGGTACTGACCACTGTCCTGCTCAGCCGTGGTGGATCCTGCGTTTCCGGCGGGGGCTGGATTTTTCCCGAGCTCGTTCTCCTCCGGGAGCAGCATCATGTGCGACCGTTATCAAATGAAAAAAATACCTGGGCCCTCTGGGAGATGAATTATGCGTTTGTTTGTCACGGACAGGCAGAGGCAGAGGATCATTCGGGACGCACATATAAGCACTCCTTTTTATACCTTTTCCGAAGGCTTCTTCACACCTAAGTACCCCGCATCAGAAATTTGGCACTCGTCCTTCCGTGACAAGAATGAGTGGGCAACAACTTCTGTCTAATATTGCGGCTCATACATGATACAACGCAGATTTTTCTTGTGTGCTAGGTAGTAGCTCCAGCGTTTTCAGCATCACAGGTTTGCAATCTATCATCTCCCAGTAGACGACCCGGTTGTTGCAACATCTTTGCGATGCATAGCGGTCCTTCGTTGTCCAGGAAACGCGGTTCTTGCGCCACCGCTCCGACCAAGTGCGGCAAAACCGCAGTCGCCGCCCCCACCTGGAGAGTCGTGGCAGTGGTCTTCTGCCCCCCCCCCCCATTTCCACGGCGAAGGGGCGCCGGCGAGCCGCCCTTTTCCTGCGTGGAACTACGCTTGCCCATGGTCTGGTGCTTGGAGGTTGCTACTACTTTACTGAACGGAGGCAGACCGAATAGTAAGACTAAAAGTAAAAACTCTCCTTGTGTGAGAGCTTTTTGAGTAGCTGTACTAGTTATGTGTAACTGGGATTTTCCGGAAACAAAAACGCGAATACTTCCTGCGCACATGATGGACCGGATCGAAAAAGCGATGCAGCTGTAACTACCATACCGAACAACGATAATATCCTTGAAACGAACAAGGCGACGCAACGAAATTCCTTCAACGCACGAAGCTGCTGGACGGTGTGCACGACGGAATAAAGACGACAAAGACCACAACAGTCAAGAACATTTTTCAGCACGAATCAGCACACAAAGGATTTGTACGAGAAAGATAGATTGCAATTTTATTTGCAAGACGAGCAGAGTCTACAAAGTGAACGGCAGCGTAGTCGCGCAAGAAAACTATGAGCATACAGTTTCTACGCTCGAGTTTTACTCGCACCAAGCAAATCTGCAGAACAACGGCGCCCTACAGTTGTTTACTATTTCACGTCGAAAAAATTGCTCGCGGCATAGAAATCGCATCCGCTCAACATTGGTTTGACTTGGAATTTCGTTCGTGTCGTCAGATTTGGGAAGTCGTACTAAATTCGCACTTCTTGCGTCAACAGCCGGGGGCAGGGGTGCTGCTCGCAGTTTCAGGTTCTCCATCAACAAAGTATGCGGCAAAAGAAAATCGCAGAGCGTGGCTTTCGCTTTCGCTACACTTTCACTTCTGCCACAGCTGCAAGGGAGAAAACAATTAGGAAGAGCGAGTCGTGGCTAAGCGGGACTTGTTGTCGGAACGAACGCACAGGTGGAGTTATTTTGTCATCATGATCACATGGGCTTCTTAAAGTACGTTTTCACCATGTCCACGGCTTTCTCCACTGGTGGGACTTTTGACACCACCGGGTCCACTTTTTCCCCAATGACGCCCCACGCCTTCTCGTGCACGGCCTTCGATCTCGGTGCGTGGTATGCCGTAGAAAAATTGTACACACATACCATAACAATCAAATATAGTGTGCCAGGCTGCCCTATTGCGTCACAAACAAATCCCCTGTTGGCTGTTCATCAGCATGACAAGTTTTCAGGCCTAATTTATTACGCCGCCTTCTACATTACGTTCTCGATTCCGCATGACAGCAAGTTGCCGCTGTTGCATATCAGAAAGTTTTCTGTGGCCTCGGAAAAGCAGCAATACAAGTTCCCTTTTTTTCTCCTATGGGTGGTGTGCGTTTTTCTAGGATACATGGTAGCGCATGCGGAGGTATGAATTGAAAATGCATCGCACTAGTAGTAATTGCATTACAAATTACCTCAGCATGACAAATTCCTACAGCTACAAATGGAATTTGTCATGCTATTTTACCTTGGGATGAAGATTTGCAATGCATAATCGCGATTACTACGAGTGCGATGCTTTTGCACTGGATAGGAGAAACTGCCAGTACAGCAGGACGACGAGGAACTGCTTATCGAATGCAAACGCGTCTCGGTCTCCTGCAAAGCTGTATATATGCATGTCTGTGAGTGACGGCAGCACTGAAATACGCATCCAGCATGCCAAGTTTTTGTTTTTGAGCCCCCGCTATGTGCTGCGGAATATAATAAGTAACTGACTCCGCATGACAAGCTGCGTTTTCACCTGACAGGTAAGAGGGCCCCCTTTCTTTGGTTTTTGTGCATCACAGAGCTCCGAGTCATTCTCATTTCAGACAAGCATGACAAATACCGCAGCAACTTTCCAGACCCAGACATCTTTGCAATGTTGAATACTGCTTGTTTTCGAACAAAAAAATCCCGAGTATCAGGTACCACCCCAGCAATACTTCCGCAATATCCCGCAGAAAAAAGCAGGCAGGTCATATTCGTAATGCAAAAATAAACAGACCACAAATAAAATCTGTATTGCGTGTCCTAAACAGCATGCTATGGGCGAGCCCCTTGAGGGATCTTTTACTTTTTGTGAGTTATTCATTCTATGCATTACAAATCTGACCTGCCTGTCTTTTTCTGCGGGATACGCAATAGTCGCCGCAAGAAGCACTTCCGGCTCCTTCGCCACAAGTTCGTCGATCGTAGTCTTGTAGGCCTGGATATCCTGTGTGAATAAAGCGTAGTACCCACCCCCTTCTATTTCTCATACAAATGTGCAGGCCCCGAATAATGCGTGTCATCATGCGCGGCCCAATCAATCTGCCAGGAGCATGGTCCAATGCTAGTTGTATCTAGATATTTGTCATACCCGCCACATACACTAGGACAAGCGGAAGGCAAGGATTTATGACGCGCCTGCGCTAGTAGTAGCTATCCACAAAAACAAACAGTAGCTGTACGACTATAGACCCGGACTTTGAATGCGCAAAAGCGAAAGTGACTTCATGGCACCTTCTGTAGCAAAACTGCCACTCATTTGACCATGGTGCGAGTACGCTTTTCACTGGGGATAATGGAGCTGCGGCACGTGCGGGACAAATTTTACGATGTGCCTGAGTTGATTTATTTCATTTCTTCCGAATTTCCATATTGTATTTCCGTGTTGTGCATCAAGTCAAAGTAGTTTATATTCATCCAAGTTGTAGCACAATACAGACGACGAGAAGGTACGAGTAGAAAGAACCGTAGGAAGACACATCTAAGACTGATAAACGGACGAAGATTTGCTGGTCATAATAATATCGAAAAGCCATTATCGAATCATCTATACTTTGTCAGTGCTGTGAAACTTCTTCTCGCCGGCACTAGCAGCACCAGGAAAAACGGGTCCGCGCTGAAAAAAATCAAAACGTAAAAGAGCCACTGGAACTCCACCCCCGTGGAGAGTTTCCCGAGGTATTCTTTGCACTTTCCCCAGCCTTCCCGAATGGGCGGCGGACCGTTGTTTGCGGATCTGTGAGAGACCAGGACGTAAATATAAGGGCGATGGAGGGTGATAATTTTGGAGAGTTGCTCTACTAATCCAGCACCGGCCCAAGTTCTTGGACGGTGTCGATGATGATGACGCTACGTTGCGCCACTTAAAGCTACGATACAAAGACAAAGTGAAAGTGACTCTCTGCTGATGCTGCATGCTGGAAATATTGAACTATCTGAGAAGAAGATCAACATCAGTTCTTTTTGTCAAGTTTAGCTGCAATGATGTGAAGATAAATGTAAGTACATTGTGACGCAGCTTCCTGCGAAAGCCGTCCAAAGTGCTGCGTAGTAGAACCAGTATTGGAAGGTAAACCCGATCCAGTCCAGTCCCGGAATCATGTACACCATCGTGAGTACGAGCACCAGTGTGTGTATGTGTATCACCGTCTGATTCACATCTTTACCAAACCTCTCCAGCGGGGCGCGGATCCGCTCGGGAATGTACGGCTTTATCCTCTCGTAGTTGTTGTACAGCAGGCCGGCAACGGCCAGGACCACGATAAATTGCATCATCTTCTTGAGCGATAATTCTCCGGCTCGTTGTCAAAAATCTCGAAAGCGTAAGCGACTATAAAACTACACTAGGAAGGTGATACATTCAATCAAATACACGTAGTCAGTAGATTCGACAGCCCCACTGAAAACAAGTGGCGAAAAAAAATCGCGTTGGGGCGTGTACTAGCTGAAGCTGTTGTACGAAGCAAAATTATAGTATTCCGCTTTTCTCTTCCCTATACAGCCACGCAGCTTGTCCACGTGGCAAGATCAGGACTCTTCACTGAGGGCGGGTCTGCTTCGAGTATTTAGGGACTGTTAAAAAATTCAGAAAAAAAAAGGTGCGATCATGATCATGCAGCCAACTACTGCGTCGGCGGGATCCACTTCTACAGAGAGCGACAGAGATCAGCGTCTGTTCTTTGTCCTGTCGTGACATGGCGTCGAGACTGAGTTCTTCAATTGCAACATGAAATTCATTTTATTTGCACCGGATATTTACTAGAGCTCCTCGCGAAACAAAATGATCATCACCTCAAATAAAACAATCAGTTGAAACAGAACACATATATAGGTCCCCCCGATGGTACCGCTGTTGTTCCACCATGGAGCGGGAGCGCCAAGCGCTGCTACATTTTCCTTGCTCGCTGCGTATCTTCTTGTTCTATGCGAATCAATTATGTTGAAAAGGAAACTTTCATCGAAACAATAGTACTCGCTGCAGATGAGACTGATATCATCAACAAGCAGTCGTCAGGTGTTTGAATTATGTCGCGCAATTTGACCTTAATCAAAGAAGCTAATACTCGTCGGGTTAGAACGAATCTCCGCGAAATCGATAAAGATGAAGTAATCTCATTTGTTTCATCTTCGCCGCATCATAAAAAATTCGTAGCAAGAACGAACAGCGGTCCTCTCGCAAAAGTTGGAACAAGGCCAGAAGGAGCCGCCCCAACAACGTCGCCGAAGAAACAACCGTCTCCCTGTTACTGAAAGGTCGGGGCACCCCCTCCGCCCACTGGTGGGGCAGTAGTTCCCGGGCCGGTCGTCAATGGTTCTTCGTCTTTAAAGTAGAAGTAACTGCTCGAATTATCCTTATTTTCGACACCCCCACCATTTGCGCCAGTCGTTGTAGCTCCTGGTATCTGTGAAAAAGAGCTGAACCAGGACGAAGTTGTTCCCTCTTCGGAAGGAGTTGTAGTTGTTGAGCCGCTCCTTCCCCACGACAAGTAGTCCGACAAACTACTATTTGTCATCGACCCACCACCACTAACCCCGCTCGCTGCTCTGTCCGCCTGCTCCTTTTGCTGTCTCTCCATTTCTATCATGTTCAGCGCCTCTTCCCGTGGCGTTTTTGTCGTGGACCGCATCAGCAGCGCGGCGACGCCCTCTATCACGGTGAGGATGACGCCACCCATCACCGCGGACTTCCCGGCTTGCTTCCATCCGGCACGCGCAGCGAGGACGCCACCTGTGATAAAGTACTTAAGTGCTCATATAACGTTGGTTGATGTTGAAGTGCCTTTTGCATGACAAACTTCTGCAGGAGATCCAACAATCTCAAACTACTGGACGATTACGAGCAGAATCGCGAAAACAGTAACAGAACACGGCACGACCGTCCAAAAAGTAAATTTTCAGTTCAGTACCCGTCAAAAACCCGCCGGCGATGTTGTTTATTACAATGAAAAACGCCCCCTCCCCATATCAAAACGGAAATCTGTGATGCAGATTTGTGGTCACAAATCAGCTTTGTGATGCTAGAGGGCAAAAGATGCGGACTGTAGTGCTGTCTAGCGTGGGAAAGCCTTGCAGCTCCAGGATGACAGTAGGCAACTGGAAGTGGGAAACAGCATGACAGATTACCTGCAATTTAGGCCGCAGCTTCGTCTCTTGGCCTTCTAGCAATACAAGTTGATTTGTGTACTCAAATACAGCATCACAAATTCGCGCATCTTCCGTTTCCGAAATGGGGCGGGGGCTTTTTTCACTTTGATATTGTTCCAGTGGTCGTCTGTCTTTCTCAGGTACTGCAGCGTGCAGTCGAAGGAGCTGAAGGTCCCGCCCCAGACGGCGAAGTATGGAAGTGTCACGATCGAAATCGACAAAGTCGGAATAATCTGTAATGCATAAAATCGATACCAGTTGGAGCCGCAGTTGCCAAGTGGCGCATAACAAATTTCGGGAGCGCCAACATCCAGTCTGTCATGCTGTTTGGGCAAAGAAGACTGCTCCTGTCATGCTACTCTGGCAGCAGCATATCGTCTTCCCCAGAACAGGCTTGCACTCGGCCTCTTTTGCCTGCTCCCCAACACAGGCCATGCGTGCCCTCCATCTTATGCATCACAAATTTTTCGATTTTGTCCCTTTCGATCCTGAGGCTTCCATACGAAGTTCCCTCCGAGTATGGGCGCGCGGCTGGTGGCCGCAAACATCGCCCCCGCGAAGCGCTTATTCTGTGCAAAAGTATCGCATTCGTATAAATGCAAGTCTTGCATTACAAATCTCTCTTTTAAGGTAAATCAGCATTACAAATTTCATTTCTCCCGCTGAGAAAATTTGTAATGCATTTATACGAGTACGATACTTTTGCAGTTCATAACGCTCCCCCTTGGGCGAATTCCGCGCGCCCCGGACAAAGTGCCACAGAAACCCACCGATGCACCCCATGCCGAAGGCGCCGCCGAGGTCCTCCACTATGCGGTCAGGGCAGGGTTCGCGCCCCGCGTCCCGGTCATGCTGCTGGTCCTGCCAATGGGCGGAGGAAGAGGAAGAGGCGGAGGACATTGTCGTGAGGCAAGAGAATAAAGTACCTATTTAGTGGTCGCTCTGCTGGCTAGTAAAGAATCGAGATAAACTGGTCGTGTAAACAGCGATGAGTCCGAGAATAAGCGAGAGATTTACTTTTACAACTTTGTTCAAATTAAAGCGCTAAGCGGAGCAACTAGAGCAGAAAAGGTTTCTCTTTATCTACTTCGATTTGTCGCCTGGTGAGAGTACAACCTGATGTTGGTGATACTTACCTTACTTCCGTCGGAAAAAAAAACTACTTACACGTCTTGTCTCGACGGTGGTGGAGACACAGACACATTAGGATCAAAACACGACCAAAATCTCTCGTTGCGATAAGAGCCTGGTGGCGGTGCTACTTCCATCTTGTAGTCTCTTGATTTCACTTCTCTTCGTTCAGGCATGGTGGGCTTCTCATAAGTTTTCATCTTTTCCGACGTGCGAACCCATAGTACGACAGAGGCGGCAACTGCACCCGCCGTCCGGGTGATGCTTTAGGTCTTCATCCGATTTGCCTGCCTTTATTTCGTGAAGCGCTATCTTCGCGGGAAAAATTTGTCGTTATTTTTTCGGCACCAGGAGCGAAGTTCGGCACTCGTAGTGTCTTTGATAAGTACTATGTCAACATGCGCGAGCTTCGTCCAAAGCGTCGAAAACCGTGACACAGCGCCACGCCAACCTTCTCGTCTCACTTCACGCCCGCTGCGGTGGCACTGGCCCCCGCCGCCGCGATTGCTGCGGCAGCCCCGGAGCCCGCCCCGACGGTCTGGGTTCGCGATGCCGAGGTGGTGCCACCGACGTCCCTTCCGCCGGCATGGATGATTGCCTTGATTTCCGCGGTATGCATTGCAAATATGTCTGGGTCCGGAAGGTTGCCTAAATCTGGATCGTACCAAAAATTTGTGTTGCATGATTACCAAAAGATGTGCACTCTGGGACAAGTGCAGAGGCAGATTCTCACGCAGGATAGGCATGCTAGAGGTCTCACAGAATCTGTCATGCTAGGTCCTGCATGCTAAACCTCATGGGTCATCGAAAATCTGCATCAACACAAGTCTTGATCTTCCAGACCCCGACATATTTGCATTTGATACGCGGGCGTCTTCGTCTCAATACCCTCGATGTCCTCCACCCGACGCAGGGATTTCGCCGCGGCTTCCTTGCACATCACCAAATGCGGTCGCTCTTTCACGACTCGCAGAAAGTTGTCGAAGGATAGCCGGTGAATCGACTGCATGCCGAGGATATGAATTGTAAATATGTCTGCGTCTGGAAACTTGTGATGCAAGAAAAGGAATAGTGAACTCACTATCATGCGCTGCCAAGCATGACAAATTTTTTTCATGGTTCTGAGTTGCGTATTCCGCATGAGAAAGAGAAACTGCGTTTTTGCATGACAGGGAGGAGGAGCTCTTCGCGGCCATGCAACACAGAGTTCAGAGGCATGCCAGATTAGCATGGCAAATCTCGCAATCTCCCAGACCCAGACATTTTTGCATTTGATAGAGGAACGCGTAGATGTCTTCGCAGAACCCCTCCAGCACCCCCTCGGACTTGTCGACGAAGGTCGCGTTGAGCAACTGCAGCACCTCCTTCCGTTCGAGGAAGCCGGAATTGTCGTCGTCAAAGATGAGAAAAGCAAACTTCGACTTGTCCAGCAGCGAGGCTTCGGTGAAAATGGAGAAAGAAACAATAACGTCTTTGAGCTCGATGTCCTGGTTTCCGGTCCGGTCAAAGTGGATGAACATGCGCTTCAACTGTTTGTTGTCCAGCCCAGTTTCGAAGGCGAGGCAGAATTCGCTGAAATTCAGCAACCCGCACTATCCTGTGCAAAAGTATCGCACTCGTAGTAATTGCAGTCATGCAATCTTTTCCTTGAGGTATATCCGCATTACAAATTTTCTTTCTCGTGCTGAAAAAATTTGTAATGCATTTATACGAGTACGATACTTTTGCAATTCATACGCACCCGTCCGTGTCGACTTCGAGGAAGTTTTCGTACAGCCGCTTCATCTATCCACTGCAAGTATGTCTGGATGGTTTTTGCATAAGTAACCCAGCAGGAGTAGCTCCTCTGGCATGCAAGCTGCACTAGCATGAAGATCACACGTGGTCTATTTCATCGAGAAGATTCCTCAATGCCCATCCCGCATGAGAAACAGTCCCTGGATGACAAGACCCTTGGTCTACTTGTGCTGCCCGGTGCGCATATCAAGTTTTTAGTTGGTCTCAAATGCGCAGCAAATCAAGTTCACATGTTTATCCCCGGCCCAGACATGATATTTGCGAATGCATATTATCAGTGCTGGTTTCAACCCACCGCGGGGAGCCGCGATCTCTTCGATGAGCTGGGAATTTGATGTTTTGTCATGAGAATAACGAAATTGTAGTACTGTACAAGTTAGAACATTTTCATACTTCTACTCCAAACTAATACAAAGAGAACAATAAAAAGTTGTTGGCGCTATCATCTTCACCGAAATAAACCAAGAATTCTAACTATCCGCGAAAAGACCTACATCCTAACGATACGTCGTAGAGTTGGTTCGCCCGCAGCATGGGGTCGATCTCCTCCCCGGAGTCCAACTGCACTTTCTGCGAAACCAGCTTATCAAGTGCAAAAATGTCTGGGTCTGGAAACTTGTAATGCTAAAAATGAATGATAGACGCACTACAGTACGCAGCTATGCATGGCAAATTTTTTGGCTGCCATGTCTTACGTATTCCGCATGGCAAACTGCGTTTTTGCATGACAGGTAAGAGGGCTTTTTATTCGTGACTATGCAACACAGATTCTCGAGTCATGCCAGACAAGCATGACAAACTTGCATTCTTCCAGACCCAGACATTTTTACATTTGATACAGCTGCTTGTTCGCCAACAAGGCCATGCGCTGGGCGATCACGTTCCCCATATCAAAGTTCTTGAACAGCGGACTCGGGTTCTATGAGAGTGCACAAGTACCCCTCCTTTGTCATGCAAAATCTCAAATCTAAGAAGTGTTGCCTGTGGCACCGTTTGCATGACAGACTCTGGATGCCTCAAAAACAGTACTACACTACGCGGATAACCTTGTCATGCGCAGGCTCGATGTGCGCTGTTGTTTCTATTGCTGTGCTCATGCTATACAAATGAGGGCGGGAGGGGAGAGTTGTGCACTCTCATAGACTCTCGTACAGGTTTCGAAACTCGTCGAAGGACAGGTTCTATCAACTGCAAAAATGTCTGGGTCTGGAAGATTAAAACTTGTCATGCTGTTTCTGGACTCCACAAAAATTTGTATTGCATGACCAGCAAGAGGGGCACAGTTTGTGCTACACGGACAGGGCATTTCTCATGCGGAAGGTGCATCAGGAAGCCCTCTAAGAGTCTGCGATGCTAGTCCTGCATTACAGGCATCATGGGTCATGAGAAATATGCATGACAAATCTTGCATTCTTCCAGACCCAGACATTTTTGCATTTGATAGGTTCCCGCCGGCGTCCGCGTCACACAGGCGGATCATGTTGGCGATCTCTTGCTCGGTTACAGGTTCCGCGGCGAGCTGCAGAGCATCGCGGTGGTCTGCAAGGAAAAAAATGTGTAACAAGTGTGAGTGTCAGCTTTGTAGTGCGGAAATACAAGCAACACAGTATACTATACTACACTTGTTTCATGCCAGACAGCCATGCAATCCGCCTTATTGCACATGCGTTATTTTCACGTGCTAGCCATGCGTGACACGCTCTTTCTGTCATGCAGAACAAATTTGTCATGCTGTCACTCCAAGAGAGTTGCACGAACACAGTTTTTTTCCTGGATAGGAGGGAGTCTGCGTTTATCTCGCCCGTGCCAAACTATCCAAGAGAAAAAAGCTGGCAGGGCATATTTGTAATGCAAAAATAAATACACACAAAATTTTGTCATGGGTGGCCCCATAGCATGCTGTTTCAGATATGCAATACAGGTTTTTTTGTGTATTTATTTTTGCATTAAAAATATGCCCTGCCAGCTTTTTTCTGTGTGATACAAACACGTCGATAGCTTCGAAGGCGATCTGTGGAAGAAAAGATTGTGGTGCAAGAAGGTCGTATCACTCGATTACATTGCGCCCTTTACGCATGGCACAAAGTAGTTATCATGCGCACATTGCATGACAAAAAAGCACATCAGTTCTACCTGCAGCTCCTCCCTCGTGTACGCCCGGCTCTGAATCCCGGGTATCAGGAAATTGTTTTCCCTGGCGTGCTTCCCGAGGTTGCTGTGTCGCATGACCTGTATCTGCCTCTCCATGTCCGTGTACTGGTCTCTTGTTATCTGGTTCCGCGTCATGAACTTGGACCGATCCGACAGTGACGCCTTCTGCTGTGCCAGATCCGTGTTCTATCCTATGTAAAAACGTCCCCAACCTATAGCTGTCATGCAAATCTGCAAGCTGAAAACGCTTCTCATGCGGAGCCCCATGAGAAGCGCCATTTTCTAGAGGTTTTTTGGAGTTTTTATATTCTCCAACCAGCATAATAGGCTAAATCTGTGATGCTACTGACCAAACTCAACAGGATTACACCATGGGCCCAAACTTGTCATGCGCAACGCCCAAATGTGGTTGATCTGTCTAGCAGATTCCCCATCTTGACTTTGGGGTGAGGACGTTCACGTTTTTTCTCAGGATATGTTCGGCTTCAGCATGTCCCCCCGACTGTCGAACTTCGTCGGGAGCCGCTTCGGATCCGGGATGATTTTTGGTATCGGCGGCGCCGGTAGTTGGTCGGTGTTCGGGTGCTTGGGCGGGAGCGGAAACCGCTGCGAACTGGCGTTTTTGTAGCTGTACCATTCCGGTACCGGGCGGCTGCGGCTTCCGGAGGACGCGGCCTTCGCGCCGCCTACCGGCACCGGCTCGCCCAGGTTGTTCACCGGAAGGTGGGGGTTGGGCTTCGACATGGTCGTGCTGGCAGGGTTCTTTCGCAGGAGCCGGTTTTATAATTTCCTCAGTTGCGAAAATAGAAGATGCTTGTTGCGCGGAGGGGTCGGAAAAGAAAGCTCTGGAAAAAACCTACTAGTACTGCACTGATACTTTGGGTCGCACGACTATGCTGCTGCGACGTATCTATTCCTCGGGCAAATTTTCATTTTTCGTGCAGGGACTAGAGCTTGGAGGTCCTGTAGAAGTTGCTTTTCTTCTTGCGGTGGTGAACTCACCCTTTCATAGCGTCGTTTGCCACCTCCTGTTGCTGTGGACCCGCGGTAGATTTCCCCTTTTTCCGCCGGTCGTCGAAGTAAAGTCGTACTGTTGTCCTTCTTGGAAATATTAAGGTGTCAATGCGACAATGCTGGTGTCCTCTAAAGGCACTAACGACAAAGACCAGCTAAAAGCAGCCGTTCTTCCTCTGCCGCATTGACGCCAAGAGCCATCTTGTGGTACTAATTGGGTGAAGCATGAACGTACATTCAGTGCTTTTTCTGAAGAAAGTCAGTCATACGCTCATCGACGTATTAGTTAGTATTCTCTTAACACAGACAATGTAATGAAGATACTCTTCTATCTAAAGCTCTCTGCCTCTTCTTGCACAGAAAACCTCTCTGTGAAAATCGTACTGGTGCAAATTCTCTCTGTAAAAATACCGACACGCACGTGACTGAATTGCAGCTATGCAACATACATAGCGCCGTTAAAAACACAAATTGACAAGGACGCGCCACCCTGGTGGAGCCACATTCATCCCAGGTCGTGGCAGCTTTAATGTTTTACCGCAACTGCAAGCAGCTCGCGCTGTTTTGATGATGCACTGCCTTTTCTTACACATGTAACCTCCACACAAGTTCCAGCTAGTTGTTGCTGTAAATGACCCGTCTCGTTGTGTTTGAACCTCCGATCAGTTCTCGTTGCATGCTGTCCGCAGCGCAGCACCCATGATGTAGCGCTTGTTCTCACGACCCTGCTTCCCCTGCGCCAGCACCCTGCAAAAATTTCTGTATCCTCTGCTCCTTCCTCGCCAATTCTTCCCGCAAAATCGCTACTGTCTTCTGGAGCCGCGCGTTGTCGCTTTGCAGGGCGTGGCTTTGCAGCTTGTACTGATCTACTTCAACGGAATTAGTGGACTCCCTGTCTTTGCTTTCGCTGACCCGTGCAGACAAGCTGTCCACCTCCTCGCACGCGGTTTGTAGCTCGGTAAGCAAACCGGCTTCGCGATTCTCCAGCAACCGACACCGCCGCTCCAGACCTTGGATAATTCCATGAATTTGTCACGGTGCGAAAAATGAGTACTAGTATACCAATGAAAAACAATTCTCAGACACACAGCTGCACGAACGCACTATCCATGCCAAATAATAAAAGAAAGTGGTTTTTTACTAATCAACGACCTATTTTGTTCTTACCATCGCACTTCTTTTTTTCCGCTGCCAATTTCTTCTCCCCTTCCTGGACTCTCTCCTGCAGCACTTGCATGGTCCGCACCGACTGCTGGCCGGAAGTCTGCAGCGCCTGTCGCTCCGCCTGCATGGCGCCGACTCGGGACTTCAGTTTGCGGTTTTCGCCTTCCAATTTCGAAATCTTTTCCTCCAGCTCCTTCTGCATGTTCGTGAAAAAATGCGCCATCTGCTCATTGTCCTTCACCGCACGAGATCCGTAATTGTTCTGAGGGTTGGAGGTAGAACTCGAACTACTCCCTCCAGACTGCGCATGAGAATGATTTGTATTGTGTAGAAGTTCCTGGCTGTTGATTTTTCCCGGAGAAGATGTTGAAGAGCTGCTGCTACTACCGCCACCACACACCTCCATTTTTACACCGGACGACGAAGGAGCGCCAGCGCCGCTACTACACCCGCCTTGGTTAGTCGTACTATGTGCTGTCGTCGTGAAGGTGGTTGTGTTAAACGTTGACCTCGCGGCCAGTCCGGACGGGGTCGCGGGGCGCTTTGGGTTATTGGCTTTATTTCCGGACGTATCAAATGTAAAAATGTCTGGGTCTGGAAGAATGCAACTTGTGATGCTGAATTTGGATTCCAAAAAAATCTGTATTGCATGAGCAGCAAAGGGAATGCAATTTTTGCTACGCGGAGAGGGCATTTGTCATGCGGAATAGGCATCGCGAAGCTCTCAAAAAATCTGTGATGCTAGGGCATGCATTACATGAATCATGGATCATACAAAATATGCATCACAAATCTCAGAATCTTCCAGACCCAGACATTTTTACATTTGATAGGACGTTGAGCCACTGTTTCCGCTCATCGCGTTTCCGTAAATGTTGCTCAGCCGCTTAATCTATCAAATGCACAAATGTCTGAGTCTGGAAGAGTCCTGCTGTTTTTGCATGACACAGGATGTCTGTCCTGGAAGCCCTAGCATCACAGATTTCGAGAAGCTTCCGCATTGCTTACTCCGCATGACAAATCCCCCACTCTGGTGACAGGAAATGGACGTCTTTTGCTGCCTATGCGTGAGAGATTTGTCTGTGTTGTGAAATGCGCATCACAAGTTCACATCCTTCCAGACCCAGACATGTTTACAATCCATATAATCCGCACGTCTTGGTCAGGTGGAGGCCGCCTTGTTGTTTTTACAGATTCAGATGTACACAAATTTGTCATGCAATGAACCGGTCGTGGACTATCCTTCCAAAGTAAATACAGCATCACAAAAAAAGCAATTATCATACCCGTCCATCCCCTGCACTCTCGCCACTGCTTCATCCGCTAAGCGTCTCAGCTCTTCCGCTTGCCTCTTCATGTGCTCCACCGATTTAAAATCTCTTGTCACGTTAAAACACGACTTCTGTTGCTGATCAGCAGGACCAGCATTGTCCTTCTCCCGATTATTTCGCCCACGAGAGCTCGAAGCTGCGGAATCCGGTCGGGACGGAGGAGGTTTATTTTTGCCAGAACTTCTGCTACTGCTAGAGGTGCACATATTTCCACTACTAGTAGACACACCTCCTGTAGTTGCAGGAACAAGCGTTGACGACGTCGGCCCACCACCAGCCTGGCTTTTCATTTTGGCTGCGGCGCTATGATCTTTCAACTTGCTAGTCACCGCTGCATTGGACCGGTCCCGGGCCAGCGTGCGCTCGAGCTCCATGTTGACGAGATCATGGTGCGACGAGTCTAGTACTTCGTCACCATGATTTAGGTTCATCGTCGGGTCGGTTGTACTGCAAGAAGCTCTTGTCGCGGCCTGTGGATTCGGTATACCACAGGTGTTCTGCAGAAATTCCTCCATCGCGGCTAAATCTGGGCGCTGGATCGGGACAAAGTAGGAAGAGGAGGAGGAAGAGGAGGTTGATAAAGACCTGTACAGGTGTAGTCGTTGAACAAAGATCTGCTAATTGAATGCAACATGCAAGAACAAATGATGAAACAGTTACAGTTGCAAAAACATTTTGGCACGACAGGCAGAACGCATCTCCTCGGGCAGAACAGCAACTACGGCGCTAGTACTTTATTACCTTCCATCCTCCGCATGATCGCTAGCACGGCCTCTACTGCCTGCCGCACCCCCACCCTGGTCTCCCGCCGTGTAGGCGGAGGGAGCGCTGCTGGTGGCTTCGACGGCTTTGAAGGAACCATTTTGCGTTTGCGCTCCCGTGCCGTTTCCAACAGATTCTTCCTCGTCATCAGGCACCACCGCGCGGAGACCGCGAAGAATGTCTTCGCTCGGCGCCGAAACGACTTTGAACATGGGCTTTTTAAAGTACTGCTGAGTTCTTCGTAAAAACTTTAGTAGACTTTACCACGGTTGTTCGTGTACTAACTACAGACGATATATCATCAAGTACCATGAGTCCCTTTTTGTCCTGCTTAGTTTTGGAAGTACTGCTAGCAAAAACTTGCGCAGAAGCGAAACAAGACACGACCAGTCCGGAAGGGAAAACAACTAGAACCGCTCGAAGGACTAACAATGAAACAACAGCACTCAGAGCAGCTCTCGTCGCGACTACACAACAAACACGCACGCGCCGCCTTTTTGAAGTAGAATTTTGGTGACTCTCGCGATGCTCTCAGGCTCGTCAGTACTTCAGGATTTTCGTCCTCGACGTCCTCCAAGTCGGGCAAGAATAGCACCGGGCAAAAGAGCCGAAAACCTCATTGAAGATGAGCCGGCAACTGCCGAAAACTCTATGTCCCGACGAGTTGGCGGGGTTCATTCATCATTTGTCGTGGGAACAAGTTACATGGTTGCAAAAGTAGATGACTGTTGATATTTGTGCCTGCGTGGTTCTCCGAAGACTTTCTTGATACGACGTAGCGCAATCAATCTCGCGCGTCGACCACGACTTCAAAAATCATCCGTGTAGTTGTTATCCAAAAGACGAGTGATAATTATCCTGCGTGAAGCTCCACATGTCCGACAGCGTCGCGCCGGCAAAACGGGAGAACCGGAAGGCGCTTGACTTGCAATGTCGGCCGTTTTTGTCCGTGCCCGCCCAGGTGACGAAAATCTTGAAATCTTGCGCCTGCTGCAACACTGCAGTTTCCAGCGAGCACGTTTTCGAACTGGATCTCGGAGACCCGACGGGCGCGTAGTCCGCATCGAGGTGCTGTTGGGACGGTAGGCATTGATTATCCGAACAATTTGGACAGATGTTGTCGAAGACCAAAGATTTGATGTTCCCGTCCTCGATGTTTATTACCAGGGACACGAAAGGCACTAACAATCCCTGGCCGTTCCGGTAGAGCTGCGGACATGTAATGTAGCTGTTCGCCGGCTCTGCTGCTGCGCTCGTTGCGTTCGTCGTGTCTGGAGTGCCAGCTCCGCAGTTTTTTGCGAAGCTTGTCCCCGTGTTCGCCGCGGCGACCCAAGAGTAAACAGGGATGTTTTTTTCCGCTACGGCATTTGTCAATTCCTGGGCCCCGGAGAGCGTGAGAGACGAGTACTCGTCGACCTTCACTGAAAACACCAATTTTTTCGCCGACTGCGCGGGGTTCGTGTCACTGGTCGGCCCGAGGAACACGCACAGCACGGCACGCTTCCCCAGTTGAAGATGGGCGGTGCGGCCAAACGCGCAATTGGGGGCGTTCGGGTTGGCTACTGAGGGAGTGGGCGCAGGTACTACTGTGCCGGTCGTCCCGTTGCTCGTGGCGAAAGCGAAGAGAGTCATGCTGGTCCGATTCCTGAATAACAATGCACCACAGAATGGTAAAACCAGTGAGCAGCGCCACCAGTAGCGGAGCCGTGCGCAGAGGGATGAGAGCCCGAGAAGGCGAGTAGTTCGCGAAGATGATCTTGCCATTTTTGATTGTACCTAAAATTCTGAATGATTTTGTTTCGTGCAAAACTCTACTAGAAGTACACACAGATCGCAAGACGTCTTATCCGGTATGAAAAATTCGCTGAGATGATACAAAAAGAGGGTGATCCAAAAGTGCAGCTTCAAGCCGGCGCAAAGAATTTGAATTTTTGACATTTCTGCTGCCCAATCCAGAAACATCAAACCTTGGCGAAACCTCAATGAGAGATCTTCGGAACTATCAGGTTGTTTTACTTTCCCACTTCGTCCTTCTACCACTGTCCGAAACAGGAAAAGACTCAATCACGCCACCGTCCTTCCAGCGAGAACAAGGAAATAAACACTCAAAAAGCCACCTCCTGTTGGTTACAAGAAGCACGCAAGCTCCCCACTGTGGCGGTGCTCTTCCATCTTATGCGCGTTTGTCAAAGTACCAGGGTAGCAGATGACGAGGAATGGGAAACAAAGCAAATTTCAACCACAGGCTGTTTGATCATGCGTTCGCTGATGTAGCGCCATGGCCACTACCAAGCGGAAAACAAAAGGTTCTCAGAATGGGGTAGAAGTAGTTGGGGTTTTGTACAAAAGTAGTGCAAAAAAACTCCAAAAACGAGTGCAACTACACCTTCAAATTGTAGAAACACTGAAAGAACATGGCAATGAAAGCTGCGACCGCAAAAATCTTCTTGCTTAGTCACTTACACAAGCAAGGTTTACCACCCCGCTTCATCTACACCTCGTCGTCATCGGGTCCCCCGGCCATTCCGCGCATCCAGCGCCCTTGCCACCACCTTGAGTACCGGGGAAAGTTCCGACTGCGCAGCGGGTTGTTGCCCTCTAGGTGGGCCGTGGGGATGGCGAACGCCCGGGTCCACTTGGAATTGGCGGAAAATTTGTAATGGTGGCCAAGAAAATCTTCCTGCCTGATGCGGGTGTCCGGATTGGTGCCCCCCTGGTACGGGAACCGAGTCACAATGTCCCGCGAGTTCGTGCGGGACAGCGGGCACCGGTGCGGCTCGCTGCATTTCGCAAACCGCACAATGGTTTTGCCGAGATTCTTGTATTGCTGGAACAAGGGGCGAAACACCTGTTCTACACACTGGTCGAAAAACTGCTTTTCTTTCTTCTTTTTTGAGAATTTGAATTTTTCATTTTCCGCTGGGTCGTTTTTATAACCATCCTCCAGTCGGCGCTTGTGCGTCAGAACCGGGTCTGGCGGCGGTGGCGTGATGTGCAGCGACTTCCCCTTGTAGTCGTCGTAGTACATGTCCCCAAAAACCCACCGCTCCTGCTCTTCTCCGCCGATGTCCGTGTGCAAGTCCACCAGCTTTTGGAACGCCCAGCCGCCACAGCAGGTGCGCTGGAGGTCCCAGACCCCCCCTGCCCCCACGGGCTCGCACTTCCCGCCGGTCAGGGCCCAGGTGTCGGGCAGTTGGGGGGCGCTGGTGAACTCGCGGTCCTTCAAAAAGCAGTTGGGCCGCCCGGTTTCCCATTGCGCCCAAGACGGGTCGATCCAGGTCCACGCAGTGCACTCCAGGGCGTCCTGCTCACACCGCTGGCGGCAGCTTTTGGCGGTCGAATGCCACACGATCCCAACGTCCCCGAACGGCCGGTCCAGCATGTCGTTATCGCACTGCTTCGTGCCGTTCTGCCAAACCTGAATAGTCATTTGGTTGTGGAAAATAATCTCAAAAATTTCTATCCGGCAGAAGAATCAAACCTTGTTCAAAAAGCATACACGTGTAGTTCCCGAGTGGATGAGAGGTAGCAGCTCGCTAGCGTTGTGGACCACCAGCGGCAACATCATACGCAACAGCGTATATTCAGAACAACAGACACAAAATCCTAAAACCCCAACATCATCGTCCTCCCGCCAGATGTGGACTTCTACAAATCGGTCATGTCAGCTGCATCGTAGACCCCCGAGCAGTACTAGAACTACACCATTCAGGACGAAATTCGCATCAGACAAGTGACAGAAAGATCATCGAAGAAAAAGACTCAAAAAATCTCCTTCTAACAATTATAGTACCCAGTCAAAGTCCAAGTCGCTCCAGTTTCCGTACTTTTGGATGCACACCTCCGGGTTGAAGATGTCATCCTCCTCTTCCTTCTCTTCCTCTTCCGGTACCGGTTCCGCGGAAACTTTAAAATCTGCATCAAAGTCCGCCGACAAATCGTCCCCGGTGATCTCCCCTGGGTCCACGATTTCGCTTGTCAGCTCCGCGACCTGTTTTCGCAGCTCGATCCGTTCCACTTCTTTTTGCCGGTCTTCTTCCGCCCTGACCTTCGCCTATTTTTCCTCCACCGCAAAGGCTTTTTTCTTCACGCCGCAGGAGAGATTCGACTTCTCGTTGTGCGAAGTAGGTGTTGAGGTCGTAGAATTTGCTTTACTATCGGATGATGTTGGTGAAACTGAAAAGTCCCACTTCACCACCGTCGGTGTGTACTGAATGAACCGGCACAAAACGGCATACCGTTTTGCCATTCCTTCTTCGAGAACTTCGATCCCCTGCGGTACATTTTCCGCCTCGTAGCCGTAGCACAATTCGTGTTCGGAGCAACGTTTCGCACAGTGCAGCTCGGACGCCTCGGCGAACCAGTCCGAGGCGATGGCGTAGTTTCCCACGCAGCGGCCCTTCTCCACGAGGTACTGGGAGAAGATGCGATAGTCGTCGGACGAGGGAGGTCCTTCGGGCGCACCGAGGAGTTCTTGCCCCTCGTCGTCGGGCCCAAAGGACAATTCCTCCTGCCCTGCTTGTGTGCCGGAGGACGCAGAAGTTTTTGCATCCGTCTCGTCGTCCGATCCGCAAGAAAAACTGCCTTCTTTCCGTTGTTTCTGTTGTAGAAAGGAACTTCCACCCAGCTGCCCTGGTAGAGCCGACACGGATGTTGATGAATCTTCGTCTGCTTGTACGACTAAGGTTGTCCCGCGGCCCTCGAGGGGGACCATCATATCCTCCCCTACCTGACCACCCCGAGGAAGTACTAGATCATCTTCAGAAAGAGCGAGACTGCTGCGGTGCACGCGTGACGCCCGCGTGCTGCTGTCCCGGCGGCCGCGGAGGAGGAAGGTGGTACTGGGAAGATCTTCTCGAAGATCTTGTTCCGTTGTAGTTGCTTCTTGTTCTCGTCCTGGAAGACCGCTCACATCATCTTCCAGTTCATCGCCGGTAGCCCTTCCTTCCGTGAAGGCGGAGCCAGCCGATGCAACGACATCAGCCTGATCTCTGCGACTAGCCAGCGCTGACTCCAGGAAGGGCAGGCAAAGCCGAGCTGCTCGCGTGCTGAAGGACTTGTGCAACATCAGGTCAGCCGTTCTTTTCGAGTGAAATACACAAGGCTGGTTCAAGAAGATGGAATATCGTGTCTAGCGGGTAGAGGAGGAGATTCGTTGTGGTCTACTGAGCGGGTAAGAAAGCTGTCCAAGAAACAATGGTAGAAGATACTTCAAGAACCACCTGCTTGTCTTCAGAAAAATTTTCAAAATCCTACTACTCGAGTCTGGAACTGTTGGAGCGCACTACGTTCAACTTGCGGTGATTCAGGAAAAATAGATGCTGAAAGCAATACAACCAGCAACGTAATATTTTGACAATTGAAATAACATCGCTTGATGTAATTTCAAATTAAGCACGACACGACACGAATTGGACGAAACGTGGGGCAGTAAGGTGATTTTTCTGTTCAAAAATTCTTGCGATGCTGAACGGATTATCGTTTCATCGTACTGCTGCATACGACGACAACGATGATGATGACGACGATCTTCATTTCTACGAATTTGATCCAAACAAGTGGTGCTCGACATGTGCAAAAAGCAAAGGCCGTACAATGCACCCCAGTGCAAAGAAGATTCCGCAGCCTACTACTTCATGCGCAGAAACAATTATTTCAACAACGAACTTAGGACGAAGAGAACCGGGCCGAAAACGTTCCTCACACAAGCGGAATCTTAGCCTCGTCCCGGTTGAATGAATGTGCGTAGTGAAAAGTACTGAGATAGAGATGACGTCTGAAGTTGAGTGCGTCAACCTCTTCGAGGTCTCAAACTTACATGTGTAGAAGTTGTTGAATCATGTACTTAACATTCCATCAGGGGGTAGTACAGCAAGGAAAGTACAGCATAGCGTTCAAAGACGCATGGAATTATGGCCCAGACTGTGAAGACTCTTGAAGCGTTTCTTGATTTTTCCCCAACCTGAACCTATTCGACAATCACCTCGGTAAAATTGTCCGCGAGCCAGGTCTTAGGAATGTCGTAATGCCCGCCCAGCTTCCGTTCCCTTGTGCTGTTCGATGTTTCGTTCAGCCAGGGAATGGTAGGACGCAGTTTCATCTCCAGCGCTTTGTCAAATTTGATGGGGAAATCGTTGAAAAACTTGAACCAGTTGGTCTCCACCGGGCAGATTGGCAGGCCGTCCTTGTAAAAAATGCTGTCGCACTCGTTCCCACGCACAACGGTCGTGAAATTCATGCTGGGTCGCGCGAGCAGGGGGCCGAAAACTTTCCGTTGGCAATCTTCGTAATACTGTCGGAACTTTTGCTTTTGAGAAGAAGAAGAAGAAGATGTTGCATTTGTATTGTCGTGTTGCCCAGAAGCTGAACTTGTCGTCGGTAAAACGTAGTCCAGCGAAAACACGCCCTGCAGCTTCTCGAGCCGATACCCGTTGCAGCAGGTGGGGGTCAGCGTCCACTTGGCAGCTGCCGGTGTATTTCCGGCTGAGGTAGTACCTCTAGCTGCCTCTTCGTACGTGCAAACACCGCCGGTGACCAGCGTCGAGGCGGGTCGTACAGGCGGTTTGGTTCTTTTCACGGATTTCAGCCAGCAGTTTTTCAGATCCCCAACCTGCGCACCGCCGTGCCACACCCAGGCGTCGCAGCTGCGCACCTGGTAGGTGCACGCCATGCGACAGTGTTCCGCGCTGCTTGCCTGTATGGAAGACAGGTGCCCGCGGTCGCGCTGCAATCCGTCCTCGTGGCACACTTTGGTTCCGTTCCAGACCGTATCAAATGCAAAAATGTCTGGGTCTGGAAGAATGCAACTTGTGATGCTGCGTTTTTTTTTTTTTTCTAGGCTTCTAGCGCGTGGATTTTCTTTGGATTTTCTTTTGATTTTTTTTTTGGTTTTCTTTTGATTTTCTTTTGATTTTTCTTTTGATTTTTCTTTTGATTTTTCTTTTTCTCGTGATTTTTCTTTTGATTTTTCTTTTATATCCACCGCGCCAGTAGCGGTGGGCGTTTCACGAAGAAGAGCGCGGCTATGTTTGGCGTTCCCGTGGCCTTTGGCCCTACCTTTATTTGATACGTCGCAGCTGCAGTTTCCGTTTCCTTCACGCTGGTTATATCCAATGTCGATGCTGGAGCTGGCATTTCCATTTCGTGCTCTCACCAATTGTTTCTGCCAGTTCTCCATCCCCTCTGCATCCTCATCCTCTTCTGCTAGCAGCAAGCAATATAACGGAAGAAAAGCACAAGACGCCAAGATGCTATTCATTTTGTTTTATTCAATTTCCAGTGATTACTAAAATGAATTTTCTTAACACGACTTACAGCTGGGAGAAAATTATACAACTAGTACTACTCAGATCATTTAACTTTAACAGCATGTCGAGAGACAAATAACAACCAAGGTAGACATCATTACTCATCATTTTCCATCTCCTCTATCTGTCTATGCGCAAGTATGTAGAACTTCTACTCCTACCACTCTATTCCTTTTCTCAGCCTGTCCCTGCTTGTGTTTTTTGATTTTTCTTCCAAGTGAAAACAAGAACAACTCACGAAGAACGAAAGCAGTACGATGGCTTACGAGTTTTTACGACTGCGCGATGCGATTGCTGTTTTGCGTAAACGAAGCCGAGGAGAAAGGGTCAACAGAGATGCCAGGTCTTAAACAGTATCTTCTTGCTTCTTTGCGTCAGGGGACTCAGCAACGACGATGCCCACTAAGTACAAGTTTAAGCTACGTGGCTGTTTGGTACAAATTATTCTAGGGTGTCAGCCGTAAGCCTCGAAGTCGCCAAGATCTGACTGTCGAAGGGGAAGCCAGTTACTGTTTTCTCATGCGGGCTGCGCTCGTCTGTTAGGGACCTGGAGGAGATTTTTGCATTCATTTTCAATTTTCATTTTGATGCTGAAGTAGAGGTGTTCACGCATGATATTTAAATAAGTAGTAAATCACATTAGTGCGGGAGTCTCGCACTGTCAGTGTCGTTGTCTTTTGTTGTGGCCCCGATTTCCGAAGCAGTAACTCGATCGCGTGATAGCTGTTAGAAGCCCCCGACAGCTACGTCGCGCGGCGCGGCATGGTGGCGCCGGAGCTTGTGCCGCGAGAGGAGCGTACCAGGGCGCGCCCAGCCCTGCAGGGCTCTGTGGGCACCAGGCGAATTGGGCGGTCGTCCATGCCGGCGACCCTCCCGTGTGGTAGCGGGAGATTCGCGCGCGGCGGGTAGGCCCCGGTCGCGTCTTCCGTGCTCATCGTGCTCGAGATAGGCTGGGGGCGCCAGCGTCGGCGCTGCGTGGGCTGCGTGCACGTACTTCTCGCCGTTGAGGTTGTCGCGGGCCTCCCTTCACCCCACCCTGGGGAGAAAGCAGGTCGGCGTCGGATCTTCCGTTCCGACTACCTTTCACACTTGGAACTAGATACAGGCGCGAACCAGGCGGCCCACACAAGAGACAGACTTTTTCGCCAAAGTCTGTACTTTTCAGTCTAAAGTCGTAGCTGAAAAAGCCTCGTAGCAGCGGGACCAGGCGTGCAGGGCGCTCGAACAAAGTACCAGGTAAACGAAGCCTGCCACCCGCCGTCCCGACTACCTTTCTCTCTTGGGACTGGAGTCAGGTGCGAACCAGGCTGCCCGTACAAGAAACAGAATTTTGATTCAATATCTGTACGCTTCGGTCTAACGTCGAAGCCCAAAACGCCTCGTAGCAGGGGGACAAGGCGTGCTGGGCGCGCGAACAAAGTGTCAGAAAAATGGAGCCTGCCGCCCTACTTTCTAAGAGAAGATAGCCGCTTAGTGTGGTCGAGCGCGTGAATTCCTTCCTGCACGTTCTTCAACATCTACTCTTCCTAAGTATTTATGTACTTTTCATATTTCTATTTATCAAAAAGCTCATAATTAGTACCTGGCAACTTCTATTTTCCCGCGTGCTGTTTTCTCCTCGGCTCCGTGCGCCAGCTTGATTTTCGTTATATTCCGTTGCTTTTTACATGTACTGCTTAATGAAGGAGAAGAAAAAAAAGATGTTTTTCGTATATTTAAACCTGTGAGTTTTTGTTTTTGTGATTCATGAGATTGCTCTAGTGTCAGTGTAAGTATTTCAGTGGTATCTCATCTGTAAAAACTCTTGCCTTGCTCATGCTGCATGCCTTCACATATGAATTTGGTAGCTTTTCATGCTTTTTTACTTCCTTTTCCATTTTCGTCCCGACTTGCTCGATGCAGCTACCTATTCTGTCTCGGAAATATTCATGTGTCAAATTTGTCGCTTCGTCTATTATGAACTTCAAGATCTTTCTGGGATTTTGAAGCAGTTCCCTCCCCAAGGTGGGCGCGCAAAACTTAAAGCCAAAATGGCGCGCGCGCGGCGCCTCTACATTCCTGCACTCAAACAGGGCGTGATCAACTGCGCAGTCGCACAGCCTGTTGCACATTTTGCACCTTTGTTTCATTTTCCCTCCCTCATAAACGATTTCCTCACACCCCAAGTGTGGCTGGGGGGCGATTCCCAACCACACCCAGAAGTAGACCAACTCCGCCTCGCGTATCGGGAAGACACCCACGGGCGGCCGGAACCCCCCCAAAGACTTCGCGCGCTCGCGCAAGTACTCCGAGGGGGATTGGCAATTTTCCATGTTCTGCGCGAGGATCCTTTTCAGGAAAAGCCGCCGCAGGATCGGCGCAGTGATCATTTTTTTGTAGATCGGCCGCGCCGCTGTGTCCGAAAAGTCCTGGTGCCCGTCTTTCCACATTTCTTTGTAGATATTCGTTAGGAGGTCCGCACAATCGTTCGCCAGCTGCCCCGCGTGTCCGGGTGTCCAACGGAAGTGAAACCATACCTCTTCCTCCTCGTTCGGCCCCTCCCCAATGCATGCGTCTTTTAGTTTTTCCATCTGCTTCATAATTTTGTGGATCATCTCATTACTACCGTCGTTGTAGCACTCCAGTGCCTGCACTATGGAGTTGCTATCTAAGAAAAAATAGAAGTTCCTCAGCATTTTACTCAAGTGCGGGTGTGTTAGGATTTGGCGTTCTATCTTTTCAAGCTGCTGCATTAGCCCTATGCACTCTGCATCAAAAGAATCCGTTGGAATATCACTCAGCGGTGAGTGTATATATGCTCCTGAGATCCAAATCGGATCTGGTAACTCGTCCTCCCCCACTTCTGCCCGAAGCTTCCCCGTCCCATCATCACCAACCGGCTCCCACCACCAACTTGCCCCCGCCCCCACTCCTAAATTTCTTTCTTTGTCCACCAGTCCATCCGTTGCCGTGACAAGATTCCCCTGGGACTTCCGTATTAGCCCCCGCACTAGTGCGTTGTGCGCCCGTGCTACCTTTCCCCGTGCCTCGTCCAGCTCTTTTCCCTGCTTACCTGACAGCCTCCCCAGGCCCATATCCGTCCCAACCCTGTCCATGGACTTCGCATCTAGATTTACGCCCCGCCAAAAAATCTTGCCGATTTACAGTCTCTCATGACCAAAATGACTATGCACATCAGGAAAGCCCGTTTTTGCCATGTGCCGAATGGTATCTGTCCACGTTGCATGCTTTTTGTCCATGCCTAGTAAGAATTTTGCTGGGTCGCTGCTATCTGTCTGCCTGAACATAGCCTTGACCTCTTCGCATGGCTCTTTTTGTCGTGGCCATAGCTTCAACTGCGCGCCTTTGTAGAAGAGCATCAAGTTTTCTACTACAAAGAGCGTGTGAATGTCCGGAATTCCTGCACAATGATGCAAAATCGTGTTTGGCGTTTGTTTGGGTAGCATAGCATGCCCCTTCAGGAATTTCGCAGTGTCTTTCTTGATCTGCAGCCTGTTCTGCTTTTTGAAATAGTGAAAAAACGGGATGCTATTCGATAGTATCGCGCTGTATACTATCGAGACATAGGTGTCGATTTTTGCGGTGAGTCTTAAGTTTTTCAATCGTGCTACGCTTGTGTTCTCCTGGATCATCTTCTTTCGCATGATTTCATAGTGGGAGGAGAAATCCCATGCGCCATCATAGAAAAACCCCAAGGACCTACTTGCTTCGCTCACTTCTACCTTCTTATCCACCCCAACATCATAGAAAACAGCTTCAGACTTTGTCTCTTCAAAAAATATGAACTTCTTTCTGCCCGTTCGCACCAGATCCTTTTTGAGTTTTGTCACTGCTTCCATGTCACCGGTTCCGCATTGGCTGTTGTCATCCGAAAACTGCGTCTGTGTGCCGTCTTCATTCAGCTGCGCCATAGTTTGAATTAGTGGCGTGTTGTGTACATTAAAGCAGCCCCCTGAGTAGGGGCTGCCTTGCGGCATCCCCGGAGATAGATGCCAGTACCTGCTCCCTGTTTTTATTCTAACTGTTCGGTAACTCAGCCACTGCACTGTGGCTGCCGCTATGTCCTCCGGCACTTCTAACTCATGCATTGTCTCCAGCAATTTCTCATGTGAAACCACATCAAAACCTGCTTCGTTATCATTTAGCAGCAGAAATTTTCTCATGCCTTTTGTTTTCAGTCCTTCTTCTGAAAACAGATACTCGAGAATTGAAATAGCCCCAAACTCTTTGCAAAAGTTTTTTCTGTATGCAAGGGAGTACAGCGGGAGCTTGGGGCTGCTATTTTCAATTCTGCTCTTTCCATTCCATTGGTAGCCCTCTAACCATAAGCACAATCTTCTATCTTGTATAGCTTCCCACACCTTAGCATATACTGATAACAAGCTTACAGGTCGAAACAAACTTTCTGAGAAAGCCTGCTCTTCTGTCTTGCCTACAGGTGCTAGGATAATCTCCCGCCCTATTTCCGGAAATGCGTTGTGCTTGACTAACACGTAGTAGCACCTAAATAAGCACTCCCATCCTACCCCATCCAAAGCCTTGACCAGCTCATGCGTAACCCCATCACACCCCGGACTCTTGTTACATTCCAGCTTCCTGATAGCCGCCGCAAACTCTGTCCTGGTCAACTCCCAAAATTGCCCCTCCTTCGCTTTCTGGCGCGACTTCAATCGCGTATCTTTGAAGGTTTTCTTTTTCCACTCGCTCTCATCTGGCACTTCAAAGCCGTTCTTGCTGTAGACCTGTTGCGGTCTCCCTTTGTATTGGGCCGCGAAGTAGTTCACTATTTCGTCGTGGTCGTCAACTGCTTCGCCCGGAAGTGGCTCTACTGTTATTTTCCGCTTCTTTATCTCTTTCATAGCTGCCTCGTTCGTTCGTCTTTCTATCTCCTTCAGGGTAAGCGGTGGACACAGCAAAGCGCTCTGGTTTCCTTTTTCCGTGATATCTTCTCCAGTTGCCCTCTTGAAGTAGATGGCCGCTTTGTCATGCTTGACCAGCTTCGAGGGAAAACCCCCGGTGGTCCAAATTTTCTTTCTTCGTATTTTCTGGTTGATGTGTTCCCACCTTTCCTTTGGTGGTAGGTGGTCCAATTCTGCATCTGAATCCCTTCCCCGCCCTATCTCGTCCTTTTTTGGTTTCTTTCGTGCCCGCTTTTGTGTTCCCTTTACATCACTAGTAGCATCTGTAGCCTTCCTTCCCCGCGAGCAGGGAAGATGCTCTTTTGCTACCTCTAGCATTACTTCCTTTACCAGCTTCAGATCGTTTTGAATCAGCCCTACTTTCCGCTTCTGCCAGTTCTTCCGCATCAGGGGGTGGTCTGCAAGTCTATCACGAAGATCCCGATTGTACGCCGTTACCCATGTTTGTTCCTTCACTGGTATTCCGTTTTCAAACTTGAACTTCAAAAGCTTGCTGGTGTAGTTGCAGTCGCTCCCTCCCCCCCCCGGCTCATCCCGATCATCATCCCCATATTCCCCACCTACTTCTTGCTCCAGCTCCGCTGGCATTGCGTGTCTTTCTTCGTCTACTTCCGGCACAAAAATGCTTGCCACTTCTGGCAAGGCAACCACCGCTCCTTTGATGCTCAGGCGGAGCTCCACCATGCAGTGATCAGAAAGCTGTTCTGAAAACTTGCAATTCTCCAGGCCCCAGCTCCATAGGCTCTCCCCTTCTGCGACGCCGTCAACTATTAGACCGCCGCTCTTAACAACCCCCGCTACATCTTCACTGGAGATTCGCACGTAGCACGCACGTTCATCTGCTCTTTCCTTGTTTACCTCAAAAACCCCTTCCCATTCTAGTTCAGCCTCTTCTGGGCTAATACTATTCTGCTCTTGACTAGTATCTGCGTCAACGGCTCCAATGTTTGTCTTTCTCTTCTTCCGCAGGTGTTCTTCTGAGCACGCATCATTCTCTTCTGCTATTCCTTTTCCCCCTTCAAGGATTTGGGTTGCTTGTTTTCCATCGCTAGTCTCCGTTTCCATTGCGTCAAAGTTGTATGGCAAGTACGTTACGAACCTTGGTTTTTCAAAAGTCTCCTTGCCGAAAACCATCACGTCTGGCGCTGTTGCGCATTCACCATGTACCCTCGTTGCCTGCCCTTTCACATTAGCGCAACAGAAGCCCCTACCCTCTTCCCCTTCTAGCCATTTTGTCAGCGTTGTTCCGTTTGGGTTGTTTTTGTAGTCCCAGTTCAAGTGCCTTGCATTCAGGTCCCCAATAATAATCCCCGCTCCTATCCCTAGGTGTGTTGCGTCTAGTTTTGCATGCTTGGCGTAAAGCTTTTTGACTTCAAATACAACGCTGTTCATTTCCACCAAGACATGAATAATCTCGCACCCATCGACGTCGTCCACTTCTAGTATTTTCACTAGCCTTACACTAGATCTAACTGCCAAAATGGATGACCCGCTTTTTCTCTTCTTTTTTGCATCACCCCCCTCGTGCTTCCGTGGGCAGAAGATAATGTGATACCCCAGGGCAATAAGCTGGTGAATCAGCCATGACTTATCTATCGAGTCAAGGTTGGTTTCATCCAGCCCCAGAAAATGCGGCTCAATGTCTTCCACATATTTCAAGATGTAGCTGTCGACGTTTTTTGTTCTTAGTGACTGAACATTCATCGACGAGGATACCGCCTGCCCCCATAGTGGCTCATCAAGAATGCAATTTGTAAGCGCTACTTTTTGGTCCCATGCTAGCGTTCCTAGCTCGTAGTGCTTACTCGAGCTAAGATAGCTATACCTATCTAGGGCCTCATGCGCCAAAATATGGGATCGCATACAGGCAACATGGGCGCTGCAGCGCCTGCATTGTGTGCGGGCTCTTCCCTCTGCTAAGGCTGCACGGGAATTTGCCGACTCACGCACACAGGTGTGCGTATGCCTGTCAATAAAATCGCAGGAGTCAGCATTACAGACCTGGCAGAGCCCACACGCGAACACTCCCTTGTTCCCGTGTGGGGCAATCATTTGGTCTCTTTTTGGCTTGTTCAGCCAGTCTATGTCCACCATGCGCGGCTTCACTTCGTCACAAAAAATGTCAGTCTCCATAATTTTTGACTTCGTATTTTTCGTTGTAGTTAGTGGCTCTGTTGTGCTTGCTACACTTACCACTCTAAAAACATTTTCTGCCAGTACCTTTTTATCCGAAGTCGTGCCTGCGTCTCCATCTCGATCTCTTTCCGGGCAGGTTAGCTGGTGGCTGTTGTGCTTCGTTTTTGCGTGCTTGTGCGTGACCTCCCTCGCCATGTTTACCCGGTAGCACCACTTGCACACACAGAGCAGGTCCCCGATGTCTCGTTTTTCTTCCAGGTGTCGGCACAGCGCATCCTCTAGCTCGGCGTCGTTCTGCAAGCTCTCGTTCCAAATTCTTGCTCGTAGTCCCACCTTCACCTGCCCTCCCTGGTCCTCCTGATCCACTTCTGCGCCCATATCTGTTCTTTTTTCTTTCTTACTTCATTACTTAGTGTCTACATATGTATACAAGCGAGAAAAAAGAAAAAATCGAAACCACCACTTTACTCTTCACTACAGTTTTACTAATGTTTCTATATCGTCTACTTTGTAATCTCTATCTCAAAATTACCTCTTTCTACTGCAGTCCTTAGGCATCTTTTTCCCCCTTAAACGACTTACGACCCATGCTATCCCCTTGCTGTACGAAAGAAAAGAAAAAACGAGTTTCCCTGTGTGTTTTTTGATATGGGCACAGCGGGTGGGGGGGGACCTCATGAGTCACCCCCCCGCACACTGCTAAACTGTTGAAGTATCTGCCCCTATAAGTTACATGAGTTTGTTGTTGTTAAACTTGTGATGCTGCGTTTCGATGACTAAAAAATTTGTGTTGCATGAGCAGCAAACAGAGTCTAATTTTTGCTACGCGGAGAGGGCATTTGTCATGCGGAATGGGCATTAAGAATCCCGCAAAAAACCTGTGATGCTAGGGCATGCATTACAGGCATCATGGGTCATGAGAAATATGCATGACAAATCTTGCATTCTTCCAGACCCAGACATTTTTACATTTGATAGACCGGCACGTATTCCAGCGGCGTCCAGTTCCCAAAGGCCGCAAGGCACGCTTGCGGCCGCTTGAAGGGTATGGAGTGCAAAAGTACTTTTATCGCACACATGAAAGTGATTTTCATTTTTCATAGATGCATACGGACATACAATTACAAACTTTCATCCGGAGTGAAGATATTTTCCTCGTCGTCCTGCTGAATTTGAATAGGATAGTGATCATAAACGTAGTTCTTTAATCAGCGTCTGTCTGCTACTCCGCTAAGTTGCTTGCAAAGATCGTCTGCTGGTGCACAAATCAGACTTTTCCAGCGATATTTTACTTTTGCACGGTCCATACCGATATTTGGCAGAGAGTCGAATAGCGCGGGGGGTGGCTGCACAACCGGCCGGGTGTGTTCTGTGCTAAGCAGATCTTGGTCGGGCCCTTGGTCAGCATCGTCCATGGTAGGCGCCTGCGTCCTGGCGAAATCGTTGCCTTCTATTTCTCGATTTATTTCCGCACCTGTCTCAACATTTTCGTCAACGTCGGACGGCGCATTGGTCGTCCCATCCTTGTCCCCCTGTTGGTCTTCTGTGATGCTGGTATCTGATGTTGCCTCGGTATCATTTTCAGTTTGTACTTCTTCCTCGTCCTGCTCCCATCTCGCAAAGTCCATGTCGGAAAAGGCAGTGCTACTTTGCTGTTTCTTTTCCTCCTATGCAGTGCAAATGCGTCTGGGGGGTGGTCCTCTGGAAGCAGAGTGCCAAGTTGTGATGTGCGTTTGTTTTGGTTTTGGATCATACAAAAATCTGTACTCTTGCATACAGAGCAAAAGCGAGCCAGTTTTTGCTACGCGGAGAGGGTATTTTTCATCTTCGAGCATCAAACGAAACTGGGCATTAGTCATCACAAAAATCCCACACATAATCGTGGGTGGTCCTACAAAATCTGCATGATAAACGTCCACACTGTTGTTTCAAAGGCAACCAAGACGTATTTGCAGTTGATACCTCCTCCGATTGTTGCTGAGGACCGCTGCTCGGTTTTCCCCCATCAGCTTCCCTTACCGAAAACATCTCCTCGCGTTCCCACCGTAGCAGGGATAACTTCTTCACCCCGCAGACAATGTTTGATTTCCCAGTCCGCGTTAAATGCGTAGGAAAAGTAAATTCCATACCCGGCCACACCAGCCGGACGAAGCGGCACAAAACGAAATCCAAATCGCGGACCAGGGTGGGGGAGGATTTTCTTGTCGATGATGCAAGATCAACTTCTTTGTCGTCGCCGAGACCCCTAGGATTTTCATCATCATCTTCCGTTATTCTCTCTTCCATCTTGATTTCGAACTTGTACATGTGCTCGACCTCGTACCCAGCGCACAAGTCGTCCAGTATGCACTGCCGGGCGCAGGTCAACTCGCTCGCCGCCTCCCACCAGTCGCTTGCCGGCGCGGCGCCGCCCGGGCACCGGCCCTGCTGCCGGTGGTAGGTATCCCGCAGTCGATTGAACTGCGCTCCCAGGGACGCGCCGAGAAATCCGCCGCTGGCGGACTTTTGCAGAATCTCGTTGCTCAATACGAGACCCAATGCGGTTGGCTGTTGATGTCCGGGGGAGGAAGAAAGAACTCCACTAGGGATTATCGTCGATGGAGTTTTACTTATTTCGCCGACGGAAATACTGGCGGGGCTTATCATGCCATAATTTTCGTAAATTGACGGCGCGCCACCGGGTTGTGGTAAATCGCCATTTCCTGCTATTCCCCCAGCATGATCCGTCGAAAAAAAGGCTAGCTGCCTTTCTTGAAGCTGAAAAAGATTCTTATCACTCGGTATGGAATCCGCGGCGGAACTTAAAACAGCTGTCGTACGAAAATTTTTGTTCATCGCGGTATTCAGCATATCTTTACTGTTGCTCATCTTCCCGTCGTCCCCTGTAACAGCTGCGTTGTTGCTTCCACCATTCCGCACAGGATGCTCGGAGGTGGTCCGCTGTTCCTCCGGGATTTCGCTCAGCCCTTCGGCGGTTGTTGTTTCATCTTCTAGGCCTCCTCCTGCGCAGTGTGCCTTTGTGAGTCGTTGTCGCTGCAGAAAGGAATTTCCTGTTTCTTCGTCGTAGTGAAACCCTGGATCTTCATCTTCCCCGAGCATTTGCGGTACTATCCTTTGTTCCGTTTTTTCACCACCTTCGACAGCTGCAATGACATCGTCTTTTCCTTCTCCAAGAAGATTTTTACGCTTCCATGATCCCTCGGCAGGCAAAAAATTCTCGTCCCGAGAGTTTTTCCGGCGGCTCTTTTGCAGCAAATTGCTTCTCCCCGTAAGAGAAGTGCTAGCGGTCTCAACATCAGAAACAGCACCAGCAGGGCGGGAGCTACTAGTAATTCTAGCTCCCTTGTTTTCGCCGCTTGGTAGTACTTCCCCGTCGTGGTGGTCCCTGAGTCTTCGCTTCAACGAATTTGTCTGCGGGTAGTAGTTGTTCCCCCTTCGTGGACGGAGAAACGCCGACGAAGCTGCCTTTTGACCATCTCTCCCGTGGTTCGAAGAAGAAACCGCTGAAGCTTGGTCGATCAGCACAAAATGGTGGCACCAGCGGGCGATACCGAAGGTCACGAATACGAGCTTCGAAACCATTGGTCCCAATAAATTTGTCACACAGAGGACTACACCTTTGGCAACTGGGAACTTGTAGCTGTAAACAATCTGTTTCGACGCCCTTCTCCTGCCGGTCTTCTGGCACCGCCTGCCCGGCGAAGACGAATACGGCTGGTGCAAAACTTCGCTCTCACCAGTTCTGACGCAGGAGCACCATCTTGTTCGGGAAAGATTGATTGCCCGTAAATAAATCGGTTAACAGACCAGAATCTCAACGTTCTTGTCTCAACGTTCTCGAGGCCGGGGCGCAATCGTCTCAACGATCGCCCGGAGGCCTCACACAACGGTAGTCGGCAGTGGCGGGAAGGTAAGCCCGGCATCATTGACACGGGGCGGGGTCGGCAAGGCACAGGAGGCGCAAGGACGAGGCAACACACACACGGGAAGGGGCGCGGGTGTGAAACACAACACAAGCAAAGGAGAGAGTCGCCGGCCAGGGCAGCCGCCGCCGGCCGGCCGGCGGCGGCTGCCCTGGCCGACGACCAGGACAAACCCCGAATCCTAGACCCTAACCCGTAAACCTAAACGGTGCTGAAGTTGAGGCGTCGTGGTCAACGTTGGGGCGTTTTGTCTAAACGTTGAGACAAATGGACGCAGTTGAGATTCTGGTTTGTCAACCAAATAAATCAAGCAGGTCCACCGGATCTCAAAGTAAAAATGTTAGGCAAAGAAATTATGCACAAGGAACGACTGAATGGTAGTGGTACGATATGGGCAGAAAGGCAATCGGAAACTATCGGGAAGGGCGATTGACACAATGGGAGGAGCGATCTGATAAAAGAAAAAATCCCATATACGTACTTCTTTACCCTAAAATTTCATGATGGTCAGGGCCAAACCTGCTTTTGAAGAAAAGCGAAGGCAGACACTTTTTCGTCTTCTTCACGAACGGTACTTGCACGAAGATGTCAATAACTCAAGGACAGTACGCAAAAACCAGACCAAAGAACGGAACGACGACGAAGAAGCACGAATGTCGTACGACTGAAAACGTATAACTGTTTGCCTTAGTGATGTTCAGCGAGGGATTTGGCGTAATCAACTTCTTTTACGAAGGATTCATTTTGGTACGAAGCGATTCATCAACGAGAAAGTGCTTTTTAAGTGAAACAAAAGCGCCCTGTCCCCGTTGTTCTTATTGAGCGGAAGAAAACCGTCATGCTAAAACGGATCAGGATGAAGTTCCTGAAATTTTGCTCGTCCTACTTCTGGCTTTTTCTTTTGCGACTTTCTACTTGTTGATAACTCTATAGACTCATGATATTCGACGTGTTGAAGAAGTTTAGTGCGTGGTGTATCTACATCTTGTGGCGCCGGCGCGTGTGTGTCCCCGGTTTATCTCCCAGATCACATCTTCAAAGTGGCTCATGTACAACTGAATTCAAAATTTATGTGACTGATCAAAGTAGTACCTCCTTTCCGAGGGATCAAGCATAGTTATCGTTTTGCGCGCCACCAGTGCCAACTGGTTCCTCCAATGCACGCTGCCATATACTTTTGTACACATCCAAGTGGTGCACGTCGAAGATAACCTCCCCCAGCACTTCTCTGCGGTATAGCTTTATTCCAGAAAAATTGTTGCTGGTGTAATTGATACTGTATCTGTTGCTATTGCTGCTGTTTTTTAGTAAGATAAGATGATCCGAAAAAATGGTAACTGTTTTATTTTCTTCAAAAAACCCAAAACACTTCTTCCGCAGCTCCACCCTCAGCCGCATCTTTCGAAAAAACTCCAACCGGTATAATTCCAATCGTCCTCACACCGGAGTCCCTGCACGACCCCCGCTGGGTAAGCCGCCGCTGCCGCCTGCGCTTAAGGGCCTCCCGCCGACGGTCTCCGGGGACAGAGCACTGTTGATATTTCGACCACACGATTGATGCATGAGCATGACAAGTACGACTTGCTTTTTAAAGTACGTCGAGCTCCTACATCATAATGCAATTTTGTTTTGCAAGCAACCTCTTACCCGAGCTGCTGGCCGAAGTGCTGGTTGTTCTTGAATTCCGAATAGAGGCTGAACAGGACGTGGAGCGAGTCCGTTAGTGATCCGTCGTGCACCGGAATATCTAGCAGGACGCATATTATCTGGCGATTTTTGAATGTGCACCATTTCATTCAGCATTTCTTGTTCTTCCCCCGTTATGAAGATCGCGCCCGGAGGGCGATATTGGTAACCAAATGCGTGCGCGAAAATCTAACCAGCGCGAAAGCCAAACCAGCCGCGCGGCGAAAGCGCGGCCCCGCGGGCCGCGCTTTCGCCACCACCATTTCTTTTAATTAGAATCCCACTTCTTCTTCTTG